AGTTGACGGGGATGCAGCCCTGCAGTGCGGCGGTTGTCCCGCACACCAAGCGTGTTCTCGGATATCGACGTCATCGGGACTTCGGGACTGGGGAAACGGGCAATCGTACCAGAATCATGCAAAAGAGGGCAGTCTGAGGCTGCATTCTCTGTTTAAATTCCCCCGATGCGTTGGTTGCGTGGGCTCATTGCTCATAGACTTGCGATATACTGAGTATAAGTCCCGGCCTCTGTTGTGTAACAGTTGGGTGCATTGCCGACAGCCGAAGTTGGGAATGATCCTCTACAGTGAAGCTGTCCGTACAGTACAAGACTCAACTATCATGTGGTAAGATTTGAGACAGACAGGCAGGCAAGGAGGTTGGGGGCTCACTGATAGCTCACTCCAACATGATCCAATACGTACACGAGCATACCCCGGATTGACACACAGTTTCCCCATGGCCAAGACTCAACCACACACGGTGTAGCGAGCCGTAAGGCCGCCAAGCCCATGGATGGCATCCTTTCCGCTCCAGTTCTTTTTTGGCTCGTGACCGCTTACACGGGATGGATTGGCTGTCTTGGCACACGGTGTGTGCTTACTACTACAGTACGGCTAAGCAAGAGTGCCGGTACGGCAACAGCAGGCCGCGCAGCCCAGCCGAAGTGGGGGAACTCCAAATCAATCAACCCGATTCAATCAATGACTGACCTTATCGCATTCGCCCGAGAGTCAGTGGACGGGAAAAAGTCTTTGATTGAAAGTTCCCTGAAACCCTGCCTTCCCATTGGATACCAGCCAGGTTTTCCCCATCAAATTGCCCTGCCAATCATGCTGCTTTTCTTCACCTGCACCTTGCCCGGAGAGGCAACTGACCAGCTGCGACCTGCCCTGCAGTGCCTGCAGTTGTCTCTGTGTGTGGGTTCCATTTCGAGAAGGTCAGCACCGTGGGATATTTCGACGCCACCATGCAGGTTGCTCGCTGGAGGTACAGTACTCGGTACTTGCTCGTCCTTCGCTGACTGGTGGTGATGCATAAATTTCCTGTGAGGGAGTATCATCCTGCACACAACTCCTGAATTCGCATTCGCTGCGTTCTCTGCAAGCACGCAAGGATGGGGGGGAGATCTAGCAGAACCTCATCCGACCGCCCATGCAACGCAAACCAGAGCCAGCTGCCTTGCCAGTCCCACGTAATCTTAAACACACTCTTTGAAGCTCGGTAGTGCTCTCGTTTTAGCGGCGATCAATGCGCCCCTCTTCCGATGCTTTTTGTGCGGGCTGACAATTGCATTGCTTTTTCCAAGAATAGCTCTTCTTCCGCAATACACAAGTGTAGATGGTGATGTCGGTGTGAACCGAGGATGTTGACATGAATCTGCTTGGGAAAATCATACTTATAGGCTGTGCTGTCGATTGAGCACAGCTAACAACAACGACAACGACAAATACTGCTCCATACTGGTATTAATAAGTGTCGTATGCTTCTGAGCTCCCGAATCGTGACTAGACGGCCTACCACATCGGTCAAGGTCTTACTCCGACCGACTATGTCCAAGCTAAGCAAGCCCCCAACCCCTCATACTATCATCTCCCCATGTTCCATTCCTTGATGATGGAAGAATTGATTACCCGCGTGAGTCCATTGTCCACAGTACGACTTCGAGCTCCCGTACTCGGACTAAGGCAAGACCGAACAACAGAACCAGGAAGGCCATTCAGGGATCAAATGAATGACAAGACTTGTCTTTTATGTGTACTCCTGGGTGTCTATGCACTCTTCCCAATGATTCATGTAGCAGTAGTAGCTCCGTCGCACCCAGCAAACCCAACACGGGAAATACACAGCCAAACCCGTTTTTTTTTTTTTTCGCTTAAATGGCGAATTGGGCATGTATCCCACCTCCACTTCCACCGAGGCAGATTGCGATGGTTTAGTGTTGAGTCCGAAGGGAGGAGGCCCCGGGGGGGGGGGGTTCCGCTACTTTTCTCGGCCGTTGAACTTGTCCCTTGACCGTAGTCAATTGTGCACAAGCACAAGTACTGAACATGTATACTGTACGTGGAAGGAAGTACTCATAAGTCCTACCCTGTATGTATGTATATGTTTTTCCGAGGGAGGACACATTTCGGACCTTTCCACGTAGTTGCTCACGTTATCCTTCCCCAAAAGCCCAGGGGGGCACCAACCCCCTGCATCCATGGGATCAGCAAAGAAGTGACCATTTTGTGTTTCGAGAAGAACGAAAAATTTTCAACCTTCATCTTTTGCTTGTGTTTGTTTCTCTCTTTTCTTTTCTTTTTTTTTTTTTCACTGGGCTAAGGTACCGTTTCGAAAGCCCCACTGAGACGGGAATAAGGAACTGGAGTGGCGTTCGAGCTAAACTGGGTTTGCCACTACCTACATCTTTTGTGTCGTCTCAAACCGTTTCGGTCTTAGGCAGCTACCAGACAAAGCTCGTAGCTGGGTGAGCTTCTGGGTTGAGGTGCATGGGAAGCTCACCTTACTAGATTACTCACCCCTGGGGAGCTTCGGGGAGGGGAAGGGGGGTGTGGGTGGTAAGCTGGTTTTAGTGTTGGGGGGAAAAGAGCGGAAGCCTGGAAGGGATGGGTGTGTGTAGGAGGGGGATGGAGGGGAAGAGAGGGGAACTCAGGATGAAAGAAGGAGGGGAGATGTGATTGATTGGATTCAGCCTGCGAGGGGAGGGGTAAAAGTACTCCAGGCTAAGGTGGCAGCACATGGCCTTTTTTAGCCTATCGGTTCACCATTTGATCCTTTACCCAACCACGCGGTGCTTTTTCTTTTAGTATACCTACGTTAGTACATACTGCTACTAAGGAACTACCCTGTACTGTAGGGTTATCTTTAACTACGCTTTACTTGGACGGGAGTTCTCCGTGGAAGTCAGAGGGAATCTTCTGTAGCCTCTACCACCATGGAATGTCGACTAGATACCTTATCCGTGGTTGGTGACCTCGATAAGATTTACTCTCTCTTTCCCCCCGTGGTTCCAGAATCCTGAGTTATGCTCTCTGCCCAGTGGTCCAGAGCTGAGCTGGGTTATGCAGCAGCTGTCGTAAACCCCAAGAATGTGAGGAGGGGGGTTCCACCGGCATTCCCGAATTGCTGGTCGGCGATTACTGTACTGTACCGTACCCGTACCGTATGCTGATTTCCGCTAGACCCGTTCCAAGTAACCGGGCCGTCGACCGACGATGGCTGGTGGAATTTTTAGACCAGCTGGACAAATGTCATGGCTCTTCGATCTCTTCGCTTCAAGACTGTAAAAGGGGAAAGTAAAAAGGTTGGGGTTGGATCGCACGGATCACGAGTGGTGAGGTAGTGCTCTGCGACTCACCTAAATATATGAAGTATATGTCTGCTGCCAACTGCCAATGCTTGGAAATGGGCAGAATCGGAACGGCAGAGACCATTCAGAGGGGCTCCTGCCGCTCATCCTTGAGCTCCGGTACGGTCAGGTAATGGTCACGAAGACCGAGGCTGAGCTACAAGAAAAGTCTAAGTGTCACATCATTTAAGTTAACTTACCCTCACCCACGCACTTACTATTAGGTATAGGCAGGGCCAAGCCTGGAGGCCCTCTCGGCTCGACTCGACTCGACTCGACTCGACTCATACTTGTCGAAGAACAACCGCTCCCCTTTGTTTGCCGCGAGAGTAGCAGAGAAAAACAATAATCAAGGCGAAGGTCGAAACTTCGGATCGAGCATCCCAGCTCGAAACTGGTAATTTCCGCGACAAGAGAGACAGAAACTTCATCCTCCCCGTCCTTCCCCCATCCATCCATGTCGTGCGTGCGGATATCGCGCTGTCCCACATTTAGCTTAGCTGCGACAGCAACACTTATCGATAGGCGCTATCGGCATCAGATACCCTCTGGCGTCCTGCTAGTCTCGGACGGGGAGGAAATCGTAATACATAGTACTCAGTACCAGGATCGTTGTTGGCACATGCTGTACTACCGGCATGACCAGGACGATAATAATAAAACAAGATTAATGCCTCATAAGGGGATTGCTCGGATGAGATTCCAGTCAGCTAGTCAGACTACTATAGGAAAAGTAGTGCCGCCCGAGCTACTACCGTAGTATGAGGAAGGGAGCTTCCTGCTTATCCAGCTGGAGCTTTTTCATCGTAGTTCCCACTTTAAACCTCGCCCAGCAGCAGCAGCAGCTTCCTATGGAGTATGGAAGTGTCTTGGTTTGCTATAAGCTAGACATAATTCAGAAACAACACATCAGGTAGTGACTAGTATATGAATGATTTCTTCTGAGTTCTCTTTCGTCTCTCTCTTTCTCTTCTGGATTTCTCCTCATCTTATTTCTCTTTCTTCCTTGTGCTTATCCTTCCCACGGTCCGGAACTCGAATGCTTATCGTGCCACCGACTGCGCATTTGTGAGACGCTTATCCCACCTTTATCGAGGGTTTGACAACAAATCCACCGAAAGGGAACCTTCTTTGTTCCACTTATCGCCGGCTCCGTGGGTTTTCTGGATTGTTCATTAATCCTGGACAACCACCCTCTCGGCGAACACAAGCGCTCTGTGAGCCACGCGGTCGGAGAAACCAGCATTGCGCCCATTGCAAGCACTGCTTTGCTCTGCTAGCTAGGTAACTAGCTACTTAGTAGCTAGCAAAGCATTTGCCAGCTGTTTCGCCTGTTCAATTTAGCTTTTTATTACTTACTGTACGTATGATTACTGACTGTACCACTGCAATACCTTCCAGTCCCACTTTTTTCGCCTTTCCTTCTCAATTTTCCTTCTTTTTTTTTCAATTCCTTTTTTTCGATTTTTTTTGGGACTCTTTCTCCTTTTGCTTAAAGTGGATATTTGCTCTCCCCCCAATCCTTTGCCTGTCAATTGTCCAGATTGTGTGCCACTAGCCTGTCTTAGGTCTAGCGGATAAGTGAAGCTCCTTGACTTTCTACCCCCCTCCACTGCCACTGCTTGTAGTGCTGCTTCCAATACTTACTACCTTACCTGCTTGCCTACTGCTGCTACTACTGCTTCCTCCATCATTTCCTTCTTCTTGCTGCTGCTGCTGCTCTATGAGAGATTGATTGCATTAGTTTCTACCCCCATACTCCGTTGCTCCAGATATCAGTGTTACTTACTGGTTTTGGAAATAGAGGCTAGATCAAGTGGTAGTCTAGCAGGGCGTCCGCTTGGCCATTACTCATACTGTTGCAATACTCTTCTTCTTTCTTTCGCCGCCCTCCGTCGTTCCCTTTCTTCCATCATCGCGTTTCGCCTCTCCAGTTGACTAGACTTGCTCGAGCTTCTTTTGCGAACAATCTGCTGGTGTTATTGTCCTGGTCGCAGCAGCTTATGTCGCCTTGCGGAGAGCTTCCAGATTGAATTGACATTGCCCTGAAAATCACAGCCTGTGTGCCTTGCCTTGTGTGTGCTGGTGCTTGATCCTCCCTTCCGACCAACCCACCCCACGCCGCCGCCCGAATCGGATCCATGCAGACCATGCCGCCCCGATCATCTTTAACCAGTTCGTTCTCCGTCACTGACGCCAACAACGAAGTGGTTTGCCCTCTGAAAAACAATGATGGTTCCAATTGTCGCAAGAGATGCCTGGGGGTGAGTTTCCATTTCTTCCAGCTCTTTGTGTTCTTCGTCGCCGTGCTTCTTCCCTCTCCCCGCCGATCGGGGCCCCACTTTTTTTATGCAGTGGGCAGCAAGCGCCATGCAAACTGAAGAGGGGCAGCTGCTGCGAAGTTCGAGAAACAGGGACGAGCTGGGATAAACGAAGACTGCTCAGGCCGCATCTAACCGGTTGTTCTTCGCACAGGAAAAGCGCTATCGCTCCATGCAGGAGCACATTCGCCGTGCTCACCCCAACCATTACATTCCGAAGCTCCCGGCTACCGAGGAGAGCTTTATCTTGATGGTCACAACCCCACCAGACCAGCGTGCTCACCTGTCCCCCCCGAAACCCGCTACTTCTCGACGACGCAATGGTTGGTTGATATTCTTGGGCAGATTGGGGATATTCAGCTGACTGGGAAGTAGATTTGGCTGATCGCGATATTTATGTTGCCGATGCTGGCTCCCCCGCAACCCCGCGGGGTATCGATGAAGCCCAGCCGGCCGCCGCTACCGCAGCCGTCGCCTTGGCTCAATTGCACCACAACCGCTTAGCATCTGACTGGGACACAGACATGGTATGCTATACAGACTGCTCGTTTGCGGATTAAGCAGGGGGGAAAGCGGTCGCGAAAAATCAGACATTGACTGGTCCGCCTCAGGAAACCCAATCGGACAATGACCGGGACCGGATCCGCTCCGTCGAACTGCCGTCACTGCGCGAGCATTTCAAACAAGAGTCATTGCCTCCATTCCCCGCGGCTCGCCCTCGAGAGCTTTTGCCTTCCATTCTGACCCACTCGCCGCCCGGGCGCTCCTCAACGTTGCCTCCAATCCAACGCAGAGACAAGCTGCCTCGGTCTCGCAAGTCGTCGATCTCGGGGGCACGCAAGCCGAAACACGAGCGCACTAAGTCGAAGGAATATGGACGGCGTCCGAGTCTAGGAGATCGCAAGGCGCTTTCTGCCGAGCCACAAACTGCAGCCTGGGCGCAGGGCAAGCGTTGGGAGGACCTCATCGAGGCGGCTACTTCTGCCACAGAAGCAGATGACGAACACCAGTCTGATGTAAGTCGGTTTCGGAATTCCCTCAGGTTACCTTTCTCACACCGACTAGGTCGGCCGGTCGCCTACGATGCCTCCGTTCATCTCCAACATCACCTCGGCTCCTGCGGGCAGCAACCGCTCTTCGCTACCCCCCGCATTCCAAACCCCCACCGGACTACCCCCACCTGCACCCTACCGGCCTTTCCCCCACCCCTTCGCGTCGCCCATGCACAAGTCCATGACCCCGCCGCCGTTTGATCGTAACCGCGACAGTGACTTGGAGCCATTCCCGTCCATCGAGTCGTCGATTGACTCGGCTTCGTCGACGTCGGGCAAGAATCATTCCTTCTCCAGTCACCTTGCGCCTTCGATCAATTCGGATTCCAGCCCAGTGTTGAATATGTTCCCGTCGGCGTCGCAACGGCAGCACCATCGGTTCTCCAATCCCACCCCGGCCTCTTACCGTAGCAAAGAGATTCAGATCTACTGTGCCAGCTGTAAGCGGCCTTGGGCACTGAGTGAATGCTATGCCTGCACGGAATGTATTTGCGGAGTCTGCCGGGAGTGTGTCGGGATGTTCATCAGCAGCCCCCCTGCGTCCTTCCGAAATGTGACGTCCAGCCCGGGGAGCGCCATGTCGCACGGGCCGACCAGCTATCCTAACCACCCGCGCGGCTGTCCTCGATGTCGCACGGTCGGAGGCAAATGGAAAGCCTTCCAACTTGATTTCAGGTGACCTCTTCATGATTCGAATCGGCGCCGCAGCTTGCGCTCTTTTGACAACTTTATGTTTTACGGATGTTACGAATAATGGCTTTTGAGGGTTCGTTGAAACTCATATCACGGTACAATGACATGACCATCAAGGCACAAGAATGACCCTGCATGCGGTCAACGACTACATGAATTGCCTTTGAACTGCTGAAAATATACTTACCCAGCCAAGGAAGGGCCTGGCCAATGATCCACCTCACGGCTGCTCCCAAGAAACCTTTAACGAAAAGCTGGACTTTTTTGTTCTGTATGTTGGTGCAATCACGCTGGGCGCTTTATATACACCACGGTGGAATTTTGTGATGTTCTCATGCCATGCTAACACGATTGGACTTATGCTACTGGCGTTTGTTACCTGGATACAATTTTTTGATGATATATTTGGACAATGATATAAAATTTTGTTGCAATATTGCCAGTGACTGCTTTCATCTTTTCATTCATAGGCACAAAACCCCTCGATTCCAGCTCTATCCTGTGACAGTAGCGCATATAAACGGTATCTGTGTCGATTTCTCTGCATGCCTTGCTGTGACTACACGGGGGCTTCAGATCTTGGACAAAGCTCCGGAGTCCAGGAGAGATCGAACAAGGGCTATAATCGCTCGCACTGCAATCCCAGCAATCTTGTCACCGTCGCCCGCATCCGGATCGAAAGAACACACGGTCAGTGACCGAGGGGTAGTCTTCTGCGGAACCAGTTCCATGCAAGCGATCAAATCCGATTCCATCAAGCCGCCTGGGGATGGGTAGTCATTGACTTTTCCATACGAGTCATCCAAGACATCCAGGTCGAGATGAACCAACACCTTGCCGTACGCTCGTTGCGCCAGCTGAGCCTTCAGCTCCCTCGCAAAATCGACTTTCTTCTCCGTACTGCCCCAGATGGCTTGCATGCCCGCATCGACCACCCGCTGCCTCTGCACACTGGTCTGATCTCGAAGCCCACAATACAAGAACCGCCGATTGAACTCCGCCGGCTTGAACCCCGGCACGCTGTTCATCAAGGTCTTCCAGCTCTCCCCGCGCAGCATGGACAAACCCATGGCATCTAGATACCCGTTTTCGTTCACGTCCGGCGAGTCCAGATCGTCGTGGGCGTCGAAATAGATGTAGGCCAGGTCGTCGTCCACTCGCAGCCCACAGGCGACCGCGACACTGGCCATGCAGTTACCCGACAGGATCAGGGGGAAGCGGCGGTTGGCCACCGATTGGCTGACGGCGGTAGAGACCCGGCGCAGGAGCTCGAAGCTACGCCCTATCTCGCCTTCGAACTCGTCGACTGGTGGAATTTCGATGAGATGGAACGCGACACCCAGGCGGTGGAGTTCTTGCTTGAGTCCGAGGGAGAGGATGCGGTAGGGTCCGTTGCCGACACGGTGGTCGCGCAGGCCGACGTGGTAGGGAGAGAGGATGATGTCAATTGCTTGGGGGCACAATGAAGCAGTCATGGTGCCGTACTTCGGGTAAGCTTCTCAAAGATCGCTTGTGTGGACGATGACTATATATATTCAATGGCTCCGGTCAACAAGCTGTAGTGGGCGGCTTGTAGCCGTCATTGAGATATATAAGTGGTGACTTTTCCTTTCCCAAGTTATACGGATCAAAGGACTCTTATCTTCTCAGCATCTCCATGCACCTCCAAAGACCTCCAAAGACCTCCAAAGGCCTCCAAGGCGGGTCTCCATAGATAATTTGAATGCTTGGCAGGATGGCTCGGACTATACCTTATCGGGAGATCTCCACCATGGAGTGACACAGGGCGCGGGAGCCCCACTGCATTATGAGCGTAACGGCCAGAACTCGCGCCTTCCGTCTTTCACTTGCTGCCCGCAGCCATCATCATCCCAATTCCTCTCATCTCCTTGTCCGGACTCAGCCCACTTCTATCTCTAACTTTCCTTTTCTTTCCTTTCATATGGCGGAGGATCTAAGCGATCCTCCCAAATACTGTTCTGATGTTCTAGACTTGCCGCCTCTAGATCCCCCGGTCCCTAACGTGGGGTCCGAGGAATCCCTGTACTTGTATGAGTCTCTGCTAACTGCCGACTCGAGTTTCCCTGCAGCATCTCTACCCCTGGAAGATCAATTCGAGATATGCCCAGTCTGTTGTGAGCATGTTTCATTGACTGCACCCTGTTCATGCTGGGGGCTCTTCTGCGACACCGACTTCGCGCAAAGCGCACCGGAAGCTGGGCAGTTTCTCCATAATTCCCACATTTTTGCGGCTTCAAATTCTTCCCACCCGGCAGATGGTCGCAGCTCTTCTCGAGGTCGTTCAGAAAAGAAGAAAAAATACCAGCGCCTATCGAAGGAAGCGGTGACGGTCCTGCGGTCATGGCTTTACAGCCATCAAGATTACCCCTACCCCACTAAGGAAGAGAAAGATGCCCTGCAGCAGCAGACGGGGCTCGACCGGGCTCAGGTATCCGACTGGTTCAGCAATGCACGACGGCGCACTTTGGTCGGGGAAAGTGCGTCCCTGGCAGTCGAACAAATGGCACCGGCGGCTGATCTCTCTCTACAATCACCCATGGAGAGATGGAAGAACTCCCCACCAGGAAGTGAGGCGGCTGCGACCTCAGACATCATGCGAGCTCTGAATACCATAGAACGTCCGGATGACGATAAGGAAAGTGCGGGCACCCCGGCATCTCAGTATGCCTGGTCGAGCCATAGTTCTAGCAACTCGTTCGTTGTTGGGGCTCCATCTACCAGCACGGTGGGTTATAGTCATTCATCGGGCTCTGAGGCTTCGTTTGGCCACCACGCACAATACCAGCCCGTGCGACGACCGCCAACTCCCATGGCTGGTCAGCGATCTCTGTCTCGTCGTCGCCATCGTCGTCGTCAGAAGCCTCCACGTCCCAACGATTTCCAATCACATCGCCAACCGATAGAAGACCGTCCATATCAGTGCACATTTTGCACCGACTCCTTCCGCACGAAATATGACTGGGAGCGACATGAAAAAACTTTGCATCTGCCTGTGGACCTATGGACGTGCGCCCCTGACGGTGGCATCGTTGTTCTCGAGGGAACCCGGACCTGTGTGTTCTGTCAAGCTTCAAGCCCAGAAACTGGCCACCTTCTCGATCGACACGACTATTTTGCTTGCCAATCTAGGGCCGATGGGCAACGGACGTTTTCCCGCAAAGACCATCTACGACAACACTTGAAACTCACACACAGTGCGGAGTATCATTCCGGCATCATGGATGGATGGCGAGCATCACGCACCATTGTCTCCCGCTGTGGGCTCTGTGACGCGACCTTTGCGACCTGGAAAGAGCGCATGGATCATGTTGGGGCTCATTTCAAGAATGGCGCCGACATGGCGGAGTGGAAGGGTGATTGGGGGTTTGCGCCAGAAGTCCAACGGTTGGTTGAAAATGCCATGCCGCCCTACCTCTTGGGCCACGAACGGCGCACGATGGATCCATGGAAATCGTCTATTGCGCTGCTGGGAGGCAGCGCCCCCATACAGGAGGACACACTGGGCTTGTCCCATATGTCGCTCGGAAACGGCGTTCCCAATGCCTTCAACCGCTACACAGATCTCCGTCGCGCCCTGATAGATTACATTTATTGTCAAACTGCCGCTGGCATCTGTCCCACGGATGAGAAGCTACAACAAGTGGCTCGTCAGTTCTCCTACGGTGGGAATGACCCTTTGGATCAAACATTCGCGGATTATGACCCTTTGTGGCTGGAGGCTGTCAAGCATGAGGCGGGGCTCGGCACAATGCAGTTTGGTCCGCAATAGGCAAAAATCAAGGAGTTTTGATGTATGATCAGCTCGAGTTCTCATGCCTTGAATAAAAGGTCGATCCAAAATTGGAACGCCAGACAAGATGAAATTGCAATTGCTCAGCGAATTTGCATGACGGCTTCTCAAGTGTTCAAGTGAGCTCTCTGCTTTCTTGACTGGAACCAGAAACTGAGACTTATATGAAAGCAGTAATGTGAAGGGGCTATACAATGATCTTGAACGTGATATGCATCTAAGCGGCCGACTGCTTCGCAGACAGTCACTCACGAAAGGTCCCAGTGTCTACTACCTGCATGACTCACGACCGCGCAGTCCTGCAACAGAAGATATCTGATCTCCCGGTACAAATACAAGCTTGTTCGCCGCTTGTGCAATAATCCATCATATTCTTTCTTGCAGACGGAGGGGACTTTATCAGGAAGTTTTATACTACTGAAACAAAACGACTTTACTACAGGGTCCAGCCCCTTAATTTCTATTTTATTTTGTCTGTTGTGGTTCCCGAGATATTTGAAGTGCAGTGGGGATCTTCTTTCTCTCGAACTATCCATCAATACAGTCCGAAATCCAAGAAAAAGGGAGGTGTTAGCTGCAGACGGACTGCTGGCTTACCTCACTGGCATGATGCCGGACCCGGGTTGTTTACTGAGAAGGTCTATCATTCTGGTGCGCATAGGTAAGATGCTCAATGAGGTCCAGATATCTGTCGAATATTGTGTGGCAAATTAGACACCTGGGAGGCCACGAGTCCCTCCGATGCTCTTCCCGGCAATGCGCGGCGGCGGCATGGCGACAATAGCACTCCTCCGCACAAATGGGGCACGGGCAGGGCGGCGGGTCCGCACGGATGTTGTCCTCGTCATCGGTTTCCAGGACCGAGACGCCGGTGCAGTTGCAGGACGGATCGGGGTCGTCCTCGTGCGCCTGGTTGTGATGGTCGCGCATTTGCCGCCGGGTGTTGCGGGTCCACCCGCACGGTTGGCCTGTGGACGGCGGCGCGCAGGCGCAGATGTACCGCCCGCTGATGGGGTCCTGCCGGTAGCGATACGGCCTGAGCCTTTGCCAAGGCCTGTTCATCATGGCCCGGTTGTGCCGAATGGCGGCGGCGGTGGTCTGGGCGTCGGTGCGCCACAGGGTGCCGCACCGCGGGCAGCCGTACGCCAGCGGCCGGCCGCGGCGCATCTCCTCGTTGCGCAGCCGGTCCAGGCAGTTCGGGTGGCAGCTCGCATCGCACATCGGACACTGCTCCTGGTCCGGGGGCGTTAGGTTGCTGCGCCGCGCCTCTGGCAGGCAACATTGGAGGCCAGCGGCGTCCGCGCCGCGGACTTGGTGCACGTCGAACGCCCGCCGCGTCACTTCATCGGCCGTGTACGCTGCCGCCTCCCGCAGGTGCGGGTGATATTCAGCGTGGTATTCACCGCTTGCGCTGGCCTCGTTGTCGTCGGACATTTGTTCCTTACCGTTGCTTGGCTTATGGATTTTCAGATCAGGTTACGCGTTCGCACGATCCCCGTGGGGCTTTTGGTTGTGGGTGATGATGGGGTATGATAGTGGGAAAGGGGGCCGGAATGAGACATCTCGTTGGTTCTTTAAATACTCGAGTCCTCGGTGCAGATTTCCTTATTCGAGGATAGGCTTAAATGACGGCTGTTTTGAGGAGCTGGAAAGGAAGATTTCCGATGCGTTTTTTGTTGATTGGATGGAGAGGTACCTTTTGTGTGTTCTTAGAGGAAATCGAAGGCGGTGTCCGCGTATAGAGGGAGAATGTCATTCCGGGTTCTACTGTACCTAATCGGCTAGCCAGGCGAATATCTCCAGCAGGGATCGAGGTGTCTTTGTCTATAGAGACCCAGTGGTGGGTTAAAAGGAAGTCCCGTACTGAGGCTCATACACCTGACTTGGTGGTAGGGATCTCGCTTGAGGTCTAGGTTGATAGAGGAGGTCACCGGTATCTTTGAAAGCGGTTCGTGTTTGCTGTGAGGGTGCGTGGTTTGAGGAATCGTTCTGAATGTCTGATTATGGGACTGGAACTGTGGGGCCGTTCATGCAATGCGGTAAGTAATAAAGATCAGGGTATTTACAGGTTCAATGTGTTCTCTACTTGGATAGTTGCGAAAAGAATAGAAAGTGTGAAGAATGAATCTTAACGGTGGCACGGGATTTTCTTTGGTGATGAGTACCCTTTTTATCTACATAGGCCATTTTGCGGACTGACTGGTTTCTCTGGGCCATACCAATACGCTTTCTGGGGCTTTTGGCCGTTATACTGTGCGACGATGAAGTCGAAAGCTGGGTTGATTCTTGGTTACTTTTGTCGTCGGCTTGTTGATACAGTTTTATTTCGACTTCCTGTGGGTTTTGAGGAAATGAAGTTGTAGCGGGAAGGGTATTTGTATTCCGGCTGGATTTGGGTGTCTTATAGTCCACTAAGTAAGGCAGGTTTGTTGTTTCTTTAGGAGTAGTACTGTTACTAAGCTGTAATTGGGGCGAAGTGGTAGGGGAATAGAAGGAGGGGTTCAAAACATATACATACACATAGGTTTGTAGGGTTTGAGGAGAGACGGGGTTGGTAGATGGAACGGGAGTAAAGTCTGAGGTCTGTGATGGGAGGCGTGATGGATGGATGACGGAAGGAGGTGGGGAGTCATTTATGCGTACAGATACATACAAATTGCTTAATGAATCGTGGACTGGATTTACTGAAGATTTAAGGGTAATGGCTGTTGATCACAGTAAGATACAGCACATACATGTTCAAACACTACACTGCGCACTGTGCCTGGTGGGGTTTGCTTGGTTACCCCGCGCGATACGCCGTTGGATGCGAGGTTCCATGGCTCGATGATTAGGCGGATGAAGGCGGAACCTGAGTATCGACCGGGGACTGCGATTATTGGGGAGAGTGAGGTGACTTGTCGACGTGCTCCGGAGAGGTTTGGGATTGGGGAGTGGGGTGTTTGTAGCGGTGGTGGAAGTCTGGCCAGGAAGATCTACAAGGAAAATGCCGGAGCAGTCGTGAGCTAAGGGATATATTCTTGGTGTGGGAGAACATGTGAAACAGGTTAATATAGGTGCCGAATATTTCCTTGTGATACTTCTCAGAGACGAGGGAGTAGGAACGATGCAAAGGAACATGCCATGACTTGGATCTATCTTACAAATCGAACTAGACGTCTCACTAAAATCTGACATCGTATCATCCACCCGCGGGCTCAATCGCAACAATTGGGATCCCGATCTCCATCCCCTGGCTTGTGACCTGAACTTATCCAGAACAAGCTAAAGACCCTGAGAATCACGGAATAAGCGTGTTGCATTGCCGGCCTTAGTCCGGAGATCGAATCTGTCTGCCTTTTGATCCTCGATCTCCGGCCATGTCCGCGAACCGGGAATGTTTAAATATTGCCAGCTTGTACAATTCTCTGCCCATCCATCCCAAAGCTCGTCAACCTCGTCAACACACAAAGATTACTACCAACTCAGAGAATGTCGTCAATCAAGCGCGTGGCCCTCGCAGGAGTAAGCCCTAACTCCCTTGAACATCCCTCAACCAAACCTCAACCTAACAACCCCCAGGCCAGCGGCAACGTAGGCAGTCAAGTCCTTCACGCCTTGCTCGCCCAGGACTTCACCGTGACCATCCTCACCCGCAAGCCTGCAACCGCAACGCCCTTCCCCGCAGCAGCCACCGTCAAGCAAGTCGACTTCACCTCTCCTGCCTCCCTCACTGCAGCACTAGCCGGCCAAGACGCCGTAATCGACACGACCTTTTCCCCGGACATCGACACCCCGCTCCGTCTCATCGACGCCGCCGCCGCAGCCGGCGTCTCTCGCTTGTTCGTCCTCACCCTCCACCCTTAACCCCCAACCACCAATATCCCCAAAACTAACCCTTACCTTTGTGCACAGCATAACAAGCGACTTCGGCCTTGACCCCACCAACCCAGGAATCCACGCACTCCCCGTCTTCGCCCGCAAAAAGGCCGCCTACGAAGCCGTGCAGCGTCACGCCGCCGCATCCCAACTCACCTACACCGTCGTCGCCTGCGGGGTCTTCCTAGACTGGGCTCTGAGCTCCGGTTTCGCAGGTCTGGACCTCCACTCCCGGAAAGTCCGTATCTTCGGCACCGGAGACAACGTCGTCCCCTGGACGATGCTGGAGGATGTAGGCCGCGCGACGGCGGCGGTGCTGCTGCATCCTCAGGAGACGCGGAATCGGGCGGCGTATGTGCATTCGGTGTATCTGTCGCAGAATCAGCTGGTCGGAGTGGTGAAGAAGGTGCTGGGTGGGGAGGGGTGGGAAGAGACGAGGGAGAGGGATATGCAGGGGTTGTTGAAGGGAGCGTTGGCAGACCTCAGGGAGGGGAGGGAAGTGACGGCTACGACGATTGAGGTGCAGATTCAGTATTGTATAGCTACGCGGGAGTTGGCGTATCCGTGGGAGAGGGATGATAATGAGCTGTTGGGGGTGAGGGCGTGGGGGGTCGAGGAGGTGGAGGGGTTGGTTGCCAGGGTTGTTGGTGGAGTCTGAGTTAGGGCTAAAGCGGTTGGGGGCTTACTATGCTATACCTTGTGTTGCGTAATATTCAAAGGGAGCTTTGGGTATATGTAAGGATCTATCTCACCTTGATGTATTGTTAGTGGTTACAACTCCCCACTCTATATCGACACATACGTCTAACTTGTTGCAGTGAGTCCATATTCTTCCTCAGTGTCAAATTCCTACTTCTCGGATTCTGGGCTCCGCCTTTCCATAGATAACACTCTCAACCCCCTTCTCCCTACCCTCACACTGACCTTTCTCCTCCCACTTCTCATTACTTGAAAGAGGTTTATGCATGTAATTTGCTTAGAGCAATGTGACTTGTACCCGGCCCAAACTTTCTGGATTACAGTCGCTCGCTGCGGATCCCAAATCCACCAGTGTACAAACAACTATACCGGGCGGTCAACCACTCGGTCCTCGGGACTAACATACATAATCCTTAAGAAATCAGGCTGAATCAGATCCACCATAGAAATAAAGACTATAATATTGCGAGATGTACTACGGCGACGATAACACGAACCCAAATCAACGAATCAGCCCTACGCGCGTCCCATTCCGCGAACACAGCGTCAACCCCCGACTCTCCTCCCACGGCCCGGGATCCCGACTCTCCAGTCCACGGAACTCCTGCACCATGCGCACCAGCACGTAGCTCGCCTCAGTCAACGCGTACCGCTGCCCGATGCAGATCCGCGGCCCGCCGTTGAACGGAAGATAGCCCCAGCGCAGCTGCAGTTGCAACTTGCCGTCCTCCCAGCGCTCTGGGCGGAAGTCGTCAGCATCATCCCCGTAGAGATCGGCCCGACGGTGCATGGCGTAAAGGTTGTAGGCGACGAGGGTGCCCTTGGGCACGAACGCAGGGGAGAGGCCGTCGTCGCCACCGCCCAGGGGGAGGACGGTGTCGCAGATGGCCTCGCGTTGGTTGCGGGGGACGACGGGGTGGAGGCGGAGGGCTGGTGGTTTGAATTAGCTCCAACGTTCGAAATCAAGTAAGCGTGACAAAGCAGCAGAAACAAGTGGAACGTACACTCCTTGATACAGCACTCCACAAACCTCAACCCCTGCAACTCCTCATAACTCGGCGGACGACCCTGCAAGCACTCCACCTCGCGGCGCAGCCTCGCCCAGATCGCCGGATTCTTAGCGAGCATGAAGAACAGATTTCCCAGCAAACTAGCCGTGGTATCCCGTCCAGCTAAGAGCACAGCCATCAACTCGTCCAGGATGCGCTCTTTATCCGATGTGCGCGCTGCCAGCTCGTGCGAGAAGATGCGCTTGCCCTTGGGCTTTTCCCCTTCTACCCCGTCCAAATCCTCCTGCTCGTCACCAGTCTTGCGCATCTCGACCGCACGCACCGCCTCCTCCACGAACACGCGCACGAAATCCCGACAGCGACGGTTACACTCATCCGCCTTGCGATCGCGGTAGAACACATTCAACCAACCCAAAGTACCCCGCACCAGCACCGCCTTCTGGGCATACTGGAACGCCTCCGCAAACCCCATCCCCTCTTTTTGGGTCTGACCCATCGGCGTGCGGAGAGTATGCACGGACTCCCCGAACAAGAACCCCGTCGCAGAGTCAATCGTATACTTGAAAAACCACTCCTGCAAGTCGACGGTAGCCCCATCCCGCGGCAACACATTCCATAAATCCTGGATGAGCTCCTCGAGCACGGCGAGGTCGGCGACGACCTGGTTCCGCGCGAAGCTGGGGCGGAGCAGGGCGCGCGAGGCGGCCCAGTGTGCGCCGTCGCTGTTGAAGATGCCTTGGCCCAGCAGCGGGCGGAAGGGCTCGGTGCGGTGGCGGAGCCCGTAGTCCTGGAAGTTGATTGACAGGATGGTCTTGATGTTCTCGGGCTCGATGGTCAGGATGATCCGGTGCTGCAGTTCGCGGGTTGTGAAGGTGTTCCCGTAGCGGTTGAAGAGCTCGCGGGCCCGTGCTAGGATGCGGTGCGCATGGATGGCGCGGATCATGCTGGGGAGGGTGTCTAGCCCTAGGAACGGGTCGCGGTTGAAGGACCGCGCGATGGGGCGGCAGCCATATTGTCGGGAGAGGTGGCGGTGGCGGAGGGTGCGGTGGATTCTCGTGAAGAGGTGGATGGTGGTGAGGGCTAGGGCTGCTAGGAGCAGGATTATGAGTTTGGGGGAGAGGGCCATGGTTGCTATGGGGGAGATGGATGGAGTGGAGGGTTTGTTGCATCTAGGCAGAAGCTATAGATGAGTTGGGTCACGTGATGGCTTGAGTCGTGATCTTAGCAGTCCCTGGTATAGACGAGGATGAGTGTCGGCTTATTGTACTGTGTCTGACATTGCGTCCGTACGGTTAATTAGCCGGTCGCATTCGAATTGGGATCAAGAAGAAGACAGATCTTCAATGTGGGAAGCTTCACGGCTCTCTACGCGGTTGTGAGCCTTCTCAGTGGGTTTCATAGTCAACGATCTTGTTCTAGTGATCGGATAGCAAGTTTGGGACAGTCATGATACGGGATCAACTTCGGATTTAAGCATCACTATCAACATCTTGAAAGCGTGATGAAGTATGCACACCATGGCAGCTTTGATACTGGACCGCTTCGTGGCTGAAGGATTGAGCCAGAACAGGCTTATCATTTACAGGTAGAATCGCTCCTATAGTGCCGAAAACAAAGACATTGTTGTCAGCAAGCAAGTAGCCAATCATATTGAAGAGCATTATCAAGCTTAAGGCTTCGAGAAACCACTGTACCGAGATACCTTACGAATGATAAACGCCTTAGTGTAATTGGGCCTGCAATTCGTACACAAAACCACCCTGATACCCACTCTTCCCTGCTTAAGCTCTGAATTACTAGCGGCTCGAATAGATTCTGAACGCCTTGCCTTGTCGCAGGTCCGTTGTAAAGACTGATACAACGACCAAGTATCGATCCCAGTCCTACTGGTGACTAGCAAGACCCGCATACAAGCAATGACATTCCATTCATCTTCTCTGACTTCATTCCGGCCAAATGCCCCAAGTCTACAGCTGAAGCACAATCTTCCCCACCTGCTTCCCCTGCCAAATATACTCGACCGCCTCCTCCGCCTTCTCGAACGGAAATACTGAGTCAATCAGATCATTTAAGTGAATCTGCGTCGCCGCCAGCGCCGCACAGAAGTCCTCCGTATCAAACTTCGAGCCCGCATTGATACCCCTGACACACGAATTAGCCAATCCCTCCAAACTCACTCACCCCACCCAAAGATCAAGCTTACCTCAAGACGACCCGCCGATCGATAATAACCGGCACCAACGCCGCCAGATCCTGCGCATTTTGCTTTCCCAGATACCCGACCTGGCTGACGACCCCGCCGCGCCGCGTGCACTTCATCGACCGCACGAGCGACGGCGTGCCCCCATTCTCGACCACAATGTCCACGCCCACCCCGTCCGTCAACCGGAGCACCTCCTCCTCCCACGCCGGGATCTTAGAGTAATTAACCGTCAACAACGGCGGATCCGCGTACTTCTTCTGCATGGCCACCAGCTTCTCATCGCTCGACGAGGTCAAGATCACGCGCAGGCCCGCCGCGCGCGCAAGCTTCAGCGCAAACACACTCACGCCGCCGGTTCCTGCCACCATGAAATCAGTCAACGCAGCACTCTCCAGAAAGACAATCAAGAAAGCCAACCCTGAATAAGAACCGTCTGCCCGATACTCATCCCCTTGAGCGCAGACCACGCCGTGACGCCCGCGCAGGGAATCGTCGCGGCGCTGATCCAGTCCAAATACGTCGGCAACTTGACGACCACCCTCTCATCGAACACGACGTGATCCGCCATGACCCCGTCCTCGTCGGCCGCGAGCCAGCTCCGGCCCAGCTCCCGGCCGGACACGAACTGCGTGTCGGTGATGGGGACGACGCGGTCGCCGACGGCCAGGCTGGTGACCTTGGCGCCGGCGGCGAGGACTTCCCCGGCGGCGTCGTTACATAGGATCCCGTGCGGGAGGACGGGCCACGGGTTCCCGCCGTTGGCGATGTTGGCGTCCCGGTAGTTGAGGGCGATGGCGTGGATTTTGATCAGCACCGAGGTGGGGCCTAGGGGCGGGAGGGGTTCGTCGACTGCGTAGAGTTTGCGTGTGCCGGGGGTGTAGTCGTCTGTTCGGCGGAAGGCGCGGCGGGTTGTTGGGAGGGCTGGGGGCATCTTTGGCGGTTGGTATTATGGGGATTGTGAGGTGTTGTGAAGTGTTTGAGGATTCGGTGTGAGAGAGGAGGGTGGGGGTGAGCATTTATGGTGAGCAAAGGGTTGTCTCCCCGGTGGAAGTGGGACGGAAGTAAACAGGGTCAAAAAAGATGTGGGGTTATTCCAACGTCATTTCGATGCCACAATGCATTTCCCCAGAATTCCTGATGCTTTGCTACGAGAGTGGAGATCAGTGGGAATCTTGGCGGGGAATGAATGGCATCAAGTTAGGGCTAAGGCCGATCGGGTAATGAGATCCGCCCCCAGGAGGGACAAGATAGCTTCATCTCACCATGATCAATCCACTTATCTTTCTGCACAACACCTGCGGTCGGCGAATAATGTACTGAAGATAGTGAGTTAATTCGATATCTCGAATATAGTAAGGTTATCTCCCTTGACAGCCAACCGTGCAGGGCAATTCCTATTGCGGTATGAGAAATGAGAGCCATCTCGAAATGGTCTAGCCTCGCCGTTTGCGGCATCCCCACTCCAGAGCCTTTGCATATGCCTATCTTCGAAATATCGGTGACGTCCCAGAATCTATACAGACCGGTGTCGAAGCAATTTATAACGTTGGGAACTTCCTCCGCTATGCGCAAGGGTCTCTCGTGCCCCTCTTACGAAAGAATCCTCCGCACCCAACCCCCTTCGAACCAATATCACCCCACGCAGCGCAATGTCAGAAGACAAGATAGATCGCAAACTAGAGGAAGCCGTCGAGGCCGACGTGCAGTCCTGTCCCGTGGAGCCCCTTGCGCCACAAGGCCTCCAGCGCCGACTGAACAACCGCCAAACCCAACTCCTCGCCATCGGAGGGTCGATAGGCACCGCTCTGTTCATCAGCATCGGCAACGGGCTCGCCGCCGGGGGCCCCGGCAGCCTGCTGGTAGCCTACACCCTGTATGCGCTCGTAATTGGATGTATCAACAACTGCGTAGCGGAGATGACGGTCCTGCAGCCCGTGTCCGGCGGCTTCATCCGGCTCGCCGGAAAATGGGTCGACGACGCCCTGGGGTTCATGGTGGGCTGGAACTTCTTCTTCTACGAGGCGCTGATGATCCCCTACGAGATAACCGCCATCAACCTGGTGCTGGGGTATTGGCGGGACGACATCCCCGTGGCGGCGGTCTGCGCCGCCTGCATTGCTCTTTACACGTACGCCCAGAAGCCTCCACAACTGCTATTAACCCACCACGATCAGCATACCTACCCCCAACCCCCACGAACCTGACACTAACACCTGAACACAGCGTAATCAACTTCCTCGCCGTGCGCGCCTACGGCGAGGCCGAATTCTGGCTCTCGAGCGGCAAGATCCTGCTGATCTTCACCCTCATCTTCTTCACCTTCATCACCATGGTGGGCGGCAACCCGCAGCACGACGCCTACGGCTTCCGGTACTGGCGCCACCCCAGCGCCTTCGCCGAATACCGCCACTCAGGCAATACTGGCCAGTTGGAGGGCTTCCTCGCCGCCCTCTGGTCGGCAGCCTTCACCATCGTCGGACCGGAGTACATCTCCATGTCAGCGGCGGAAGCGCAGCGGCCGCGCACCGTCGTGAAAGCCGCCTTCAAGACCATCTACTGGCGTTTCGGGCTGTTCTTCGTGCTCGGCGCGACCTGCGTCGGCATCGTCGTCCCCTGGACGGACCCCACCCTCCAAGCCATCCTGCACGGCCAGAGCAGCGCCAGCGGGGCCGCCGCCTCGCCGTACGTGATCGCGATGGCCAACCTCCAGATCACAGGTCTCCCGCACCTCGTCAATGCCCTCCTGATCACCTCCATCTTCTCCGCGGGCAACACACTGACCTACTGCGCCACGCGCTCCCTGTACGGCCTCGCCATTGAAGGCCGCGCGCCCCGCGTGCTCACCAAGACCCGGAACGGCGTGCCCGTCTACGCCTTCGGGGTCGTCATCTGCTTTCCCTTCCTCTCGTTCCTCCAGCTGTCGAACAGCTCCGCCAAGGTACTCAACCTGCTAGTCTCGCTCATGACGGCGGGCGCCCTGATCGACTTCCTGGTCATGTGCATCACCTACCTGCAATTCTACCGCGCGTGCAAGGTGCAGGGCCTCGATCGCGGGACCTTGCCGTATGTCGGGTGGGGTCAGCCGTACTGCGCGTGGGTCGGGGTGGTGGCGATGGTGTTCGTGCTGCTCGGCTCCGGGTATACCGCGTTCGCGCCGTGGGATGTCCAGACGTTCTTTGAGAATTATACCATGCAGCTGGTGGCGCCAGTGCTGTTTTTCGGGTGGAAGTGGGCGAAGGGGACTACACTGCTCAAACCGGAGGAGGTGGATTTGGTGTGGGAGGCGCCGGCGGTGGATGCGTACGAGGCGAGCTTTGAGGAGCCCATGCCTGGGTTTTGGGAGGAGGTGGTTGGGTTGGTGTGGCGGAGGGGGAGGGGGAGGGGGAGGGGGGACCAAGGTTGAGGGGTGAGATTTGGTACTCTCTGATTTGGGGTTTGAGGTGTGGTGTCGATAAAAGTGCTTGTGATCCTTGCGGTGGATATGTTGGTGATCACTAGGGCTGGATTTGGGCGTGAGAAAAGGGATAATTTTTCCATTTGCGCGGCTCGTTGGGCTAGCCCTATGTTTTGCCATCTGTCCGCCGATACACTCCACAATAAACAAAGCCTCACGCTCCCTTGCAAGAGGTGTTCTCTTCTCTCACAAGCAAAGTTCTGGCTTGGGCATCATGTCAGGAGACATATGGTAGCCACAAATAAGGAGATGAATCTGTACAAGAGGTAGCCCTGCGGTGTCCCGAAGGAGACCACTCGTTTCCCGACTGACTAGAAGACTAGCACATTTACACGGCGGAGATATGATCCGACAAGCATGAATATCAAGCTGCAGAGCAATGCACGTCAGGGTAATAATTGCCAATTACATCTTAAACTATTTCTCAATTGCCCAGCAAAATTGTCATTTTGATAACGAGGGCCACAGGACAAAAGCCTCAAGATGCTGCCTCCCCCTCGGAGAAAAGCAAGCTTACCCCGCGTATCTCCGACGAAGTGCCTCACAGAAATAGGCCTATCTAACCAGATCAGGTATATTGGATGAGCGCCAGATGCACGAGGCAGATCCACACGTCAGCCTGCTAATTCTCACTCACCCCTTCCAGCCCCGCACGCATATTCTTATCTCGACATCCGCACGCTAGATAACTTCACCCACACACTCAACCCTATTGCCCAACGCACATTGCGCTTCATCCGCACCCCGAATCACCACCCACCATGTCCACATCCACCCCGTCCACAACCCACACAGGCACCTGCCTCTGCCGCGCCATCCACTTCACCGTCGCCGGCCCCCCCACCGCAGTCTACTGCTGCTACTGCCGCGACTGCTCCCTGGGCGCCGGCGGGCCCTGCCAGATCGTGAGTCCCCAGCCCGCCCTACACTCATCAACCCCCCCTCCCCTCCCCGTCTTCTAGGTCAAAGTGTCCTGATAATACAGACCGCACGCTACCCCCGCTCCCAGTTCACCCTTCACGATACACAAGGGCAGCTATGCACCTACGCGATCACGGACACAACGAGCGGGGCGCCCAAGCACAAGTATTTCTGCGGAAGGTGCGGATGCACCGTCTACACTGTCCCGCGCGCGACCGAGGAGGGGGGGATTGTGGTGGTTAGGCCAGCGTTGATTCCTAATGGGTGCGTTTCTTCCTTGGATGATGGATTGGGTTTGTATGGTGTTGACAGCGATGTAGATTGGAGATCTTCAGGCCGCAGATTGAGTGTTTTACGCGGCATCGGCCGGGGTGGCTTTCTGGGTGTGAGGCGGTGGAGGAGAGGTTTGAGGGGAGTTCGAGGAGTTAGGGTTTTGGTCTGGTAATTGGATTGCAGTTATCGGCGTGTCTGGAACAGGATTGAGAGGTGGGGGCAATTGTGGATGTTTAGAAGGTCGTTTAAGAAACGCTTTCTAGGCGCAAAGGTTATACAGTTGGCTCGTATCTGGTGCTGTCTGCATTGTCTCAGTATTTGCGGATACGGAGGTGTTTTCCTGGGCTGTTGATGGCCACTCGCATTGAGGTGATTGAGCTGGTAAATTGACAGACATTTGCAATGGAAAACATTTTTTCTGTTCGAGATACTCTGGACATTGTAGGCCCTCTGCATGATCAGCACTAGGTCGAGTTTCCCCGCAATACGTGGTCCAACAAGATGATGCTGGGCTGGCGTGGCCAGTAATTTCGACAAATTCACCCATCAAACTCGATGAGGCAATGTAGAGTGCGGTAGATAAGCTCAGGCTCTCATGTTTGATACTGCACTCGGTCTAGTGACCAGCAACCAGCATTAAGCCGAGTAAATCAAGAAGACACTGCAAGTCGTAGACATCCCAAATGGGCAAATAATTCAGAACCCCAGAGCTGGGCGGATTGTCTACCCTTTCGGTAGTGCAAGACCGCACAGCTCGTGTGGACAACTTAGCCCTAAGGTCATGACCCTCTATGAAGAAGCCAGTACATGCACAGGATCTCAGCTGATCACTGCCAGGGTATATGAAACAGTCCTTTCCCTGGCTATAAACCAGACTATAAACCCAAAGCATCGGTATCCTTGTCTTTCTTTCAACCTACACACCGCTGGCCCAGCAATATGTCCACCCTCAAAATCACCCGCATCGACGTCTACCAAGTCGATCTCCCCTACGCCGGCGGCGTCTACCACCTCTCCGGCGGCCGCACCTACACCAGCTTCGACGCGACCATTGTCCGCATCACTACCAACACCGGCCTCGTGGGCTGGGGCGAAAGCACCCCCTTCGGCGCGACGTACATCACCTCGCACGCGCGCGGCGTGCGCGCGGGCATCGCCGAGCTCGCTCCGCACCTCCTGGGCCTGGACCCACGACGAGTCGACCGCATTAACGAGACGATGGACGCGGCGCTGGTGGGACACGCGCACGCCAAGACCGCCCTCGACGTCGCCTGCTGGGACGTCTTCGGCAAATCGGTCGGTCTGCCAGTCTGCGAGCTCCTGGGCGGTCGCACCAACACGCCCATGCCGGTGATCAGCTCGATCCACGTGGGCGAGCCGGCCGAAATGCGGCAGCGCGTCGCCGAGCACCGTGCCCGGGGGTACCTGGGCCACTCGGTGAAGGTCGCGGGCGATGATCCTGCCGCGGACGCAGCGCGGATTACCGCCTCATTGGCCGATCGCCAGCCCGGAGAGTTCTTCATCGTCGATGCCAACGGCGGACTGACGGTGGAGACGGCGCTGCGGATGCTAAGGCTGCTCCCGCCGGGGCTGGACTTCGTGCTCGAGGCCCCCTGCGCGACGTGGCGGGAGTGTCTCTCGCTACGGCGGCGGACAGACGTGCCCATCATCTTCGATGAGTTGGCCACGGACGATGCGTCGGTGATCCAGCTCGTGGCGGACGATGCCGCCGAGGGCATCGGGTTGAAGATCTCCAAGAACGGGGGATTGACGCGCGGCCGCAGGCAGCGGGATATCTGTCTCGCGGCCGGCTATACGGTCAGCGTGCAGGAGACCACGGGGTCGGATATTGCGTTCGCGGCCATCGTGCATCTCGGCCAGACGGTGCCGGCGCGGTCCCTGCGGTGTGTCCTGGAGAGTCGCGATATGGTGGCGCTCAAGACGGCGGATGGGGAGTTTGAGGTGCGTGATGGCAGGATCTCGGCGCCCACGGCGCCTGGGTTGGGGATTACGCCGCGCTTGGAGGCGTTGGGGGAGCCGGTGGCGAGTTACTTTTAGGTTGCTGCTCGAAGATATTTATAACGTGATTCGGTATAATACATTGCGTAGCTCGAAGTGTCATGGTGCCCTTGGATTTGCTGTCAGGAACAAGGTCGGTGGGATCTCACTCGTAGGGGCAGAAGCGTTATTTCTCCCTGGATTTTGATTTCGTGTTATGGGTGATTTCATCGAGCCGGATATATTATACCCTGACCATTTGGCATCCTCAGGGTGTGCTTCCTTGCATTTGGACTAAGGGAGCTGTACGATGTGCAAAGCACATCGATCTGCCACAAGTCGAATCTTATTGCTGACTTGCATGTTCAGCATTCTCGACCAGGGTTGAAGATTCATTGACCACGTTGGGAGATGTGGACCTCTGTTGCTGATGTTCAGATCTGTTGTTGTCGAGATACAGTCTTATATCGGTGAGACTTGCTTTCCTGCGAATGAGGTCGAACAAAAGCGCAATATCCGCGTCTGAACTGTTCTTCAGAGCCTGGAACAGCTCGACCAAAGTATCCCGTTCCGCCCGCATTTCTTCAACTCTCCGCTGAGAGGTCGAGCTCTGTCGCCCATCTTGGTCCGTGTCGAAGGTACAGGCGAATCGATGCTCGGTACAACATTCGCAGGCAGCGGCCTCGTCTCTAAGTCGGCACCATCGTCTTGTTAACTATGGTTAGGGATCAATGAGAAAGCAATGGATTGTTACTATTGTCTTTTGTCGCTGGCACTCGCCGCACGAATCCGACCCCTTGCGGAGGCGGGCTGTCATGACCTTGAGCCTAGTGAAAGATAAAGAGGACAGAGATGATGGAGCTAGGATGATAGGCTGCATAAGGAAGACTTAACATGTGTGTAACATATGATGCCAAGTTGTTCTACTCACAATCAGACCAATTTGAACAATCTCTGCTAGGGTGGAAGGAAGTCGCCCGACGGGACTTTGAATTATCTTCCCCAGTCACGGGTGCGTGCCGGCGCGTTAAAATCTCGGATTCTTTATCCGATCATGATTGAATCGGTGAACAAACATCTTCCATATAGTCTCTTGGTCATTCCAATTTTTTTTTCGTTTCATTTTTTATGTGTTTTTTTCTTCTTTTTCTTTTGGCATAATCACTTGTCAAGCCACCTCAGAAACCTCATCCACCTTATCTCACCATTTACCACCAAGCAAATCTTCCATCCTAAACTGAATCTTATTGCTCTATTCTTCAATCTCTTTGAATTCATGATTTTTACCTGCCTGAGTGAGCGACACGCATTACGGCTCCACGAATTCTGCTGAGTCAACGGGCAATCTAGTCATCCACCTACCGTTCAATGGAAACCAGCAGTACCGATATCGGCTATTTCTCTTGTACCTCGAGCTGCCGTGGGATGCTTTTCACAAGATTATGATATCGGACGGCTTATAGGTAGCAAACCGCTGAATATAGAGCCAAATCTTCTCCGAATTAGCGAGAGATTTCTAGGCATAGAGTAGTAACATGAATGAGGGTACATAAGCCCGGTGTCTGCTCGATCCAGAATTTGAAAACCTCGTCCGCGACCTGTTATCTCAGGGCGATACAAATGTCATAGCATTCGCCCTGCCGGTCCCCACAGACTGTGTCATGCAAGGTAATCCGCCAATCCCTGATCCTCGGACTAAACTTCTCGACACTGGGCTTCTGGGGGAGAGAATACTCTACTTGCGTACCTAGAGCACATATTCTTTTGGTGGAGATTGTTTTCGAACACAGCAGAGCTATGTATAGCATACAGTTCTTTAGTTATCATTTAAGGATCAGTGCTGCCTGTTTATAGCCAATACAGAGTGTATAGTTCTTGTTGTGCCCGGCCAGCTGCTGTGGGGCTTTTTATTATGTATGGCAAATATCTCTTATCATGGTATTTCCAGAGTAGATGTATAGTTCAAAGTGTGCTGATCAAAAGAAAAAAAACCATCATCGAGGAAGATAAGTTATAGAAAAATTGTTCGCAAAGCAGCGAATGAACTGTAGTTAACGCTTATGCCCTCACAAAAGCAATCAATTCCCACCGAGCCCCACCACGCAACGCAACTTGACATTCCACATCATACGAGTGACAACAATTCCCCATTCGCGCCCGTCACGACCCGCGAAGCAAGATGTCGTCATGCAGCCTGCATAGTGCAGTCGAATGCACCCTGCAGCGCCCAAAGGGCAGCCATGCGCAACCCCCACATCTCCACCCGCATATATAGCCCTAACCCCGCGACCTTCCACCACGATTCCTCATTTCCACCCTCGACCCAAACTTCAACCTACCCTCACCTCAACCTTTTTGAACTGTATATCAAACATCATGTCCTTCCACACCTCCTGCCAAAATATCCACCTCATCAAGGAGGACGGTCGCACCATCCTCCACGCCGAGGTCCGCCGCCGCAACAACGAGATGGTCGCGCGGACGTTTCCCTTGGATCGGCACATCGGGAATGCGAACGGTGAGTCCAGCTGTACATATCTAGCATCCACCTTTCTTTACCTGGGACTCGAAACACAATTTTTGTTGAGATTCCCGTGGAAAAGATTAGTGATAACTGACGAGTTTAATCACGACAGGAGGCTTCCAATGGGGCGGACACGACTTCACCCACAGCGCGCGCGACATCGAACTCGAACAGACCGAGCGGGGGCCACGGCTGACGGCCTTCCTGAAAGGTGCCGGCGGGGAATACAGGGAGTTGCAGGGCTTGTACCTGGCCGATCGAATCAAGAATGAGGACGGGAACCTGATCTATCTGGTGGGTTTGGAATTGTTCCCCGGTGTGGAGCGGGTTACTGACTACGTTCATCTAGAATTGAGTGATGCGACTCGTAAGGCTTGGGGCTGATTGGTTCGGATCAGCATGTAGGCAACAGGATACTAGGTAGTGGGGGTACATAATGGCATGATTTTTAAAGGCGGCTGGATTACGTTGTGTCGAGTGATGTATCGATGAGCGTAGGCGTTGAGACACTGTACACGGTACCGTAGTGCTCGTCAGGTTCGACTCACATGCGTCTTGATGAGGGGTGTAGTAAGGATGGTCGGATGGTCATGAAAGATATGTCACAGCGGGACATTAGAATACTCCTTACTCAGCCCCCCGAGCCCATGTCAAAGAGCTGGATTGTCGAGACTCCACTCGTAATCGACAGTAACGTTTTCTAGGGATCAGCCCGCAACTCAGCTGGGTCCGGATGATAACCCGACGGAATTCCATTCCGTGGAGGGTAACAACAAGATTAAAAAAGGGCCATAATATCCCCCTTGCATAGGAGGAGGATAAAGCAAAGCGAAACAGACCACGCACAAAATGGTTGATAAGAAGGTTTGTCAACTCCACAGCCGCCGGCCCTCGGAGGCCCCAAAATCACCCGCTGATCATACATAGAGAATCTACTACAGCTATAAGAGTATCGAAGCCTATGACAAGTACGATGACGATGTGAGGAAGTAAGTGCAAATCGACCTCCAATCCAACCAACCTGATGCAGCTAATTCCCGAACCCACGACAGAATCATCCAAGATGATACCGACCAGGACATCTGGATCTGCAACCGAGCGCTGCCTCCTACCTGCTACCCTCCGTAAGCCTGCGACCACTGGATTAGTTCGGTTAGAGACTGACAGTATCTTTCAGGCCTCTCAGTGAGGAGTGCATCAAAAAGCTGAAGGAACTGAGTGAGGATGTGATTGTTCATGAAATTGAGGGTTAAGGATCGGAGTGGTATACCTATGTGTGCTTCACTTAAAAGAACCCAATAATTAGCAGCTAGCTGTTCTATGGTCTCATCCTGTCAGGTAACGAGGTGCAGGTACTTTATTCTGTTCTGAAGCCCTGAATGTCATGAGTTGGTAGAAGCCCGGAATGTCTATCTGACATGATATCACGAGGAAGAATGTCCTACATGAGTTAGCATGTGCTACTTTGTGGTATAGTGAAAAGGTGCTGCGATATTGTACTGAAATTTGGAAGCAGATAGTCTGGCTCTTGGTAGAATGATTAACTTACACTTTGCTACTCCCGGTTGAGAACTGGCTAATAGAGGTGGCAAAGGGACAAAATGTGTATTGTACTGCGAAACACCAAGAAAGAAAGGTCAATGCAATAGAAACCTGCATGTAGGCTAACCTTGCTGTGGTAGATTTTGGCCAGTTGTATGGATGCAAATAACATGCCCAGAAGATCTGAGAAGATCTGATTAGGTTCCCCCTGCATGCACTTGAAGCCCCTAAAACTCTCACAAACCACCTGTACCTACTCCACCGCCCTATATCCAAGTCCATATCCCGACTTCAGCTAGGTACAAACAGCAACGACCAAACACCACACTCCCAAAACCCAGTCCAACCCAGGGTGTCCATAACCGTTACCGTCCCTGATACGATCCAACCAACAAGACATGATCAAAAATGCCCCCCACCCATCTGCGCCCCGAACTCGAAGAACTCCGGCCCGAAGAGCGGGTCTGTGGGGGACAGGGCCAGAGGATCCGGGATAGCGATGAAGCTGGTATTGTTGTACACAGTCGGCACGGCACCAGCAGCATTAATCGAGGCGGAGGGCAAAACCTGATTCGGTTCTGTGGCTCGGTAACGTTTCTGCCCGGTCCGTTGACGAGATCGCGTCACTCGGTAGGGGTACTCGAGTCGGGAAAGCCCGGGGTCTTGTTCCGGTTGTTGTTGAGATGGTTGGGATGCTGGCTGGAATGAGCGCTGGTGATCGCTTTTGCAGGACTGGGTCGGGGTTGTTGTTGTTGTTGCAGCAGCGGAGGTGGGGAACTCGAGAACCTCCCAGAAGCCGGACAGTCGGACGCGGAACTCCGTGTTGTGGTGGGTGCTTTGTTGGTAGGCTGTTGCGGTGTCGTGGATGAGTTGGTGGAGGGAAATGGACTTTCATGGGTGAACAGGATCAGTACCTGAGGGATTGTTCATGGATAGCAGAGCAAGGGAAGCAAAGAAAGAGATGAAGGAGGGGACGGGAAGAAAACGTACAAGTCTACGCAGCGCAGGCCAAATCGCCCCGAGCTGCTCGACCATATCGATGCAGCGCTGCAGTCGCTGCTTCTTACTTGCGCGCTCATCTGTCGACCCGGTGTATTGGAGCTGGAGCTCGATGGTGGCCACGATGGCAGCGCAGTACCCCACAATGGGATCAGTAATCCTAAAAGCTTTCTCTTCGAGGAGAATCAAGAGGTCGGAGATCCAGCGTGTGTGGTGGGTGATGAGCGAGGAGGTCTGTTGCAGATGGATCTCCGGCACGGGCCCTGTCTCTCGAGCACAGAGCATAACCAGGAGCGGGTGGTTGAGGAGGCAGACAGTGGTGTGGTACAGAAACCGACTCAGAAACCACGGCGCCCAGTACTCCCGGTCTGCGTTGATGTCTTCCGGGTTCTGAGCCTCGGGGTTGACCACTGCATATCGATGGAAGGAGGGCAAGCTGGCCCCGATCTGGAGCAGCAGTGACATCCGCTGGGAATATGCGGACTTGTACGACCACGGCGGGGGGTCGGGGTTGGCGTGTCCACGGCTGCGGACGTACGACCGTGCTTGGGACCAGACTTCACTTAGATGGATGACCGCCATCATGATCCCTTGGTCTGCGTACTGATACTCCTCGGGTGAAGGGGTCGGGCTGACTTTGCTGGGGAAAAGCCGTGGGGCGTGCTCGCGTAGGCGAGCATCTTCGGTCAAGAAATCGCTCATAGTATGTGTGGTTGTCCAGTAGAACTTCTGTAGAAGGACAATGCTCCAACGGCATCGAAGAGCTTCGTCGTCGTACTCGAGCCCTGCCCGTCCAGGCGGGCGCGTCGAGCAGGGTATTACATGCTCCCAGGAGACGAGCAGTGATATGTAGGAATGCAAGCGCTTAATATCATCATCGAGCCCTGCAGCCGTAGCAAGCAGGACGAGAGTCTGCAACGTCCAAAGAACCACGTCCCCGCTGAGGATATGCTCCATAACCAGCCGATGAGCGATCTGCCTGTATCCGGCATAGACCTCCTCTCCGCCAGGATGCTCCGGATGGGGCGAGAAGCGCCCCGCCACCGCAAGCAAGGCATAGACAAGCCCCATATCCCGGGTCTGGAGAGTGCTGAGGAAGGTGTCATGGTGGAATAGTGGGAAGGGCTGCGACTCCACCCATTGCAAGTACAATTGCGCGATCTCTGAGACTTGGACCCAGGGCGGCAGGGCTAGCCTAGTGAGGGGGAGCTCTGGTGTTGCTGGAGCACGGTTTATAGAAAGACTGGTTTGTGCGTCACTCAATTCCTGTGATATTACCTGTCTCTTGGGCAGACTGAGGCCAACTGCGCGACGATCGTCATACGAGCACGGTTGTCGTAATCGTGCACAGTGGGCGCATACGGGCCTCTGGCCGGGGCATTTGGATTTCTTCCTGCGACAAGGCAGACAGGCTTGCTTGGCCCTTGGACGGGGATTAGGAACGGAACTAGAGGTATTGGTGCTTAGGGACATCATGCAGCAACCAAGTAGTGACAGCAATCGAGCGATAAGGAAGACGGGGAGGAATACGGAGTTTTATAGTGAATGCCGTGCCAAGACGGCAGCCATACCGACCCGGCCCGTTTGACGTGATTATCTCCGAAATGGCATCAAGATGGAGAACATGGGGAACCAATACATTCTACGTAGAATATAGAGTACCTTATAAATCGTTGGTCCTGCGACTTGTGATAGCATGGTTTTGTTGGAAAAATCTATTCTCCATCACATTGATTCCCCTGAGTCCCCGTCTGGTGTCAATTACCCCAATGACTCGGCCTCAGATCGTCCTTCTCACCCTGGTTAGCCAGCTGGCTAGCCTGGCAACTGCAGACTGGCAGTATAGATCACGGCCAGACCTATCTCCTCCCAAGTTGAACGTCACTGTTCCCGCGGCCGCCTCTACGGCTCCCGGCTACATCTTTACCGCGCCGTACTTAGGGTTCGATGCGGGCAGTACCGGCCCCGAGCAGCCGGGCGCGTACATCTTCACCAACGATGGCGATCTGGTCTGGTCGGCCACTGGCTATCTAGCCGGGTGGGTGGCAGACTTTAGTCCTACCGTGGTCGATGGAAGGCTCGTCCTGCGCGCCTTTCAGGGGAGACTCGATGCCCCGCACGGACGCATGTACGGTGATCATGTCATCCTGGACGACCATTACGAAGCCATCAAAACGGTCCGGGCAGGATCGCATCGACTGGTCTCGTGCCATGAGTTCCAGATACTAGAGGGAGAGACTGTTCTGATTGAAACGCCGGTCTCAATCCCCACCGATCTCTCACCCTACGGGGGCGATGAGAATCAGACGTGGGTAGTGACGAATGGGTTTCAAGGTCGGTTTCCCTCTCTTCACTAGTCCTCATGAAGCTAACTTAAATCTTTCTGCAAATTCAGAGCTCGATATTCAAACCGGTCAAGTCCTCTTTGAATGGTACAGCTACGACCACGTTAGTCCCAAATGTGAGTACCTCAAGCTTAGGCAACACCAGCATAAACCCCCACTGACCCAATCTCCCGAATAGACACCCATTTCCCCCTAGAAGAGACCGGCCCATTTGGCGGACGCTCCTCCTTTGACGCCTGGAACTACTTCCACATCAACAGCGTCGACAAGGACGACGAGGGCAACTACCTGATCTCCGCGCGCAACTACGCGGCCATCTTCAAGATCAACGGCACGGACGGCGAGATCATCTGGCAGCTGGGCGGGCGCGCAGGCTCCGGCTTTGAGATCCCTGACAGTGTGCAATTCGCCCACCAGCACGACGCGCGCTTCCGGTACCGCTCCGCCGACGGCACCATCGAGCATATCTCCTTTTTCGACAACGCGATGCACACCGTCCCCGGCCATGCTCTGAACCCGTTCTCCCGGGCGCGCATTGTGGAACTCAACCACACCGCCAGCACGGCGTCCGAAGTGCGTACCTACACTCCCCCGGACGCGCTGGCCACCAAATCCCAGGGCAACGTGCAGCTGCTGGCCAATGGAAACGTCTTCGTCAACTGGGGCCAGGCGGGTGCGGTGACTGAGTATGCCGAGGACGGGGAGGTGCTCTTCCATGCGTTCCTGGACTCGGAGCCGTCGAAGAACGTGCAGAGCTACCGCGGATTCCGCGCGGAGTGGACCGGCTTCTCGCCCGAGGAGCCCGCGGTGCTGGCGGTGCGCAGCCAGCAGGATAGATTGACGGTGTATGTGTCCTGGAATGGCGATACCGAGACACGCACGTGGCAATTCTATTTGGTCTCGCAGGAGAAAAATGTTCAGGTTGTCACGTCGATCGGAAAGGCGAAGCGGACGGGATTCGAGACTGTCTTCACGTCGCAGGTCGCGACTTCTGTGGTCGGGGAGGACTCGGTGCGTGTTCTGGCTGAGGCCTTGGACTCCAGAGGCCGGTCGCTTGGAAGGAGTAGCGCGATCAAGCTGCAGGATGATGCGTTTTATCCTTGGGAGTCTGCGAATGCTGGTAGCAATGGTCAGTATGCGAGCGACCAGATTATACTCGAATTGTGATAGGGCCATTAGAGGTCAACGCGATGAGGTAGATAATATACGATGTACCAGACGTGGATTCCCCTTGGTTCGCCACCATAAAACTAGTTGTGGCTAACTCACTGGGTGATCTGTAGATAAGAAATGTGCGCAGCTGCCGAGTAGACTTGTTCCGCGTCTTGTAACATCTATCTGATGGTGTCATCAGCAATGGATATGCTCTCGTTCAAGCGTGCATGTCCGACTGTCGCAATGCCGTCTTTCGCCGTGTACACTGAGTTTAGCTAGACAAGACGAGCGTCTTCTCCTGCCTGCTCATCTGGGTGGCTGATGATGCAATAGCCCTAGAGCCCTAGAGTCGAATCTATGAACATATAAACCGAGAGTGGGAGCTACTCTCCTCTTAACTACGGCCACTCATCACTTTTCGTTCCTTCCCAAGTCCACCAGGGTGTCATAACAGTACCCTTTACCTACACAATGTTCGAGATCGCTGAGAAAAGCCTGGGCGGAGAGGTACTGGAGCTCGAACCCAGCAGACCGCAATGGACTAAATCGGCAGAACGACGTGTCCGTCGCAAGTAAGCATTGGCCAGCCCTTCCGCCCTCACAACCCTACCTAACATGTTTGCCCACTCGTACATAGAATCGATTTCATCCTTCTGCCCATTTTAGGCCTCGCGTTCTTCGCCCTGCAGCTCGACCGTGGAAACATCAGCACGGTGTTGACCTCAACAATCACCTCAGACCTCAACATCACCACCAACCAGATCAACGTCGGCTCACAGCTGCTGTCCGCCGGGATCGTGCTCACCGAGATCCCATCCAATATCTTACTGCAGAGGTTCGGCCCGAAATGGTGGCTGTCCTTCCAGCTGCTCGCCTGGGGCTTCGTGGCCACCTTCCAGGCGTTTGTGTCGAACTATGCCTCGTTCCTCGCCACGCGACTACTCCTTGGCCTGCTAGAGGGCGGATACATCCCCGGAGCTTTGTTCTACCTGTCGACCTGGTACAAGAAGAAAGAGCTGAGTTCCCGAGTCACCTTGTTCTTCTTTGGCCAGATGTTCTCCGCCGCCACCTCGAATCTGATCTCCGCTGGACTGTTGAAACTGGACCAGTCGCAAGGGTTGGCAGGGTGGCGATGGGTGTTTCTCGGTAGCATCCCCTCCTCTACCTCCTCTATTCATCGCATACTGACCCCTTACAGTTGAAGGCCTCATAACCATCTTCATCGGTATCATCTTCCTCCTTCTCCTACCCACAAGCACGACCAACGCCCGACCACTCCTGACGCACCGCTTCCACTGGAGCTACTTCACCCCGGACGAGCTGGAAATCATCCGACAGCGGTATGCAGCCGACGCGCACAGCAACCCCACCGACGACAGCCGCGTGCGCATCCGCGCGCGGGACATTTGGCGGACGGTGCGCAAGCCCACCATCATTCAACACTTTTGCTTCACGCTGGTGTCCATGAGCGCCCTGTCCGGACTGACCACCTACACCCCGACGCTCATCAGATCTTTTGGTTATGATGCCATTCACGCCAACCTGCTGGCGTCCGTCCCGGTCTACTGCAGCATGGTGTTGACTTTTACATTTGCGTATCTGAGGTACGTTCCTTGCAGTATTCCCCTCCACACTATACGTATCCTTACAACAGTCTTTCTTTCCCACCCGACTTGAATACTAACCTCAAAAAAAAGCGACCGCACCAACCAGCGTGGTCTCTTCGTCCTCCTAGGCAGCACCTGGAACCTCATCGGCTACATCTGCCTCCGCGAGATGCCCACCACGGCGAGCCGGCAGCATAAGTACGGGACTATCGTCGCGGCGAGCGTGGGGTATGCGGCTATGCAGTACGTCCTTGCTTTACCAATCCTTACCTTGCCACTACAATCCCTGCCATTACAGTTCCTGCCTTCCTTCTTTTTCTTTGTTTTAAGCAACTAATAGTATATCAAAGCATCCTAAACGTCGCCTGGCTAGCAGCGAACTGCACCACGCCCCAGGAAAGAAGCGTGGCCCTTGCGTTTGTCCCCCTAGCCCTCTCATTCCGTCATACGCGGAGAATACAGCAAGTTCTAACGCAAGCAGACTCGTCATCATGGCCGCCAATCTATCCGGGATCAGCGGGGGCCAGATCTTCCGGACGGGCGATGCCCCGCTCTACCGGCATGGGCTGACGGCGTTGTGTGCGCTGGCGGGCGCAGCGTGGGTGCAGGCGGTGGGGTTGAATGTTTGGTATTGGGTTGGGGGGAGGAAGGGCTCTGCGCATGTCAAGACGGCGGAGTAATCAATTGTGCTTTGAAGGTTGGGGGTGAAGATATGTGGGTGGAGGAGGCCAGGGAGGAAGGGCAAAAGCGCGGCGGGAGAGAGTGTAGGGCTGAGGGCTACGCCGGGCTGGGGTATTGAGTGTGTTGGGGTTGGGTGTCTGTACTACAGATAGTACACATGTAGTATTGTACTGTACTCGCTGCTAGGTGGATCCGGGCCGGGAAAATCATTGTCTCAGACGGTGAAGATTCGCATTTGATGGACAAGGGACTAAGTCTCTATCTGGTCCTGCCCGGGTCAGTTAGCTCTATTGCACTTTGAGGTGCCTTTGACGCGGTTGGTCTTATGATTGTGCTTCCTTAGTGTCGTTAGTCTTGTAATCCGGTCTCTTTAGTGCCTTTAGTTTCGTGATCTGGTTCCTTTAGTGCCGTTAGCCTTGTAATCTGGTCCACTTTCCTAGCCATCCTCCCTCGCAGCCCGGAGACACGTTGTCTCAGATCTGCCACGAGGCTGAGCGGGGTCAAGGGACTTGCTCACTCGGTCGTTGCTTGTTTCTTAGTGCAATTGCCTTGATTCGGGGGCGGATTAGGGCGGATAAGGGCGGCTATTCATCCGGAACGGGAACGGGACGGAGCGGGTCGGGACGGAGCATGATCAATGCTACGGCTGGGTGACTCGATGCAGGGGTTTAGTTCTACAGGGAATTAGGGCTGTCGCAACGGAGTGAGAAAAAGACATTGCGCTGAGATAAGCACTGAGCTTCGGGGCACAGAGGCTTCCACCCCTAAGGATACCCCGTGTAACACTGTTAGGATTGAGTATTAAGAAATTAAATGTCATCCGCTGAACAAAAAGAAGAACGGACATGCGGTGGGTCCGCGACTGCCACAATCGATTCATGCCCCTGCAAGAGACAATTCTGCAAGACTGCCTTGCCTCAGCCGGACGAACACCGAGCATCAAGGGGCACAAACAGCCCTCGGCTCCAAGCATACCCCGTCCAAGCATTCTCATTGGCCGTGCCGGAACTTTAGTTCCGCAGCCAAGATAAAGAAGTGGGCCTGGAGCTGAATTCTCAATTGCCTGCGCGCCGAGCTGAGCTGATCTCCGTGATCGGCACCAATCGATCGAAATCTCGATCTCTGCCCAGCAATCGCGATACAAAGTACGGTGCGTACGTCATCTATAAGTTCTCCATCCCCGCCTGCATGCGGTGATAACATCCTGAACCTGCCCCGGAGGACCCCAGAGCAGAACCTCCCATCCACACCGCAGAGCCATCACCATGGCCGAACCCCCGCAAAAGGGTACAGTACAGCCCTACCCATCTCCAGTCGAACCACTACTAACCCAACCCCAAGTCTGGGCCTCCCTAATCACCAACCTCAACTACCTGCCGGGCCTCCTAACCCTCGCCCACTCCATCCAAACAACCAACACGATCTACCCCTTCATCGCCCTCTACACGACCTCCTTCCCAGAAGAAGGCATCGCCGCCCTCCGCGCCCGCGGCATCCCCTCCCGCGAGGTCCCCACCATCACCCCGTCCGGGAATTGCACCCACGAGCACGACCCCCGCTTCGCCGAAGCCTGGAAGAAACTCGTCGTTTTCTCGTTAGAAGACTACGCCCGCATCGTCCTGCTGGACAGCGACATGCTCGTGCGGCAGAACATGGACGAGCTGATGGAGATCCCCCTCGATGAAGACCGAATCCTGGCGGCCAGCCACGCCTGTGCCTGCAACCCGCTGAAAAAGCAGCATTATCCGAGAGACTGGTACGCCACCCTAGATTTTAGAACACATACATCCCCAGCCTCACCCACACACTTACATCCAAGACTGACTTTGCGGAAAAGGACCCCCGCAAACTGCGCCTACACAGCCCAACACCCCACCCCGGACACCGCGCAGACCACCGGTCCCCCGGCTACCGCGGGCGTGGCGATGCTCAACAGCGGGCTGCTGGTCGTGCAACCCCGACAGACCGACTTCGTCGCGGTGCAGACGGCGCTCCACGACACGGAGCAGGTAAAAAGGTACGCGCTGGCGGACCAGGAACTGTTGTCGAATGTGTTCCGGGGCCGGTGGCGGGCGTTGCCGTATGTGTATAATGCGTTGAAGCCGATGCGGGGGGAGGGGGAGGGTACGCATGCGGGGATCTGGCGGGATGGGGCGGTGAAGAATGTGCATTTTATTTTTGCGGTGAAGCCGTGGCAGATGGACCGGGAGCAGGGGGAGGGGGATGAGTTGGTTGGGTGGTGGTGGGCGGTGGATGAGGAGAGAAGGCGCGGGGAGGTGGAGAGGGGGGTGGTGGATGGGTATTAGTATGAAGTGTAGCCCTAATTTCGGGGAGGACTGTTTCCTCGCGCTTTGAAGATGGGGGTTCTCGGTTGTTCTCTTCTAGCTGCACTGTACTCGTTTCCGCCGCCTGGTTGCTTAGGATAAAGTGCAGGGGGATCACGATGGAGTGACCCAACTGGCAGACAGTAGTTGTGAAAGTGGGGAGGCAAGCCTGCCTGGCGCATGAACAGGAAGAGCAGTTGGGTCTAGTCGATTGAACGACTCAACAACCAAACAACGAAACAAACCCCCTATCTCACGGCCGAAGTACGGTCGAAATGAAAGACACAACACGAGAACCATCACACAACAAGATCCCAGCACAGACAACCAGGAACACCCAAGGCATAAATACGAGAAACAACCCATACTAAAAGTCGACCGCCCCAATAATAGCACGCCGAACAAGCGAGACGCGATGGATCCGAAGTCCCGGAGATGAATGACATCTGGACTAGCCCCGGCCGCCGGCCATAACTTACTTTCTTCTAACTTAGCGAGGTTTAGGCCACGCTAACACGCTAGCCCCAAGGGAAGCAGGAGCCCTAGACTAGACTACCGGCAAAATAATGACCCACTCTGTGCTGAAAGGATTCCAGCAACAAACAAATCCAGTGGCTTGATTTATCTGAGACACCTTGGAAGTCTGCCTACTGTCTACTACTGCCCAGTGCATTCCCCCTTTCTGCGATTGACTGGTCGAGAGCCGAGACTCTGGTAGCGACGGTCGCGGGTTTGCCCAATTACAACTACCGAACGGCTACAAGCGGGGAGGACGCCCGTACAGTAAGTAAGTAATGTGGTCCCCTCCGTACCCTCCCCAATTTTGAGAGCGGGAAACCCGGCACTGAGTGGCAACTGGCACCACCACCGCAAGAAAAAAATTACCGGTTTTCTCTCCCCGCGCGCACCAGCTCCCCCGGTCCGCGGGGGGGGGTGGAACATGCCTGCCGGTAGTCCCTGCGTTGAAGACAGAACACATCATCCAAGAATCCATGATAATGCTAGAATAGAATTAAAAATGATCATAGGTAAATTAGAACAGCCTACGACTCGTCCCGCGCCGTCACCACAGAAAACTCAACCTGCTTCTGAATTCCGCCCTCCACAACCACCCCCCCTTCCTCATCCCGACGGCGGTCGGACCCCGACGGAGGCCGATGGAGATCCTTCAAGATCTGCTCGATGCTGTCGGCGTCGTCGCGCTGGCCCGACGCCTGCCGCTCGTAGTAGTGGCCGCCGGGGGCCGACTCCTTGCCCTTGGAGTAGGGGCCGGACAGCTCGTAGGAGCGCGACCGCGCCGCGGACGAGAGCTTCTGCACCGAGGAGATGAGCAAGGGCCGCACGCAGGGCACCGAGCTCGTGATGATGATGATCAGGCTCTCCGCGAAGCCCCAGCGGATTAGCTCCACCCCGCCCGAGGCCCCGATGTTGGTCACGCTGGGGACGTCCTTCAGCTTCGTGGTTTTGATGATCGAGGCGATCATGGCCCTAGTTTGGTGTTAGTTTGAGGAATTGATTGTAATTGCGGAAGCGAAGGCTTCGGGTTAGGGTAAGGTCCACATACACCAGACCCAGACTCAACAGCACGATCAAACTGATCTTGATCCGGAGGCGGAGGTTTAGGTTCCAGAAGACGATGGTCGGGAACACGGCGAGGAAGAGATCGGTCGCGGTGTTGACGGCTGTATCCATTGTCATGCCTTGTTAGTCTAGTTGACTCCAAATCTAAGGAAGAAGTGGGCTAAGAACTCACAGGAGGAAAAGTAGGAGAACCGCACCACCGCCACCGTGTTGCCGCAGGTGGTCTTGATGTTCGCATTCCACAGGATCCGATCATCCCGACAAATGCTCATGGGCAGCACCGCGGACACGATATTGGCCGCCAGCTGCAGCAGCATTGCTACCCACAGTGCGAGCTGGTACTTCTTGTTGCCGCCTAGGATCCCCAGCAGGTAGATCACGAAGGAGCATCGCGCGATGCCCGTGCTGATCGTCACCAGCAGCACCTCCAGCGCGATGTACTTGAGGATGTGCTCCACATTCTTGGTGGGAAGCAGTGTGAGGTCGGAGCCGAAGCCTTCGCGCACGGAGAACGTCAGGAGGACCGTCGAGGACAGGGTCAATGCCTATGCAACTGGGCGTTAGCGCTTCATACTCAGAAGGTTTGCGAGTGGACTTTTAGGAGCAATGCTGTCGTACCCAAGAGATGAACATCAACGCATCGTCGACATACAGCTGGCGGATCTTGATTTTCGCAGCAACGCGCAGGATAAGGATCACCGTCGCGATACCGACGGCCACCCATATACCCTTTTCCAGAGCAGAGCCGTCGGGGTTGTGCATCGTGTGAAACGGCAAGAGATGGGGGGGGACTGTAGCAATAGCGGCGACGATCGCCTCGAGCAAAAAAAAACGGGGATCGCCGTTTTAGTTATATTTATTCCTGAATGACGCTTGCAGGGATGTTTTTTAAACTTTAGGCACGGATTCTGCACACATGGTTCGAGAAACGAGACTGGGTTCTTTAGTTGGCCGGCTCCTGTCGGCTACTCTGAGAAATTGCTCGGGTGGGGACCTCATTATCTAGACCAAGCCACTAGACTAGACCAAATATCAGAGGGCACCAGTTACTCGCCACGAGGTAGTTCTGCAGAAGCAAGTTGCCGACCAACCTATTCGATGACTGCAGGAAATCTGCTCCACGCCATCTCGCTTGCGGTTCGATCCCCGATCCCACGGCCATGAAGGCGACCCGACCCAACTGGGAATCTGCTTCTGGTCCAAGCTCATCCAAGAAGTTGCGCTCCGTCCTGGATCCGGGATTAAAGTTCAATGACGCGGTGGGGAACCCAAGGATGTCAAAGTTTGGGTGACAAATGGATTCACCTGTGCGCTCTCACCAAAGCATTCAGTTCATTGGGTTGACCTGCACCGTTCCAAACTTTCACTCAGGACGAGCACTGAAATTTCAGCAGCAGGCCAGCGCCCCCCGTGGGCGTCCCAAGGGTTTGGCGGGAGGTACCCGCTGCCCTCCAGCCCTAATCGCCAGATTGGCCAATGCACAGGGATCGGCGAAGCAGGAACAGGTCAAGAATGCTTCCAGCGTTGCGCTGAGTGGTACGATGCGACCGATTAACCTTCGTACCTGGTCCTTGTTTTCCATGGATTCGGTGGCCAATTTCTGGGCGTGAACCTAACACGGAGGTGGGAGAGACAACCGCACAATGCAATAACACCGGTCGGCAGTACGGCCACAACCAGTCAAGGTAAGGTGGCCAGCAACACAAATGCGACTCTCCGAGATGCATCGGATTTCCTCCGCAATGACTTTTCTCCCCAGAGACTAGGCTCAACTCAGCGGGTGACTCTTTCCAATTGACCCCAAATTCAGCCAGCACCCTGAGTCAGTTCGAGTCGGTTCAGAGTTGTTGGCATGATCCCGCATCTCGGAACGCTCACGGAACTCTGGTTCCGGGTCGTGCGCCGAGCACGAGTCAAGAGGAAGGACCGGCGCCACAAAATGCAGCCCTAAACATGAGGTCCTCTGTCTCGGCTGCTTTCACCACAGAACGGAGATAAGCATTATGCTTGGAGAGCTTGAACTTGGAACAGCTTTTGGTGGTTGGGTAATCTTCCCTTAACGTTACCTTGTGAGATATACTGTACATTAAAACCTTACTATCGAACCCTTGATAACCGTCCTACCTACAACTTCAATGCTCTCACAAATAGCCCCGAGCCCGTACAAAATTCTAGACCCTGTGGTTTCCCTGTTTTCAGAACGGCCTTATTGCATTTCTCGGTGAGATCGCTGCTAGTTTTCGAGCCGTCGAGTTTAGGGGCGGGTCCATCACGGTCGTACGCTCTATTCTGGGAAGAACAGGTTCATTGTAGTGCTAGATCGGAAACTCTAAAATCGCGACTATTGCTCTGGAAACACTACTTTGCATGGATAACAGATATCTAATGTGTGGCAAATTGCAAGCTCCTTGCACATTAACAATAAATGCATACTGCCTCATTTGTACACCTTTTGTTTTCACGCGATAGACTGTACGCACTCTCTTATCTTGCTTTATGCAGGACCTGACATTCGATCATGCATCTTTTATAGTTCGAGACTCATTTCTTGCTGGTATGTACACCCCTCTGGCCATGAACCGGCTCGCACGCCGCTAGTCTTACTTATCTTACTTTCTAGCACTCATAGGGACCTCTCAGAACATAAACAGTGGAGCTAATTAGTTGATATGAGAACTGTCGATTCTATTATACCTGATAAGTGGTATCTGCAGAAGGGCTTCATATCTTGTCTGTACAAGCAGCCGTCGAAGTGAACTCAAACCGGTCATAAAAAGTCGTCCCTGGCCCCACATTTACCTGTAGGCAATTCATGTATGTATTGTCCACGCACATGAAAGGGAGTCCTTATCTTACCTTGCTTCTGGAAAATTGTTTTCCCTGGTTTAGGTCATCTTATTCATCTAGTCTAGTCTAAACTAGGCATACTTTTTTTTGTATATTTCGGTCATGATAAACTTACCGGTTAAGATCCGTCGCCATGTTCCGTGTTATTGAGCTCACCATGCTCAGCGTCTCGAGCCAATGTCAATGAGCTATGGCCAACGCTTGGCAGTGAGCCCCCCACATGATTTAGAGAAAATCAACAGTGGCAATAGGATCGGAGTCAGGGGACCCCGATAGCGAGCACCCGGTACCCGCCACTTCCATCAGACGAACCAGACTCACAGTCGGGGTGGTCATCGCAGCTATCGTCACTGCAATTGGTGTTGTTATCATCAACCATGTTGTACCCACCGCGGCCTCCGGCTTCGACATCGGCACAGTTACTGCCATCCTCAGGGGCATCAGCAGCCGTGGTGCCGTTCCCAAACATATTATACCCGCCGCGTCCATCAGGCGAAACAAAGTCGCAGTCGGGACGGCCATCCACGCAACCATTGTCGGTAGAATTGGCGTCGTCGTTGTCACCACCAACCGTGTTATACCCACCGCGGCCTCCGGCCTCAACATCGGCACAGTCACTGCCCTCGCAGTCACAGGCACCGAGAGTCGCCGCCGCCGCGTGACCCTCGGGGTTATTGGAGGCGGCAGGCTCAGCACCCGGATCGACAGACTCGATCTCACCCGCACCAACCTGGGAGGACACGTCAGCGGTGTTGTCCTCGGGAACCGGGGCGGCGTTGAGGACCATACCGGGTAGGCAGGCCGCAGCCAGGGCCAATTTGTTGATGTGCTTCATCTTTGCTCGTAGACTTTGTCAGTTTAATCTGTTGACGGTGAGAAGGGAGGTCAGTACGGTTTGGGAGGTTGATGAGGGTACTGGGGTTTGCAACATGACTTTAACGTTTATTATATACTGTGGCATCGTAAGGCTTTCTTGCCAACCACAAAGAACTGTTGTGGAGGATATCAGTCTGGCTGAATGATCAGCAACAAGGATAATATCTACAATCTGACGGATCCCGATATAGTGGCGCGCATGAATATCATTCTGAAATGGTCATTTTCAGACCCTGGGAGAACTGCTTTGGTGGGGAAAAAGCTGCCCACGGAAAGGCTCGGGAAGCAAACGGAGAACAAGTCCAGGGAGTCCTTTATCCCAGGGGTGGGTAGGTTCAGCATCGTTTGTTTATGATCGTTCTGAGGATAACATTTAAAAGAAGAAAATAACCAAGTGTAAAGGCTATGCACCATTGATGTCAGTTTGTTGATTGCTCACCATATGGGTTGCAGATGCATAATGAAAATGGCAAAAAGTTATGACAAGAGTGGGATTCGAACCCACGCCATCAAACGATGATCAGGAAGCTTGTAGAAGCTGTTTGCTAAGGTAACCTTAACCTGACGCCTTAGACCAACTCGGCCATCTTGCCTTGATGTCAGAAAGCGTTAATACAATGTTACAAGACTCACTGCGATAACTCCTGCTCAGCACAGGCACCATTGTAGCCCTAACAGCTTGCCTGGTGAAGCCAGTGCTGAGTTCAACGCGAGCAATTGTCTTGCAGATTAGGATGCTAGAGGAGTTTACCTGATCAATGGTCTTTTTTATTCCCATAATTTTATGCCGACAGTTCCAGAAAGCGACAAAACATCTAAGTAAAAAATGGTTGACTCATGCCAGAAGTATATATAGTCATACTGCAATCACGAACTAAAGGGATAGACAACTCGTCTTTCCTTTCTGTTATTGAATCGTTATTGTTAAATTTCATCTTTCTTGTTCTTGCCTTCTTTTACTTCTTCTTTCCTACATATTCCGGTAGTCACATATCGAAGAACTCCTGCAGTGTCATGCCAATGTGCAATACGCTTGTGATGCAAGGCTTCATTCCGGACGCCGACCATATTATGAATGTACGTGCGGTACTACACAGACAGCAACCGAACCACGAAGCTTCAACTCCTGCCTATTGTTTAGTATCAATCAATGAGATCAATGCACCAAAGCCTCGTCAGTTGATCGGGAAATCAAATGCCATGGTAAGCCACCATGATCAGATCACCAGGGACGCAAATAAAGACCAAGGACCAAGTACGTTAGCTAATGAACACAGCAAACATGCAACAAAGAAATCACCACCCGCAGTCTTGCTATAGTATATGGATGTGCTTCAAACACAGCCAGAGCAACAACAACTGTAGCCTTGACTCTCGAATCCCGCATCCATCCTTTAGTAGCTTGAGCCACCCACCCAGCTCCATCAGATACCAACCAACAATAAAGCATCCCCCCATAATCACCCCCTAATCCGCCTCCTCCTCCTCCTCCACATCATCATCCCCACCATGTCCATCACACCTCACAAACCAAAAACTCAAACTATTCTCCACCCGATCCGTATACACATAACTATGCTCAGGCCAACTATCCGAATTGACATGCAACCCATTGTACCCGGTCGCGCTATCCACCACCTGCACACGGAGCCAGTCGCCGTGCGCAACCGCCGACGCCGTGAAGCGCGCGCGCTTGCCCTGCGTATCCTGCGCGTCGGGCCACACCTGGCTGGGGACGCCCTCGAACACGTTGAGGAAGCGCGGCTGCCAATGCGACATGGGCGAGCCGCCCAGGTCGCGCAGGTAGAAGGTGCCGTGGTTCTTAACGAAGCCTTCGTCATCGTCGCAGTACTCGGTGCGGCACACCTGCAGGCGCCGTGGCTCGTGATATTGCTTGAAGGCTAGCCATTGGAAGGGAACCGCGGAGTTGCCCCAGGTGCTGTTAACCAGCGGGCCGAAGTCCGGGTGGATGAGGTGGTAGCATTGGCCGTAGGAGATGTTGAGCCGGGGGGGCGAATTTTGGGGTTGGGGTTGGTGGGCGGGGCAGGGGGTGGTTAGCACTTCGTGAGGCTTGTTCAGGTTGTTTAGTGGTTGCATGAGCTGTGGGAGTGGGTTGGGGTGGTTGGGGAGGGCGTTGGCTGTGCCTGCGGTGAGGACGAGAAGGGGGAGGAGGGTGAGTTTTAAAGTCATTCTGGTGTCTTTGGAAGGAGGGACAAATCTGTTCCTATTCTTGGGACTTGATGAATTGTTTGGAGAGGATGAGCGTGTCTGGGCGCGTTGGAGCAGGGATTGTCCTTGAAGAAGCGCATAGGGGTCTTAGAGAGGTGCCTTTCTTCTCTTTATATGTTAGGTCGACTTGCTCAAAGAGCCAACTTATCCTAGGCTCTTCAAACTGCAGTGAGGTAAGCTTTAAATTTCTTCTTGTTCATGTGTCCCGAAGCATCATGCTCTGGAACAATGCCTACTGACTGAAAACGGCATGCTGCTCTTAAGCTTATGCCAATCGAGTCTTACTGATGAGCACCGCAAAAGCAAGAACCTCTGTTACGGAGATCACAGCTGGGGATGATATCACGACTACCATCAGTTCAGACTGTTTTCGTCAAGTCCCCTTCAGCAGTGACAGCGGAAATCAACCGACGGCGGCGAGCGGATCTTGAGGTATGTTGGAAAGCGCGATCCAGACCTACTTCCTTGATTTGTTCAACACATGTTCCCCTAGAGCTTGATTTCCTCGACGGAATCAAGTAAATGAGGCTCTGAGAGTTATCGATCTGCACTTTTAATCTTGGACTCTGGATGGATTGTAGCCAATGTTGGACGTCATAGTCATGACGGCTCTTGTACCACGGTTGAAAATAAACTCTATCTGGCAATAAAGCTTGTCACCATCCGCAACCGGATACTTCTTTCCGCAACGACGACGTCAACGTCATACTTCTGGGTGAGTATTCATATGGGGACAGCACCTTACCTGCTCACCCATGATCATACAGTACTGGGATGAAGGTAGGTTTCTACTTCAAACCGGGCTCTTGTTAATGTGACGCCAATTTGAGAATTTACTGCAATAATCAAAATCGAAAGGAAAGATTTTAGAAGCGGAAATCCTTTATTGGGATACCGGGGACCAGCCCGGGTGGGAACATTTCCTTGACATGTCATAGAAAACGGAATGGATATTATATGAAGTACAAGAAAGGTAGAAAAACTATTCAAACAGGATATCGAACTCGCCACGAGTACTGTCTTACTACCCGTATATGGCCCCAATCGTGGCGCAGGCTTGCCTTATATTCCGCCGACCTGAACAGATGTTCGACCACGGACCACGGCTCACAACGTGCCTCTAGCTCCTGAAAGGTCATCACGTTGAGTTCCGGATGGTGACCGACGGCATTGCGCGCGGGATATCTGTAGCGCGTCGCCTGCGGAAGGCTTTTCGGTGGTAACAAAGTGGCACCGCGATCGAGCAGCATCCGCGCGCGCATGCGGAATCGTTGTGGCTCTCCCCACGCGTAATAATGTGAGCCCACATTCATTAGCGGGGTTCCGTAGGAGATTTGCGCATCGAGATCCAGACCGGCCCGGAGAAGAAGATCCAAAGTGGCCGCGGCTTTCTCATCGGCAGCATCGGTAAGCGCCGCAGGACTCCGCAGATTAACAGTACGTGCCAACAACAGCGGGTGCCGTACTGGCAGGAAGCCTCGATCCAGCAGCCACTGCAGGGTCTCGACCTGTGCGGTCTCGGCCGCAACCTTGAGCGCTTTTTCGCAGGTGATGGGGTCGACATGGACCGGCGAGAGCAAGAAATCCCATTTCCCGGTGTTGACGAGAAGATCGAGGACTGCGCGGCCGCCGCGGACGGCTGCGTGCGACAGGTGGAAGCGACCCAAATGACGCGAGAAGTCGAGGCCCTCGTCAATCAGTATCTGGATGACAGTGGTCTGGCCGGAGACTAGGGCATGGGATATAACCGAGTCATTGCTGTCGTTAACAGCGGTGGGGTCAGCCGCCGCGGCAAGCAGGCGGCGAAGGATGCGCTCGAGTGGAATGGCATACGTTAACGCCGGAGAAATGGTGGAGTCACCATACCGAGCTCTTTGATCTTGCTCGTTGGGATTTGCTCCAGCAAGCAGGAACAGAGAGACCATGCTCTCTGAGCCCTTGACAACAGCCTGAAGGAAGGGCTTCAGAGAATATTTCTGTGCTTGCGCCGGCGATACCTCGGCGCTATACGCGAGGAGCACCTCGACCACCTCATCGCGACCTCGGGCTCCAGCTCAGCAGAGAGCCGTCGGTAACTCACTCTACGACCGCCATCGAACTGTGGTTATTCGAGAATTGGGGTCGTGTCCCTGTTTCTCAAGAACATCCCGAACCAGGGCCGTATACCCATGTCCGGCAGCCGCGAACAGAAGTGAAGTTTATCCGCTGGATGGATCGTCTGCGCTACGTAGTCCCATTTCTCGAAAAGCAGAGCAACTACCTCGTCGTGCTTGAACCATGCGCTCTACTCGGGGGGACAGGTTGCCGCGTGATGACGCATTGACGGCTCTGACCCGTGGCGGTTAAACCGTAGGAGTATCTCTCCGGGAAAACAATCGAGTCTTTTGACCAGCATAACGACCACGAGGTGGTGCATTTCTCCGACTGCAACAGCGGATACCTTCGACCTGCTGGTGGGCGCGGACGGGCAGAGTTCGCGCCTCCGACGGGCGATGCTGCCACCGCAACCGCAGCCGCAGCCACCCGTCCACGCGCCACCGGACCCCTACTGGCGGACGGGGTTGCATACATCGCCTACTTCTTCACCACGCGGTCGGGGAGGATGTGAATGATTTTCTGTCGTACCCTTGTCACCGGGGCAGGTTGGTCATGCGCCGGACGCATAGCGAGACGGAATCGCAGGTGTATCTCATTCTCTCCGAGAAGAGACGGCGGAGACGGCGGAGATCCATCGGCGGCCGGTGGAGGCGCAGAAGGCATTCTGGGCGAGGCGGTTTCACGATTCTGGGTGGCAGACGACGCGGTTCTTGGAGGGATTGCATGCAACGGAGATTTTCTACCGTCAGGAGGTGGTGCAGATTCGTGCAGACATGTGGTCGAAGGGCCGGGTGGTTCTGCTGGGGCGATGCGGCGCATTGCTCGTCCCCGTTCAGCGCGATAGGGACGACGGGCGCCTTGGTCGGTGCGTATGTTCTTGCCGGTGAGATTGTAAGACATTCCGAGGATTTACCACGAGCGTTGAGGAGCTATGAGGAGAGGTTGCGGCCTTTTGTCCAGGAGATACAGAAGTTCAATCGGTCGTTCTTGGAATTTGCGTTTCCGGAAACAAGGTGGGTGGAGGTTTCCGAGTATCCGGAGCTGATGCTGGATTGCGATAGCTCCGGTGCAGGGGATGCTGAGCGCTAGCAGCATTCTACTTCACTGTAAAGAGAGCTCCGAGTTTGACGAGATCACTACCTGGAGTTATAGCGAGCCTGGGCTTCGGGTGTGACATTTGATCCAGAGCGTCCAAGTTCAAGATTTTGATCAATCTGCTCTCTACTTGCCTCCTCTTACCTCCTCCCTCGCACTCGAGACCCAGATAATTGGTACTCGCCAGTCGTTCACCCGTCTATACACGGTGCAAGAGAATCCATGTATAAGACGAAATTACAACCTCTAGATATGTGTGTTTGGACCGTCTTTCGGCGCTCCCAATGTGTATAGGTGCTGATTGACTGCACGATTGGTGCACATCTTTGAGTCTTACTAAAAAGAATGAGGCCCCCGAGCGTGGAGCACCGGGCGCGGGCTTTCTGGGTCAAGATTGCAGCTTGCAGGTTGGTGTCCTCGAAACCTGCTTTGCCATTCGAGTGGGAAAGGGGGAAGGGGGGAGCATAGCAAAAAGGTGAGTGAGATTAATATAGTTATACTATAGTTCAGGAGACGTATTCTCGATATATTTCAATACTACACTAGCTACGTCCCGGCGGGGGAATGTTAGGAATATATACATCGGTGTCTACTTGGCGCGTATCAGTGAGGACCCAGCTACTAGCAGCATACTCACTCGGTTCCGCGACACGGGTGATCCAGTCCGCATCGATCTCAGTGCCGGTCACACTGAGCTCGGGATACACTAGTCTCCAGGGCTCGGCTCTCAGATACGTGGACCTCAGGTTGATACCCCACCTCTGCAGGTCATCCCCCCAGGTGTCAGCCGTGGGCGTCAGGTCCGTCCGGCCGATATCCCAGTGGGCATTGCCGGAGCAGTAGAAGGCGCTGGTCCGCCAGGTACTAGACCCCGAATCGGACTGGACACGCAGGTTATTGCCGGCCGTGACGGTGTACCGGCCGTGGTACACTCGAATGGACGCGGTGCGCGCGTAGGTCCTCGTGCGACCGTTTTGAGTGATAGAGACAAATGGATGGACATTGGAAGTCTCCCCTCCCTCGTCAAAGTGCAGATGGAAGACGACCCACTGGTCTGCTCCCGTGCCGTCCGTCATATCCCGATACTGGTCGTACGTGCTGTCGCCCACCGTCCCCACCTCCGGGCCAATCCAGTAAGCCAGCTCCAGAATCACCCCCGGTACGATATAAGGGTTGTTGCCCGCGTTCGCTGCCGAATAACGCAACCAGCGCGCGTAATTGAGAGGGAGAGTACCTGCATTCACTGCTTCCAAGATTTTCTTCATCCCAGGGGTCTTCTCTTTCTCAGATTCGCCTATTTTTAAGAAGGGATAACCTGGTTAGCTGAGGGAGGGACTAATGAGAAAAACGGGTAGGACATCAAGCTGCATGCAATAGGGAGAACTTACCTATACCATTGATATATCGCTTACTGCCTTCAAGGGTCGACAGATAGTGTATCAACCACGTAACGTACTGTACCATGCGTATCATTTCCGGTCCACTTTGTAACATACAGCTCCCACCACTACCTAGTTACTTACATTACAGTACAGTACTTGCTATATAAATTCCAGCCAAGTCCTTTCCTCCCTTTTCTCCCGTCACTCATTCCCGCACTTCACCTCTGCGCCACTTCGCTATGGCCTGCTATCCAAGACTTCCATACCCTGATCAGACAGGCCTCAACGGTCAGTTGATTGGATGGACTCGAGTGGGCAATTTCACCGCCGTGGCCACGCTTCTGGACAATCCAGAAGCAGTGGATCTGCCCAGGCATGGAGAGACGGCACTCCATGAGGCAATTAGGTATAAACGACTTGACTTGCTCCGGTACCTAATCGCCCGTGGATTCGACGTCAATCAGAAGGGTCCTGACGCATATGGCGCAATTTGCTTAACACCTCTGCACTTTGCAGCCGTAGGGAACTCGGCCGAGGCGGTGGATATTCTGCTCTCCGCTGGGGCCGATGCCACTGTGGACGATGCTTCAACAGATGGGTCGTCAACGCGCGGCATATTCTCAACGGGAGAGGACAAGGGGCCACATACACCGTTTCTGGCTGCAGCAGTCTGGGGCTCTGACGCCGTGGTGCAACGCTTGCTCGACCGGCTGCCTCCAGGCACCATTGCTGATCACGAATGGCCCCTGGCTTTGAGTGCAGCCTCGTTGTATCGCCATCCCAAAGCTCTGGCCGCCATCCTCCGTCACTACCCCGCCCCGATGGTACCACAAGAGATTCTTGACCGGGCTTTGGTGGAGGCTGCCGCAAAAGAGGACCACAACGCTGATCTTGCGATGTTTCCGGCTCCACCCGAGGAATCGTGGCAAAGGGGGCTGGAGACCGTCCAACTCTTGCTCGCCCATGGGGCTCGCCCGAATCCACAGCGTCCTCCATTACCCCCATCCATCTATCGATCCTCTAGGGTCAAGCCCCGACCGATTATCGAAGCGGTCGTTGAGACCTCCATGGGCATGGAGATGCTTCAGATGCTCCTCGACCACGGCCTGGAGCTCCCTCAGCCTTCCTCCACCGAGAGAAAGCCAGGAGAGCCTAGTCTCTTTGCCCGGGCAGTGCACAACGGTAACCCCGATCTGATTCACTTTTTCCATGAGTATCAAGCAGCCGTGCTGGATGTCAACGAGGAACTCCCGGAAACGCACCTATGGACGGGCGGATCTCTACTCCATGCCGCCGCGAAAAATGGTCGTCCCGAGACCGTCCAATTCCTGCTGAACCACGGAGCGGACCCCCTGCAGATGAACGGTAAGGGGTGGCTCCCCATCCACCAAGCGTGTCAGCAGCGCCATCTCGCGGTGATTGAGCTACTTTGGTCGTGCAGCAGCAGCTCACCCACCATTCCAGACCTGGCCAACTATCGCACACGAGATGGACACACGGCGTTCCACCTTGCCAAGTGCTGGAGCGCTGCCGACGACCCCGCGGTCGAGGCGCTTAGCATGCGCCTCTTCTACTTCTTCAAGGACAAAGGCGCCGATCTGAGCAGTCTGAATGCCCATGGGAAAAGTATCCTTCACTACATTCCATTCTATGATGAGGAGCGGTTCTGCGCCATCATAGAGGCAGGCGCGAGGCTGCGACCGGACGCCGAGGGCCAGACAGAGCTTCACCACAGCATGCGCGAGCCAGACTGGGAGTTGCTTGATGTTAAATTCTTATTGCGGCAAGGCGCCTCCAAGGATATCAATGCGCAGGACAACAAGGGCCGCACCCCGCTGTATTTCTATCTGGAGTGGAATTTCTATGTTCCAGGCGATGAGCAACAAATGCGGGCGGAGGTTGTGGACCTCTTGATGGAGGCCGGGGCGGATGCAGATATCCCTGCGGCATCCGGGAAGACTGCTAGGGATGTTGCGAAGGCCAAGAAATTTCCGTATGATTTCGACAAATGGAAAACTGAGGGGTAATGATTTGATGTATGATCGTGAAGAACAATTGCGGGATAGGAGGCGCATTCAGTAAGGAGAATCCCGGAGCCACCCAATATAGCCACACACACATCGTTTACAATTGACGGGAGGCAGCGTGTACAGTAAGGGAAAGGAAAATGACGCCTCCCAGCGTGAATCTGCTCTTCGGTGTGGCTTGCTCGACAGAGGTGCATATGCGCAGCTGCCTGGGTCTTCTCGCCACTACCTCTCCACATCACTTCGTATCGTTACACCCATGCTATTTCGTCTTGCAGATTGGTTCCGTAGTATAACATCTAGTGAAGAGATCTACGGTCGAGACGTCGTGGATGAATGAACATCACGCGTAGCAGAAGAACTGCAAAGTGAACTCTATCTCACTTCTAAGCAGAGCCCCGGCCGGTAACTATAATTCTAAGGGCTACTTCTATAGTTTTGGTGATAGCTCTATGACTCGGCGCAGATTGCCAGATCCCTCGGCAAACTCCAGAAGCTTTATCTCGAAAATTCCATGGTGTTCATGGTACTTATCAATTGCTGCACCGCGGTCATTCGGCAAGGAGCAGTATGAATTTTAGTTCTCAATCCAGCTTAGGACGAATAGCTTCGGGAGCCTGAACATTATCAAGGTGAGCAGCCATATTCATCATGTGCAGGTTCGCAGGGCCAGTCTCGTGGGGCAAGAACAGGAAGTCTATGGGGAATCCCAGATCAAACGGCGTGATCGATTCGATCTGCCGACTGTCGTGCTCGTCCAGGGAAACCTTCAGGGCTTTGATGTTCGACTCTAGGTGTTCCACCTGGCGGCAGCCGACAATGGAAAAGGTGAAGGAAGCCTTTTGTAGAATATCGTACGCCAGCGCAAGTCCAGTGATGGTGGTATGACAACCCCAGCCGTGAGTGCCGCTCACACCCAAATACAACACCTTGCCGGCGACCACAAGCGGGTTCAGCGATTGCATGACCTCCTCGTTGAGAGTTGCGAAATCCCACCAATGCAAATACAGCTAATCGGTCAGTCAGTGTCAAAACGATGCCTGAAGCTTTCCTCCCCCCCCCCCTCCCCCCGGCCCCTCCAATTCAGGCAGAGAGGGGCGAACATTATCTTACCACTTCAAGATAGGTAGTCCAGAGCTTACGCAGACTAGCCCAACTGACACATGGAGACTCTTGGTGTTGTTGCCCACGAACTTGGCCTGGATCTGACCGGGCTGGTGGGTGCGATATTACGTGGAGAATCTGGTGGCGAGGACGATCTCGTCTCGATTTCCACGCTGCTTCCATGCACTCGCCGACCCAAGTCTCGGATTCCTCGTTCTGGTAGTTGTTGGCACTTTTGCAGCAGACAGGTCAGTCGGAGAGAAGGCTGATGATATAATCGGGACTGCACCATACGTATCGATGAAATTGCCGATCCTGCCCTCGTAGTAAGTGTCCAGTATGTTGAACACGGTCTCCTTATTGCATTAGCCCATGAAACGACTTCCTGGAATAGAATGGCCACGCCATTATGTCATGTCTTCATTTGGATGATAGTGATATAGACTTTTTTACCACGCCTCGCCGAAGTTCGTGGATCCTAGGCATATTGAGCTCACCTTTACCGACACCATCGGGGAAAGAAGCCTGCAGCGAGCGGGGAAGATCTTGGGAGGGGGGCGGCTGGAAGATATGCTGACTTCCCTGTGGACTGGTATAGCTGCAATGATAGGCGCTCAGCAGCAGGTAGGGGGTCAAGATGATGATGAGGAGGAAGCGGGGGGGGGCGGGGAAGGAAACAGGTGCAGTATGCCGGCCATTGCCGCTAAAGATAACTCATAACGATGCTGGACAAGGAGATCGGGATTCCGCCGGGGAAGAGTCTTTGGGTCTTTCAAGTGAAATGGGGTCCTTTGATGGCGGGGCTTTTGCATTCATTACTTTTGAGCTCGTGAAGGGGGAAGTCGGGTTTAGCGAGTCATTTCGGATACTGCGATATTCCAGCAGATGCAAAGCGTATACAGTACCAGGTTATATTGATAGAAGCAATGGTTTGTCGGTAGGTCGACACATGAGGAGGAATCGAACTCGCCCTAAAGGCCATGCTTGGTTCTCAGGAGCGGGATTATTTGCCCTTCAGATTATACTGCTGGTGATATCACAGGTGTGTTTCCATAGCAAGCAGTATCAGATTGTACTTAGTCATTCATAATATCTATTCCTTGATCTCGATTTGAACTCCTCATATAGCCTATTGACACGCCACACTCCGCACAGCTAGCAGCATCTCATCCACCCACATCTATCAACCCAGTATACTTCAGATCAATCATTTCCAAGGCTGGCGGGTGGGCATCACCAAATGGTGGTTTGTGAACGGCCCACCGACATTAACATATCCCCCGGTCCAAGGAGTGCAGACATTGTTGGTATTGACCCACAGAGCCTTGAGATCCGACCGCTCCTGCTGCTCCTTCAGAAGCTGGATGATGTTCTGCGTGTGGCAGCTCCAGTTGTAGTTGGGGGTCGATTGACCCGTGACCCCAGTGTGGCAGTACAGCATCCACTCGTGCTTGTAGCCCTTGGAGTCCACGGTGATGAAAGTCTTGCCGCCGAACTTCGGGCAGATGGTGCTGAAGTTCTCGCGCGCGATCTCTTCGAGCAAGGCTTCGTTGGCCGGCGAGGTGGTCGACGTGCCGGTGCCACCACCACCACTGCCTTCAAGCTTCTTGAGCTTCTCGTTGGCTTCGTCAAGCGCCTTCTGGAGGCGGTCCTTCTCTGCGTCGCAGGCTGACGTCAAAGCCGCCTTGTCTGCGTCGCACTGCTTCCGCGCGTCCTCGGTGATGGCGATCTTGTCCGCATCGCACTGCTTCTTCGCATCTTCGGTGACGGCAGTCTTGTCCGCGTCGCACTGCTTCTTCGCGTCTTCGATGATGGCCGCCTTATCATTCTCACACTGTGCCTCGCCTTGCTTCTTAAGATCGTCGCAGGAGCCTCCGAGGTCGACTTTCTCCTTCTCGCATTTCGCAACCTGCTCCTGCACAGCAGCCGCGGTCTGGTCCCGACATTTGGTGTTCATCTCCTCCTCCAGCTTCGCCTTGTCCGCATTGCATTGCTCCGTGACGGAGGCGACCTGCTTAGCACAATCCGCCTTGCATTGCTCGCCGATGCGGGTCTTGTCCGCCTCGCATCGCTCCGCCGCCTCCTTCTCGCACTGCGTCTTCGCCTCCTCGGCGGCCTTGTCGCAGCCACCCTCCGGCTCCGTGGGCTCCTCCCCAGCGACCAGCTTGCCCGTCTTCTCCAGCAAGAGAATCCCCTTCAATGGTCTGACTGAGTAAGCGCTGGAAGTGATGAAGTAACACTGCCCCTTGGACATCCAGGCAGCCGCGGGACATTGGGCGCCAGCGGCCGCGCAGAGCTGCGCACACTCGCGCGCGCTGGCGGCGGTCACGGGTTTAGTCGCGTAAGGCGTCGCCCACTGTCCGCACGTGTAGGTGAACTCGACGCCGTCGACGGTGCCGCGGCCAGATGGGCTGCTTCCACAGCACGCATCGAAGTTAGTATGGGGGGCTCCGCCGGTCATGCTCAGGCACTGGTTCGCGCCTGCACTGGCGGAACCGAGGGGAGCCTGCGTCGCCCATGCCGCGCTTCCCGCTGAGAGCACGGTGAGGAGGCGGGAGAGATTTCCCATCGTGATGAATTGTGTGGTTTTGATGACTAGCAATCGAACGATAGAAAGGTGGGAAGCGAGGATTGAAGGAGGAAGGGAGGAAGGTGTATCAGCAACTATGTGCTTGGACCCTGGCGTAAGACTCCAGCGACGCTGAAAGAAAGAAAGAGCAAATGAAAACGTTCGAGGAATGAGCTCTGGGTGGAGGTGCCTTTATATGATGGGCGAAGGCCGTCTAGAGACCAGGACACGCTGAGTAGTAAATCCCTCCCTTTTCCCGGCTAGTGGGGTTATCAGCCATGAGAATGGGGACCGAGATGCTCCGTGTGGTTCTTGACGAAGGGCGATCTGAACATCTTGCATGTGGGCGGATGCTAGTGTCGTGTCTCTTGTTGTTCTGTATACGGTCACTGAACAGTAAGATACGAGTCCATACTGCTCTTCATGCTGGGAATATGGTGGCTGGCTGTAATGCCCTGGTAAAACCACCCTCTCCTCGAGCAGCAATGGCCGTAGAGCGCAGAGAGCTCCCACTTTGCTTTTGTCACAGCTGAGAATCACAGTAGATCCACTTGACCTCTCCGCTTCTGCTTCCATCTGCGGAGCTGCGAAAAGATGCAACTTTGTGGAAGGTCCCGGGAAAAGGCGGTGTTGCTGCAGAGACGCCTCTGATTGTCCCAAATCGGGGCCTTCGATCAAAGTTCAGCTCTGTCATTCAGCTGTCGAAGCTGTGAATGGTTCTCGGGAAGGTAGTGATCGGCAGATAGCGTCCGATAGCGTTCGATCGCGTAGATTGTCACACGCTAATGTAGCCGATCAGTCCGTGGTGGAGCTGAAAAACAACAGATCCCTCCTCTCTCTCTCAGCCATGGCTTTGCGGTGGAAGAAATTGAGAGAGCGAGACGAAAGACAAATAATGGAGACATCGAGGATGCTGTCACATATTGGTATCTTACTCGCTGTGCCTCTGAGTTAACGACAGCTCTGCGGCTCGGCAATTAAAGTGCGGGAGAGTTCCATGGATCCGTTTCACGAAGGGAGTTCGTTCACTTTCAGCTCGGAAATGCAGCTCCCCAGGTCTCCTCCAGTCACAAGTGCGAATGACATTTTTTTCCGAGCAGATCGGTGCCGCCCAGCTCCGGAGATCCACTCGCTGTCTTGGGCACGGAGTCCTGAGATTGGATAAGTGTTTGGAAGCTAGAACGCATAAGGGCATGGCCCGGGACCAGGCGTGTGGTAACTTATCATAAAGTCATAGACAGTCTTCGACACGGTAAATTCCCACTTGAGCATGAAGCTGAGAATGGAGCAGAGCTCTACTCCGTACCTAAGATTTTGTCAGTGTATGGAAGGTGGAAATGGAGAGGGAGTGGCAGGATGGAACTGAGTTGCATGCGAGGGGCGGGCGGTCACCTCCAGTACACCGCCTTTGGTACTGCCCGTCTATCCACAATGACCGGGAAAGCTCAATTCTCCAACTTTTGCTTCAGGGTCTTCCGTAGCATCTTCTCTGCTCCCACAGTTGATGCATGCATGCAGAGACCCGAAGAGAAGACATCACACTGGAATTACAATTTTCTCCGGGCAATATCATTATATCACACTCCTATAATCGTCACTTATCCAGAAATAATGCATTGCGTCCAGCATCCCCAGATCGTCGAGGGTCCAAGCAGTAGCCTCCAATGTATTGTTGTTCCAAGAATACGTGTCTAGTGACCGTCGACATAATCTGTCCAGCTTGTTCAGCTTCGGCATGTCTCAAGCCCTCCGCGTCAATGGCCCGAGCTGGAGATGTCACGAACGGGATCTGCATGTTTTCCGACCGATGCGAGAATGTCCTCCGGTCCCTTGCGCTACAGGATCATATCTGAGTGGAGAGATTGCAACACAAGCCAAAGGGTCCATTTATTCACATAATATATAGGTATGTAGGTAAGTCAATCGACTATCGACGACACATTTCACACTGTTCAGTCTCGCTCGCGATATCTAGCATGCATGCAGCATGCAAACCCCAACTATGTACTTTTTCCAGCCCTCGGGAGAAAGCACTCTCACTCATCCCAGATGATGCTGCTCAACCCCTCGGCCGTGCCCACCGCACCGGGCTCCCCGACCTGCAACTCGGCAATCTTCTCGCCCAAGACGCCCGTGTCGGGGTCACGTGCCACGATCGCAACGTTGGAGCTCGCCTGGTCGCCAATGGCCACCAGGTCGCCCGCCTTGTTGATGACAAACGTCCGGGGGACGGTGCCATACGCGGAACTCACGCGCTCGAACTCAACGGTTGCATTCGCATGGCGGGTCAGCGTGGCAATGCTGTCGTAGGGCGCGAAGCCGTGGTCGGAGCGTACCGACACATACAGTCCATTCCCGGACTTGCGGATCTCAGCCAGCGTCGCCCCGGTCGGGAGCGAGTCGTTAGTGGTCGGGTAGGGCACGAGGGCCTGGAGCTGGCGGAACGAGAGGCAGCCGTCGGAGACGTAGGAGACGTCGAAGACCTTGAGGTGGCCGTCGAGTTCGTTGGCAGTGTAAAGGGTGGCGGCGCCTTGTTGTTGGGCCTGGTTGCGGTTGCGGCGGGTGTTGCGGCGGGTGTTGCGGCGGGTGTTGCGGTTGTTGGTGGTCAGGATGCTGTGGTGGTCGTCGGCAGACTCCCAGAAGAGACCGTGGCGGGGTCCGCTGCCCGTCGGGTAGGTCAGGTCAGTGCAGTGGGACTGCAGCTTGCCAGTGGCCTTGTCAATGGCGTAGACGCGGAGAAGGTCCGACCCCAAATCAGGGACGAGGACGAAGGCGCCGGTCGGGTCGAGGAAAACTTGGTGCGGGTGTGGGGAATCTTGCTGGGGGCGGCGTTTGGGGTTGTCATCGGAGAAGGTGTAGCGGAAAACCTGCAGGGGTTGCGACTCTGGGGTGAGGGGAAGAGTAAAAGTGGAGAGAGCCGAGCCGCCGCTGTTGAGGGGGTGGGATGATTGTTAGTGGGGGTGCCTCGGTAAATAGGATAAGATGCGGTGGTGAGACATACTAGTGTGCAATGGCCAGGTATTGGGCACCATGTTCGCCGGTGTAGATGACGCTGTTCACACCACCTCCCGGAGCTGCCTCGGTGCTGGCGATCAGCTTCAGGGTACCGTCGGTCGACGCGGAGAGGGCGTTCAGGGAGCCATTGGTCGAGGCGTTACCCGTCTCATCGTTGCAGTAAATGATGCGCGTGGCGGGGTCGAGGGTCAGCCAGCTGGGCATGGGGCCACAACCCTGGATCTCCGACGAGATGGCAAGGTCGCTGCCATTGCTGCTGTGCGTCAGTGAGAGGGAGTAGATCGTGCCGCTATAGTGAGTGGCATAGAGGTTGGTTGCCGACGCCAACGAGGCGGAAAGCGAGAACAGAATCGACCGCAGGGACATGATGAATAAATGTCCGAATGTGAGTTTGCAGGAGAAATCGGTGGCTATCAGGCCCTTAACAGACCCTTAAATAGTGTACGAGCAGGGGGTTTGAAGGAGGGGGCAAGATCGCGAGTGGAATGGATCTGCATTCTGCAGGTGTGTTGGCCGGTGCCTGATCTGCAGGGTAACTGGTGGCTGGCATCTGCAGCCCTGTTCGCGGGATTCTTATCTTCTGCTTGACAAATCGTTATTAAAACGTGAGGGTTCTGATGTTTTCAGCCTGCTTGGCATGTCTTAGAAAGGGGATTCGTACGGTAAGCTTGATCACGATAGAAATGCATCACGAAGCTTATGTTTAGCTCATCCGAGACATTCTTGGACCGCGCGGGTTTCCATGAGGTTGTGCTGCGACACCGCATAGACGTCTATGACCATCAAACTCCTATATTTCAGAGCGGTGGAAAGCTCCTTAGAGCTGAAATTGGTCGAAGGAACAGTATCCATTACCTGTGGTGGTTGTCCTACATGATGATGCGTGGTAACCCCCACGCTTTCCCTTCCGTGCCGAAGTATATATTTTAGCGCGCTTCCTGGTCTGCTGCAGAACAGCCGACCTACTCCGAAGTAGCTCCGAACGGGATGTCCTAACCCGAATGTTCTCACGGTGTAAAGTACTCAGTACCTTGATAGTGTGGGGGCTCGATGGAGCTTCTTATGGCGCTTCTTTACGAGGTGCTTCTTCTGCAGACCGGTGATAAGATGCAATGACGACGGCGGCTGATTTAGCTTGATTCTCACCGTTCACCGCAGAGAGAAATCAATATTGGCAGATTTCGTTCGGGTCTTGATGGAAAGAAAGATTCACATACTTTCTGTAAACCCTCCCATACATGAGTGTTATGAGATTGTGTTAATAGAATACAAATTGTTTGCCAGTGAGATCGAGTGTGGGCAGCCCGGGGCATAAACACCGAGGAACTGACGTAATGTACAGTACGAGCTGGAAAGTTGAAACAACCAAGAATGCGAACTCTGACCGCTTCGAGACATGCCGGCAGAACTGGCAGAACTGCTCGCTCTGAGCGGTGAGTGAGCTGAGGGTGGGTCTTCCGACCAGTCCCAATCAGAGGCTAGAGCCCAGCCCTAGCCTTACTCAGCCAGGTCACGTGGCGCACAACCCGCCCACATCGAATATTGAACGACCACAAAAGTCTTTTCTCCCGATCAACGACAATCCGACAACTTGAGCCCCATCCTCTTTCACGACACCCTCAAGGACCCCGGCACAATGGCTGTTCGCAACACTCAGGGTATGTTATCACTGCGCATGTTCGCTTCGATTGATTCTCAATACTAATGAAATGCACAGTCGCTTCTTCCCGCTCCAAGAGCCGTAAGGCTCACTTCAGCGCTCCCGTATGAGTTTTTCCAACGCCCTTTGTCGACGACATGAAGACTTACCTAGCAAATTAGTCCTCCGAGCGCCGCGTGATCCTTAGCGCCAGCCTGAACAAGGAGCTCCGCGAGAAGTACGGTGTAAGTTTGCGACGAACCGATCTTCCACTTGCCTGGTCAAAATCTGCCATTCGCCCTCGAAGTGAACGGAGTCAATTTTGAACACTGGGATCAGCCAAACGAACTTCTACTAATCACCCCGACCAACAGGTCCGCTCCATCCCTATCCGCAAGGGTGACGAGGTCCAGATTGTTCGTGGTTCCAACAAGGGCCGTGACGGCAAGATCACCTCCGTCTACCGTCTCAAGTGGTGCATCCACGTTGAGCGCGTCGTCCGCGAGAAGTCCAACGGCCAGAGCGTCCCTCTCCCCATCCACCCCTCCAACGTCGTCATCACCAAGCTCCACCTCGACAAGGACCGTGAGGAGATCCTCGCCCGCAAGGCCAAGGGCCGTGAGGCCGTCAAGTCCGCTTAAATGCGCGGTCCTCTGATGTGATTTTCTGGAAGAGCGTTTTGTGGGGTTCCGGGTGCATCCTATTTTTGCAAAATGGCAGGAGTTGATTTTTATCGATTAAAAACGACGCGGGATTCACGGAGGCCCTCCCCTTGCCTTCCCCGCTGATCCAGCCACTTATTCTCAAGGGGTATAGATGGACACGTCTACCCTGCGGAATCCTGGCGCAATCACGGACGAATGAAAAAATGAAATATCCATTCTTGATCTATATTTTTTCTTTCGCTGTGATTCACAATGGTGTGTATAGATGGGAGCGTTCTGCTCTCCATCTATCCGTCGTTCAAATGGGGTCTGTAAGTTCTTTCGATTTGGTGATTGGGTCGATGAGTTGGGGTTGTGCGCGCAGTTGCGACTGGGTGTTGTCTGATGGACACATGCAAGGTCGGGCTGGGGCATTGCTGCATTTCGTTTCCCTGCGTCCCTGTCGCGAGGCTTTGGACCTCTCGTAGTGCTTTACCTACGCCTTCCTAGGCTGTCATCTCGTAACCAGTGGCATAAGCTCTTAACACGGTAAGTCAATCGTAGCGAAAATTTGGACCTTCAACCGCAGCGACAACACCTGGGACTCGAGATGGTATCAACGACGTAGATTACCACGACCAAGCTGCATCTCTGGAATCACCGCGAATGCCAAGCAAACCCCTTCGAAAATTTTCTGGTCACGCTCATCTTATCGTCTCCGCATGGGGGGGGGGGACCTGCGGCCGGCATCAAGCACATTGCTACTTCTAGCAGCACTTCTCACGAACGACATTCAAGAAGTCCTACTTTCCTCTCCGTACCACACCTTGTATGCTTGGTATCAAATGAGTCCCAAGTCTTTCTTAGACGGCCCTCAGGCTTGTGATAGCCTTGTCGTTCCAGCCAACCATAACTATGGATCAAGACGGAGTATATCGGCATGCGAGATAGCTCCCGTAGTAGGGGCTATCCACAATCTTGTCCATATCCAACACAACAAAGCACACACTCAAAGAAGGCATCCTGCATCAAAGGTCTATCAGAGTCAGACGGCCCATGACATCATCCCATACAATGAAACATCACCTTGATGTGAATATCTCACGAAGAGCAAAGACCATGTAAATGAGCATTTCAGCTAATCCCTTGTTGACACACGACATGCAAGAGGCTTCTTTATCCGTCCTCAAGATCATGGCCTGGTCATCAATCAGGACAATGGTCCACGCTCGATCCTTTACGAACATATCGGAACCCTCCTGTTCCAGACTCTCGTGTTCGACCCATGCGTTCAATATAAATACACCCCTCCCACCTGTCCATCTCCTACAACCCAGACCTGACCTAGACCTCGGATCACACCTAACCTTACTCTCAGACCCCCGAAACTCTGCCAAAATGGTGCGCCTCAACTGGTCAGACATGACTCCCCTGAACTCGACGGTGATGGCCCCATCACCAGCACCCAAAGCCGCCCCGGCCGCCCCAGCAGCAGCACCCACCGCCACCCCGGCACCAGCGGCGACGCAGACGCAGACGCCGGAGTACCGGGAGCAGCCGTTCATCTTCGTATGCTCGCACCAGGAGCTGTACCTGGACAAGAAGTGGCGTCCGCTGTCCGAGGAGGTGATCCTCAAAAAGATCAACGATGCCTTCAAAGGCTCTGGTCGCCCGTGGCTCAAGGCAATTCAGTTCCTGAGGGTTCGGCGCGTCCAGCCGCCGAAGGAGAAGACCTTCGACCCGCCCCGGCGCCTGCGTCTGGACGTGAAGACCTGGCGAGAGCGGGCCGACCTGTACGAGAAAGACGAGAACCAGCGCGACTGGCTGCGTCTGCTCGAACAGCAGCAGCCGTATGGGGCGAATATTGAGGCGACTGAGCTTCGTCCGCGGCCGCTTAGGGCGAAGAAGACGGGGAAGAGGGGTGGGAAGAAGGGTGAGCAGAAGGGTGAGCAGAAGGGTGAGCAGAAGCCTCAACAGCAGACCCAGCACAAGCCTCAGCAAAAGACTGAGCCGAAGGCTGAGAAGAAATAGGTACAATACCTACGGCTTTAGGCAAGGCTGGTCAAATACTGTAGGTCTCGTTCACAAAACATACTTACATCATCAGATCCATTACGTTCATATAATACTTTCTCTTGTTTCTATTCATTATGTCTATCTATACTTACTCCAAATCGATATGAAATTCCGGTCCCAGTAACCAATCCTAATCATCCTTCCACCGCAGCAGCTTAAGCCAATTCCAACCCCAGCCCGTCTTCTCCTCACCATATTTCCCTGCACCACTACCATCCCCAACTCCCAGCACCCCAACACCACCCCCCAACAAAGCAGCACCATCCCCATGATGATCATCTTCCCCCGCAAAAAACCTCACCACCACCTCCGCCGCCCCCACCGCATCACTCCCCTCATCATCCGCCCCAATCGCCTGCACCCACCTCTCCACATCCTCAGCCTTCCACCCCTCCCGCCTCCCAAACTCCACACACGTCTCGCGGTTGACCTCCGCATCGAACTCAAAATGCCCCTGATAGGTCAGCACCCTGCCCGGGTCATAAAGCCCCTGCACCGCACACTCCTCACTCGCCCCGACCACGCACCACCCCGCCGGCAAAGGCCGACAGACCCGGACGTGGTCGCCGTGGATCATCTGGATGTTCCACTCCCATCTCCCTTCCGTGCCCTTTGCCCCTTGCTCATCGAGCTGGATATTCTGGCGGTGCGGAAACGCCCCGGGAAACGCCCCCGTAAACTCTGGGGTGAGGACAACACTCTTCAACCCGACCTCCTTCCCATGCGGAGCAGGCTCAACACTCACGTAGGGCTGCTGGCCCGCTGTGTGCAGCTCAAGCAGTGCCCGGGCGAGGATCTGATGTCCGAAACAGCTGCCGAAGAGCCGGACACCCTGATACTGAGAGTGGACGGTTTGGAGGAAAGTGATGAGGGGCGGGATCCAGGGTTTAGTGGAGTCGTAGGCCGCGGCGGAGGATCCCGTGATTAGGATGGCGGTTATGGGGATGGATAGCGGGTTTAGGGTTGTATCTTCGGCTGCTGCGGTGTGGGTGGAGGTGGCTCGGGGGGTTGAGGTTGAGGAGTGCTGGGATAGACTGGCGTAGGCGGGGAGGTGGCCGCCTACCACGTCGAAGGCTGTGGTGTGGAGTTCGTAGGCCGGGTTGATGGTGGCGGCGGCGGCGCGGAGGAGGTGTCGGAACTGCGTGCTGTAGAGGCCGCGGTGGGCGTAGATGGTGGGGACGGGGAGGTCGGTGTCGAGGATGGCGATGTGGATGTGTTTTCTGAAAGGCATTCTTGTATTTTGTTGTAGTATGAGATCTGGGTGGGACGTGGGAGGAGGAGGGGGGAGTGGGATCCTTGATGGGGTTCGAGGGGAGGGCTCATGCTTTTCACATTTCTCTGGGCTGGATCTCTTTACTTGATAAGGTAATTCTTTTCGAAGAAGACTTGCTCGGGTGCGCGGAGCTCTGCGGGGAAGCTTATCGGGGGTGGAGCCCTCATAGAGTTTACGTGCTGGACCTTGATTTATACTCGGGATACAAAAGAGGGCTTTCACCCTGCGCCCTGTGATTATATCTGAAAAGCATTGCCCGGAGAATCTCAGAGTCTCGTTGAGCAAGATTCCCCACAAGGTAACATTTACAGCTGGTTGTGTGCGTGAGTCTCGGCTCCTCTGCGCCGTTTGCCGCAATGCCACTCCATCGCTACCCCGCATACGCAATTCGTTGAGCGAAGAGATGACAGACGGTCTGATCAAAATGGCCGGATATCGGGCGAACACCTAAAAGGCGAGAAAGACTACTTATCCGGAAGCACGCCATGATATGGCTGCGCGCGATAGTCACCCTGGAGCCCTATAGGTGCTCACCAGCGGAGATAAGCAGCCACCAATTTAATCTATTAATAGCATGATCCGGTACCCCGCGATGAACCTCAACCTCGCAGTGAATCTGTTTTTTTGTTATTATATCTGTTCCTGGGTCATCTCCATCGCCGGCCCACCGTCCAAGCTGCAAAGATATCGTTCAGAGAATGGGCGAGTTCATCGTTTCTCTCTCGACGGAGATAGCACAATTTCTCCAAGCCGGAACGCGCCTGGTTGAAACTTTGTATGCTATTCATGATCTCGATGATGATGCGGAGTTCACAGACTCCTGGGATACAGATGCTGTCGCAGCTGAGTTCGGTGCATTGGGCGATAGGCTTTCCCAGGTCTCTGCGGCAAATGCAGAATCATTGACACAACCGGACCGATCCAAGAATGTTCGCGATGCATGTGAGGTCATCATCAAGAATATTCTTTGTCGCTTCGATATTCTGAAACAGCTCAATGAACACAAACTTCCCCATATTGCGAGAAACTTCAGAGAACTATGGCCGCGGGAAGATGTCGATGCGTTGGAGGAACGCCTCAAGTCTATCATTGCCACAATTGAATCGGAGGCGGAGTATCTACCTAGGTGAGAATGCGTTCAAACATCTGAAAGCAGTCAGCATACTGAGACACGGATAGTACTCAGTCAAAGAAACTCGTTGCAACCCGTGAAGCACTCGATGCGCTCGACATCACCAAGGATCATCGCGACCAGGACGAGCCGGACACACAGCACGAAGATGGAAAGCTGTCAGCTAGAAAGAATGCGATGTCGCTCTTTGGCAAGAATCCTGGACAGAAGAAGAGCATTCTCGAGGATGAAAAGACATATACCAAGGAGACCCTATTCTCCGACCAGGAGATGATCCTTCGGGACTTTCTGCTCGAAAGCCTGAAGTTCGGTTCCATGACTGATCGAGAAGACAGTGTTGCGGTCGCTCACGACGGCACCTTCGACTGGATATTAGCTGCCGATGGCTCAGGAGATCATAACAGCTCTAGCGTGCAGGAGTCGCTGGTGAGTTGGCTGTCTAGTGGGAACAACGACGGCATCTTCTGGGTCAGCGGCAAGCCCGGGTCCGGGAAGTCAACATTGATGCGCTTCTTGATGTCACATCCTACCACGAAGAAGTTTCTGGCGACATGGGCGGGAGAAGAGCCACTCATTACAGCGGGGTTTTATTTCTGGATTAGCGGCACCCTGGAGCAGAGGTCCCAGACGGGGCTAATGCGTCATCTGCTGGTCCAGCTGCTGGATCAGGAGTCTCACCTTGTCCCGGTCGTGTTTCCGGCGCGGTGGAAGCATCTCAGGCGCTTGACTACGCGAGAACGAATTAAGGCGACGGTCGCCTGGGACTTGAAGGAGTTGAAGGACGCATTGCGGTGGTTCATGCAGCACACAGCCGGTGAAGCAAAAGTTTGTCTGTTCATCGATGGCTTGGATGAGTTCGCAGGCAATCACGAGGATGTGATCTCATTTCTGCAGGAGCTCGTGTCCTCGTTCACTCACCTCAAGCTCTGCCTGTCCAGTCGGCCGCTGCCAGTGTTCCGTGAAGCCTTCGGAAAGAACCCTAAGCTGGAACTCCACGACTGCACGCGCCAGGATATGCTGGATTACTCTCGAGACCATCTATCTGCCAATCTGGACATCCAGTCCCTCTTCAGCAAGGATCCCGAGAAGGCATCGCAGCTCATTGTCGACATCGTGGATCGGGCTGATGGTGTCTTTCTCTGGGCAGCACTGGCGGTCCAATCCTTGTTACGGCGAAGTCATCTCGACTTCACCCAGCTCCATGAATCCCTGTTCCAACACCCAACGGATATAGACGACCTGTTCACATTTTTCATCTTCGAGCAAGCGACCACGGACCAGACAACCACCATCTCCCGCATCTTCCAGCTCCTCAACGCCCGCGAAGACGCCTGCAACGCCACCGGCCAAGAAGAAGCCATCACCATGCAACTATGGGAACTCGCCCTCGCCGACCAAGTCAAAGCCTCCGAGCTCAGCATCCCCGAAGACGTGCAACAGGCCAGCGACGAACAGATCCAACAAATCTGCTCCCTCACAACCAACCGATTCACCAACGAATGTGCAGGCCTGATTGTAACGCACCGCCCCAGCCCCTCAACCATCCGCGTCCACCACGCCACCACCCCATCCCCAGCCCAGCTCCTCGCCCAGCGCAAGGTTACATACGTCCACCGCACAGTTAAAGACTACCTTTCCCGACCTGAGATCTGGACCCGCCTCACCCACCCGCTGAAAGACACCTTCGACCCGCACCACTCCCTCCTGGCCTCCCACATCCTCCAACTCAAACATCCCCTCGACCCCTTCACCCGCCACCGCCAGATCGACGAATGGTGGCCCGCCATCCCCCTCGCCTTCACGCACGCCCGCCTCTCCCCATCCCCAGAGCCAGAACTGCTCCTCATCCCCGCATACGACACCGCCCTGTGCCAGCACTGGTCCTTCCGCGCCACAGCGGAAGCCGACCACTGGGCCAAAGCGCTCTTCTCGACGTACGAGATGCGTAAACGTGCGGCGTTCGAGCAGCCGCTCCTCTCCCTCGCGGCGAAGTTCGGGTTGGCGCGGTTGATTCGTGAACGGATCCGCGATGGGACACTTCGGCCTCTACCCGCAGCTGACCCAGTCCCCATACCCCCGCCAAAAAATCCCGCAAAGCAACATACCCCCCAAGACGAAGACAAGCCCGATGCCGATGGCGACGACCTCACCCCAGAACCAAAAAGGGTAATCCCCCCTCCTCCCCCACACCACAAATCTTCTCGCCCACCGCCGCCAAACCGTCTACCCGCTGTCCAGTCCCCAGATCATCCGCGACTTGCTCGAGGCTGGCATCGACCCGAACCAGCCGTACATCAACCTCCAGGGCAGAACGCGCACGCCCTGGATTGATGTGCTGGAGGGCTTGCGCGAGGCGGAGCGTCGTCGGTGGCTGCGGTACTATGATGTGGACCCGCAGGGGATGGGCCGGGTGGCGGAGATTGTGCGGCTGTTTGTGGAGTTCGGGGCGGATGTGAATGCGGTGGTGCCGGCGGATCGGTGGGATCCGGAGGCTAGTGCGGTGGATGTTGTGGGGAGTGTGTGGAGGGGGCTGGCGGCGTGGGAGTTTGGGGCGCTCAGGGGGATGTTGGTGGGGAGGGGTGGGGTGGGGGTTAGGGAGCGGGTGGAGGGGGTGTTTTTTCGGGTTTTTGGGGGGTAGGACATTTTTCTTTTTGAGAGATAAGATGGAAATGGAGCTGGGAGTGGTTCAAGTTGGGTTGGAGGAGTGGTTGGGATTGAATATTGGCAAGAGTCTAGTTCTTGGAGTGATTGTAAGCTAGAAGATAGCGAGCGGTACCATGGAGGTAGAAGATAACTGAAAGAGGGGTCGCAGAAAGCTCAAGAATAGTTGATAACAGGCTGAAGAGAGACCAAATGCAAATGGGATACACTATCAACAAGAGTAGGCCTACTTTTGGGATTGATTGTAAGCTACCTGGTAAAGAACAGAAAGGGGTATGAACGATCGAATAGAAGAGAGCACCCAATACAGAGCTATTTACACAAGACAACTTCATCTGAGCAGAGGCCTGGTCTTCGGAGGCGACAGACGCTCATCGGGCACCACACACTCACGAAACTGGATACAGCAAGCGCACTCCAGAGTGCAGTGGCCCGTAGACGGGGCTTGTTCTATCCTTCTTGGCTTCTATGGCATAAAGCCCCCTCTGACAACAACCACACGACCGTGCGCAGCAGCCCTCTGCATTGGCACATTGCTGTTGCGAGCCCACGAATTCGTACGGCTGGCCATACTGATTCTGTTATTCATGACCGACCAGAAACAGTTCCATGCGTGGACTTGTCGGATACGGACGCCGTCGGTACTCGTCCTGCAACCGAAGTTGATGCTTCCAGTAATCTCTGCGGAGCTCGATCACCTCTGCTTTCAGGTGAGGATGCTCCTGCGCCGGCTTGAAGTAAGCCGGTGGTGGCGTGCTGTCGTTCACTTTTGTGAGAGTTCCCCGGTGCCGGCGAGGCCTTTCTGAGGTGAGAGACCCGAGCAACTGCAGATGATGTAGGCGCTGGAGGATGAGGATGCCCAGTGCCGCCTCTTTGGTGTACTTTTCGGCCCATCTCTCGACTTCTCCTTGAGGTTTTAAAACCCGTGTCAGTGGGAACCAGTCGATGATACCGATTCCTCGCGTAGTTGTACTTTTCCCTGCATTCTTCCTCCCTGGACACAGACTCGATCTTGTCCACTGGCTTGGACCTGTCCGTTGCTTTGGTCTTTGACCCCTTCCAAGACCAGAATGGCATGAGGAATAGGGTAGAGGTGTCAGTAGGCTAATCGCGTAGCGTGCGGGATATTAGCAGAGTGCATGAGTGTGAGCAGTATGAGTAACAAGTCTATGTTTGAAAAATTATTTGACGGCATCGTGCCGCATGACGATGGCCTGGCTCATGGTATGATGCGATATTGGGTCATTGTGGTGGTCCAAGCCGCACATGTTGGTTCGAGTATGTATTGATGAGGGAAGAGAATCATCACGGTTATACCGAGATGTGAGGCAACGGGCTCATTACCGCTTCCATATACCTGGACTTAGGGTCGAGGTCAATGGCAAGTGCTACAGGCAACCATCTTACCAGGCAGTGGCAGAATTCATAGCACCAAAACTTACGGCTTTCTACTTTGAGCTTGCTTCAAAAGATATCAACGTCGTACAGACTCTGGGAACTGGAAACTGTTCTCAACGCTAGGCGTTGGAAGGTCTAGGCGGTGGCAGAAAGACTCAACACCACTGCCGGTAGGGCTTACCGCTTTCTGCTTTGCGCGTGCTTCCAAAGAAACCACCATCCTACACATCCGTTGACCTAAAAACTGTACTAAACACTGGTTGGAAGGCTCAGCTGTGGAAAGACTTATCACCGCCCGGCAGATCTCACCGCTTCCTGCCCCGAGTGGTTTTATCTTTCAGTACGCCTTGCTGCCTTGTTGCCTGCAATTCTTACGGCTAAATGCGAGTATTGTGCCTGACTTTGCCGCCCGACGGCTAAGGCAACCAGGGTCAATGGAGTAACCAACCAGCGCCGCTTACGTACGAACCGCGGCTGGTCGTCATTCCGAAGCTCCCCTGCTTGCTTGCTTGCCTGCTTGCTTGCTCTGTGCCTCCGCACCTTATTTACAACTCATCCTCGCCCCATCGCCCTCTCGGTTCCTCATCCCTCTTTGCATCAATTTTATTCAGCATCTCTCTCATGCCATCACTTCCTCACCTCCCTTCATCCGACTAGCTACAGCTTATCTCCCCTCAGGCGCAATGCGGGGATACCGCTTGATCCCCATCCTCGCGGGTCTTGGCGCTCTCCTACCCCAGACTCAGGCCCAGGACAGCTCGGGCTACACCGATATCCACGAGCCCGGCCGCTGCGCTCTTCGCGGGCATTGCGGCAAGAAATCATTCTTCGGCGGAGAGCTCCCTTGTCCCGACAACGGGCGTGCCAAACAGCCCGAAGCGGCGGTGAGGAAGAAGCTGGTCGACCTGTGCGGTAGCAAGTGGCAGGATGGGCCCGTATGTTGTGAGGATGAACAGGTATGTCATGCCACCCGATTTCGCCCACCAACGCAGGAACATCTCTGATGGCCCGGACTATTAGATCGATGCGCTTTCGAAAAACCTCAAACTCGCCGAAGGAATCATCGCCTCATGTCCCGCCTGCAAGGAGAACTTCTTTAACATCTTTTGTACTTTTACCTGCTCGCCCGACCAGTCTCTCTTCGTCAATGTCACGCAGATCGAGCAGAATGGCTCGGGCAAGAAGTTGGTCACGGAAATTGACAATGTATGGTCGGAGGAATACCAGAGTGGCTTCTACGATAGCTGCAAGAACGTGAAGAATGGCGCCTCAGGTGGCAAGGCCATTGACTTTATCGGAGGAGGCGCCAAGGACTATCCCCATTTCATGAAGTTTCTGGGAGACAAGAAGCTGCTGGGAAGCCCCTTCCAGATCAACTTCAAGACGGAACCTGCGGGTTCGGACCCACAGGGCATGGAAGCCTTGCCGATCAAGCCCAAAGCATGCAATGACCCCGACGAGGCCTTCCGCTGCTCCTGCGTCGACTGTCCGGATGTCTGTCCGGAACTGCCTGCCGTCAAGACAGATCGATACTGTCACGTCGGCCTGCTACCGTGCTTGTCCTTTGCAGTAATCCTCATTTACTCGGTCTTCCTATTGACCGTTGTGGCCGCATCGAGCTACTTCACCTATCGGGAGCGGCGGTACCGCAAGCCTGAGCGTGCTAGGCTTCTGCAGGATCCTGCCCCTAGCGATGATGAGGACGAAGGCGACATTGTGCGAGCAGGCGGTTATGTTGAACAGCCTAACGGTGTCTACAAGCTCAACTCTGCCCTGGACCGAATGTTCAATCGGATCGGTGGTGCCTGCGCTCGGTTTCCGGCGATCACTATCCTTACCAGTACTCTATGTGTTGGAGTTTTGAGCCTAGGATGGCTGCGGTTCGCCGTTGAGACTGATCCGGTTCGCTTGTGGGTGAGTCCAACCTCGGCGGCCGCGCAGGAGAAAGCCTATTTCGATGAGCATTTCGGACCATTCTACCGAGCCGAGCAAGCCTTCCTGGTCAATGATACCGGACCAGTGCTGAGCTACGATACGCTCAGCTGGTGGTTTGGCGTAGAGCTGAGGGTGCACCGAACATTGTCCCAAGGTCGGGGACTCCTTCTCGATGACGTTTGCTTCAAGCCTACTGGTGATGCTTGTGTGGTCCAGTCTCTGACCGGTTATTTCGATGGCTCGTTGTCGAATCTAGACCCCGACACCTGGCAAGAACGACTCCAGCATTGTACCGAGTCCCCTGGAGATGTAAGCTGTTTGCCCGCTTTCGGGCAGCCTCTAAGACCCGAAATGATTCTTGGTGGATATGAGAGTACCGGCAATGTGCTCGATGCACAGGCGTTGTTCACTACCTGGGTGGTGAATAATTATGCCCAAGGGACAGAAGAGGAAGCGAACGCCATCGACTGGGAAGAGACCATCCAGCAGATTCTTCGAGTTGTACAAGAAGAGGCCGAAGACCGCGGTCTCCGTGTGTCGTTCAACACAGAAATCAGCGTTGAGCAAGAATTGAACAAGTCCAGCAACACAGATGCTAAGATCGTGGTCATCAGCTATATTATCATGTTCATTTACGCGTCCCTGGCCTTGGGGTCGGTCACGGTGACCTGGAAGTCGCTGTTCACGAACCCGGCTAACGCTCTGGTGCAATCCAAGTTCACTCTTGGTATTGTGGGCATCATCATTGTTCTGATGTCTGTGTCTGCTTCGGTCGGCCTGTTCTCTGCGGCAGGCATCAAGGTCACATTGATAATCGCGGAGGTTATCCCATTCCTGGTATTAGCTGTTGGCGTGGACAACATCTTCCTTATTGTTCACGAATTTGAAAGAATCAACGTCAGCCATCCGGACGAAGAGATCGACGAGCGAATTGCTCGTGCGGTTGGCCGCATCGGCCCCAGTATCTTCCTTTCCGCTGCAACGGAGACAATTGCCTTTGCTCTAGGCGTCTTCGTCGGAATGCCGGCTGTGAAGAACTTTGCAGTTTATGCAGCAGGGGCTGTCTTCATTAATGCCGTCTTGCAGGTCACCATGTTTATCTCGGTTCTAGCACTGAATCAAAGACGCGTCGAAAGTCTGCGCGCTGATTGCTTCCCGTGCCTGACCGTCCGCAAGGCCCATTCTGGGATGTCTGAAGACCAGGTACTGGACGAGCACGATGGAGAAAGTATGTTGCAATCATTCATCCGCAAAGTCTATGCGACTTTCCTGCTAGAGCGCAAGGTCAAAGTCTTCGTGGTGATTACATTCTTAGGCCTTCTGACGGCTGGTATCGCTTTGGTTCCCGAGGTCGCCCTTGGCCTGGACCAGCGCATTGCTCTGCCTAGCGACTCCTATCTTGTGCAGTACTTCAATGACCTGGACGCTTACTTTGGAAGCGGACCACCAGTGTACTTTGTGACAAGGAATGTCAACGTCACTGAACGTCGTCATCAACAACAATTGTGTGGACGGTTCACGACCTGTGAAGAGTTCTCCCTGCCATTTGTCCTGGAACAAGAATCCAAGCGTCCGAACGTGTCTTACATCTCCGGATCAACTGCGAGCTGGATCGATGACTTTTTCTACTGGTTGAACCCGCAAGACGACTGCTGCACCGAGGACGGCGAAGTGTGTTTCGAGGACAGGACTCCGGCATGGAACATCTCTCTTTATGGCATGCCTACAGGGCAGGAGTTCATGCATTATGCTGAAAAATGGATTCAAGCTCCGACAGACGCTTCTTGCCCTCTTGGAGGCAAAGCTCCCTACAGCAATGCGCTCGTCCTCGATCCCAAACGGATCATGACCAATGCCACCCATTTTAGAACAACTCACACCCCTCTCCGAAGCCAAGATGACTTTATCAAGTCTTACATCTCAGCACGCCGCATCGCTGACGGTCTCTCCAAGGAGCATGATATTGACGTTTTTCCCTATTCGAAAACCTATATCTACTTCGATCAATATGTGTCAATCATCCGGCTGACCGGGACCTTGCTTGGATGCGCAATTGCTATCATTTTCATCCTCACTTCTGCCTTGCTTGGATCCGTGGCTACTGGAGCGGTGGTGACGACAACTGTGGTAATGATCATGATCGACATTATTGGGGCGATGGCAGTCGCCGGCGTTTCCCTCAACGCCGTCTCCTTGGTCAACCTGATCATCTGCGTGGGCATTGCGGTCGAATTCTGTGCACATATCGCTCGTGCATTCATGTTCCCTTCGCGGGCTATCTTGGAGAAGGTGCCGACAAAGTTCCGGGGCAAGGATGCGCGGGCATGGACAGCTCTGGTCAACGTCGGCGGGAGTGTTTTCAGCGGGATCACAGTGACGAAGCTCCTCGGTGTCTGTGTCCTGGCTTTCACCCGAAGCAAGATCTTCGAGATCTACTATTTCCGGGTTTGGTTGGCACTGGTCCTATTTGCGGCCACCCACGCTCTCGTGTTCTTGCCGGTGGCACTCAGTTACTTTGGTGGAGAAGGTAAGGAACTAGTGACAGCTTTGCGGTACTGTCTGAGAGACTCGTTGCTGACAACAAATACAGGATACGCTGATCCCGGAGCCGACGGAGGACTCGAGGAGAATCTTGCTGCGCGGGGCTACCGTTCCCTGCTGGTCGATGACGATTACGACTCTGATGAATATTAATTGTAGTACGGGAAGCTACGGATTTTTTGATGAATTCCTACTGTCGTAGGTGATCCACGATATCCAATGGAGGAGATGATTGTTTGCAACTCATGTCACGCATAGTAGTCTGAAATATAGTTTCATATTCTTTTCATTCTTTATTATCATTGCAATGTGCGGGCTGGGAGTTGTCATGGTTATCATCCAAGGAGTCTGGTTTCCGAGTACAATGAACTGTGTATCTGGCAGCAATCTATAACTAGACCTGCAGCTTTTGCGGCTTTCACTTAATTAGCTCTTCCTACCTGATTCATGCAATTTCAAACACTCCCTGTCTCTTCATCCTTGATACCAAACCGAACACCCGACGAAGCCTAGCTATCTGAATTTTGCACTTCACTTGTTCGAGCTGGGAGTCGATCACAGCCATATCCGCGTCCCAACTCAGCACCGTCTCGGCCTCGAAGGTTCTCGACGCCGACGCGTCCCCCCCGTCTTTCTCTGGCGGGCCCTTATTCGTGAAGATCACCTCGTCCCCCATCTGCAGGGCCCCGTAGATGTCCTGATTTCTTGGCTGTCCTCTGACGGGCTGGAACCAATAATCCCGCTGGAACGCGTCCAGTCTCTCCCAGCCAGCGGACTTGTTTTCCTCTTCCACTGGGGGCTCGATGATCAGCACCACGAAGCATCGGCCATTGCCGAAGATCTCGACGGTCACCACCCTGTACAGGTCTTCTAGGAGCGATGGGGGCCTTCTGACGATGTAGCCCTCACTCACGAGAAAGACTTTGCTGAGCGTCTCGAGCCACCGGTCCTGCCTGAGTTTCAACCTTGCGGCGGCGGGCAACATACTCGCTGCTTCTTCTGGCATGGTAGATCACGGGGGTTGATGCGTGGAGGGTGTACTGGGTATGTGAAGGTGTGTTAGAGTGATATCATAGGAATGAGGTGGACTCAACCGGTTGCGTTTTATAGTTCTCGAGTGAGTGAGGAGACAAGGCTTTTTGCATTGTTATTGATTAGAAAGCTCAGTTCTTGGAGCCTTTGAAGAAGGGAGAACTCCGCTGTGTGTGCTTGATGCTTTCAAAACGAAAGCTTGCAGTTTTATTGTATGGTTTTGTTTGTGGGCTTTTCTTTGGACAAGATGCGAGATGGTTATACGGTCTGGTTCTCTGTCGGGGTCGAGCCTGACATGCTTCTTCATCCGCGGGTAAGTCGTGATGATAATGGTTATTGAGAGACATGTTCCAGGCTACCCATTGATTAAGTTTTGTTCGCTTCGTGCACGAGATCCGGAGTGTACTGGATATGCTAGGATTGACCATATGGCACAGAATCCGAGAGGTTGCGTCGACTGCTGGGGGAAGTACATAGTATAGTACATTTAACTTGGAAGTTACCCCACCGTCTTAGCAGTTCATGCAGCAAATCAAAACGTGAGTGGATTGGATCAATCAGATTAACCAGCAGCTGATTGACCCTTTGCCTCTGGTCATCGGTTCGTTACCGACCATGAGATCAAGTCGAGGCGAATGCATGCAGCCTTCCGTGGTCCCATGTGGAATTGGGATGCATCTTGCATGTAAACCCTTTCTGTACAGTAGTGTAGATCCACCTAATGATGTTGATGTTGCTAATGTTGTTGTGAGCACAAACTGTGGAGTTCGGGCAGCGACCCAAAGAAGTAACCATGCTTACCATTACCACATCAAAACACTCTTTTATGGTGGTGTAAGTTACCCAGAGTCTACCGCGAAACTGAGTGGTACAGACCGCTAGCCCGGAAGGGGCTAAATGCGCGCCGCTGAACTCTCCAATTTTACCCACCCATAATTTTTTTTTTCTCTCTCTCCGTCTCTCCGCCCATTTATTGCCAATTTTTTCCCCTCCATCTCCCTTTTTTTTTTCTCTCTTCTCTTTTCTTCACTCTCCTCCCTCTTCCTTCTTCATCCCTCTCCCTCTTCTCTCCCTTTTCCTTGTTGTGTGTCTCTCTTTCCTTTTTGTGCCATCTTTGTTTTTGTGATACCCTACGAGTTGTCCAGCTTGTGTAGCCGGCTCTCATCAAACTCGTCAGTTCCTCTCTGAAAAGAAGGTTCTGCTCTTTTACCCCTCCGTGGGATCTTTCAAAAAATCTTTCGATCTTCACAGAAGTTTGTTACACACATCATGGATCAGCAACGGTTCTTGCAACAACTTCAGATTGTCCTGAATCGTGAGTTCTTCCTGGACACTGCTACAGTCCTGCTTGTTGTGAGTGGAGAAGACTAACTGTCCTATGTAGCCTCTCAGGGCAACGTTAAGGAGGCTACCGGCATCCTCCAGCGCGAGTTCTACAAACAGCCTGAGTCCCTTGTTTTCCTGATCCAGATTGCCACCAGCCACGAGGATGCCAACTTGAGACAGTTGGCTGCCGTCGAGGCCCGGTCTCTCGTGGTCAAGCACTGGGTTACGGTCCAGGCCAACCAGAAGCCCCAGATCCGTGAGCAGCTGCTGCGCTCTGCTCTCGGTGAGGCCTCTTCGTTGGTCCGTCACTCCGTTGCTCGCGTCATCTCTGCCATCGCCAAGATCGACTTGAACGATGGCGAGTGGGCCGAGCTGCCTAATTTCCTACTGCAGGCTGCTAGCAGTGGCAACAAGGAAGAGCGTGCTGTCGGTGTCTACATCTTGTTGACCATTCTGGAGACTCTGGGTGACGCGTTCGAGGAGAAGTTCGAGGACCTGTTCAACCTCTTCAGCAAGACCATCAGTGACCCTGAGAGCTCGGAGGTCAGAATCAACACCCTCATGGCTCTCAGCAAGCTCGCTATGTACCTGGACTCCGAGGAGAACATGGGCCCTGTCCGCGCTTTCCAGAACCTGCTGCCCTCCATGGTGGCTGTCCTCAAGGATGCCATTGACAAGGAGCAGGATGATGAGGTCATGCAGGCGTTCGAGGTCTTCCAGACCCTGCTCGGCTGCGACCCTGCTCTCATGACTGTTCACCTGAAGGACCTCGTTGTCTTCATGAACGAGATCGCCTCCAACACTGAGGCTGATGAGGACACCCGTACTCAGGCCATCAGCTTCCTGATGCAGTGCATCCAGTACCGCAAGCTGAAGGTTCAGGGCATGCGCATCGGTGAGCAGCTCACCCGCAGCGCCCTCCAGATCGTCACTGAGCTCGGTGACGCTTCCGCCCTCGACGACGACATTACCCCTGCTCGCTCCGCCCTTGGTCTGTTGGACATGCTTGCCCAGAGCCTGCCCCCCAGCCAGGTCGTCGTTCCCCTGCTCCAGTCCCTTGGCCAGTATTTCAACAACACCGACCCCGACTACCGTCGTGCTGGTATCATGGCTCTCGGCATGGTTGTTGAGGGTGCTCCCGACTTTATCAGCACTCAGATGAAGGAGATCTTCCCCATGGTTCTTCAGCTCCTGGCTGATCCCGAGCCCAAGGTTCGCCAGGCTACCCTCCACGCTGTTGCTCGTCTCGCCGACGATCTGGCCGAGGATCTGAGCCAGGAGCACGAGAGATTGATGCCTTTGCTCTTCAAGAACTTGGCTAGCGCCATGCAGGAGTACAAGGGTGAGGAGGATGGTCCTACCATTGACATCATGAAGGCTGGTATCAGCGCCATTGACGCCGTCGTTGATGGTCTCGATGAGAAGGATGTTGCTCCCTACCAGAACGAGTTGGTTCCCATCCTCCACAAGCTCTTCAAGCACCCCGACTTCAGAATCAAGGGTCTTGCTGCCGGTGCTCTCGGCTCTTTGGCCTCTTCTGCTGGTGACTCCTTCCTGTCCTTCTTCGATGAGTCCATGCATCTCCTTCAGGAGTATGCCACGGTCAAGGATAGTGAGGAGGAGCTCGACCTTCGTGCTAGCGTCACCGACGCTATGGGCGAGATGGCTGCTGCTGCTGGTCCTGAGCGCTACCAGCCGTATGTCGAGCCCCTCATGCGTGCTACCGAGGAGGCTCTCCACCTTGGTCACTCCCGTCTCAAGGAGAGCACCTACATCTTCTGGGGTGCCATGTCCAAGGTCTACGCTGAGCACTTCTCTCCTTTCCTCGACGGCGTTGTCAAGGGTCTGTTCGCTTGCATCGAGCAGGACGAGACTGATCTGGACGTCTCCCTTGGTGAGGCCGCTAAGGACCTCGTCGGCCAGGAGGTGACCATTGGTGGCCGCAAGGTCCGCGTCGCCAGCGCTGATGATGACGATGAGCCTGTCGGTGAGGATGGTGAGATTGAGGATGTCGATGTCGATGAGGACGAGGATGCCTGGGATGACATCACTGCCACCACTCCCCTCTCTTTGGAGAAGGAGATTGCCGTCGAGGTCATTGGTGACCTCGTCACCCACACTAAGGCCGCGTACCTCCCCTTCTTTGAGAAGACTATCGAGATGGTTCTCCCTCTCGCTGAGCACCCTTACGAGGGTGTCCGCAAGAGCACCATCAGCACTCTTCACCGCTCCTACGCCATGCTGTACTGCATTGCTGAGGAGAGCGGTCAGATGGAGAAGTGGAAGCCTGGTCTTCCCCTTCAGGTTGAGCCTGCTCGTGAGGTGCAGAAGTTCGGTGAGATCCTTATGACCTGCACTATCAAGATGTGGACGGAGGAAGATGACCGGTACGTATACATACTTCTGCTTTTTTGATCTGCACGCAAAGGTCTTGTCCGCTCATGCGGGTCAATTTATATGATGATCACCTCGTTTACCCAGCTCACTCAGACACACAAAAGTTGTGCATGCTGTCAACCACGATTTACTCACAACCTTCTGATATTTTGATTATCTTGCTGCTTTTATCACTTCATTCTCTGGTTACCACAGTTTCTAACCAGGCAATCTTAGGGCTACCGTCGCCGACATCAACCGCAACATGGCTGAGAACCTCCGCTACTGCGGTCCTGCTCTCATCGCCAACGAGACCACCCTGCACAACGTCATCACCATGATTACTGATATCATCACCAAGAAGCACCCTTGCCAGCTCGAGTTCGGTCCCGAGGAGGAGACCCTCGAGGCCGGTGAGGAGACTTCCGAGTTCGACTGGGTCGTTGTTGACACCGGTCTGGACGTTGTCTCTGGTCTGGCTGCTGCTCTGGGCGCGACCTTTGCTGAGCTCTGGAAGGTCTTCGAGAAGATCATCATCCGCTACGCCGGTAGCTCCGAGGCTCTTGAGCGTGCCACCGCTGTCGGTGTTCTCGCTGAGTGCATCAACGGCATGGGTGCCGCTGTGACTCAGTTCACCCCTGCTTTCTTGAAGCTTCTCATCCACCGTCTTGGCGATGAGGATCCCCAGACTCGCTCCAACGCTGCCTACGCCGTTGGTCGTCTCATCGAGCACTCCAACGCCAACGACCAGATCGTCAAGGAGATCCCCACCATCCTCTCCCGTCTCGAGCAGTGCCTCCACATGAGCGCCTCCCGTCTGCAGGACAACGCCACCGGATGTCTGTCCCGCATGATCCTCAAGCACCGTGAGAGCGTCCCCATCAAGGATGTCCTTCCCGTCCTCGTCTCGATCCTTCCCCTCAAGAACGATTACGAGGAGAACGACCCCTTGTTCCGCATGATCTGCCAGATGTGTAAGTACTTTCCAAGACATACATCCATTGAACACTCGACTAACTTCACAACAGACAAGTGGGAGGACCCCACCGTCCGCGAGCTGACCCCTCAGTTCCTGCCCATCTTCCAGGCCGTCCTCTCTGACCCCGATCAGCTTGAGGAGGAGCGCCGCGCCGAGGTCATCGAACTCGTCAAGTGGCTCAACCAGATGCAGCCTGGTTCCGCCCCTTGGGCCGAGCAGCTGTAAATTGCTGGCTGAGTGACGTGACGACAAAAAGTTTGATGAACCTACACAAAAATACCCCTTTACATTAATGGATAGACTGGGTCTCTTGAGACACAAAACAAAGGAGGGACGACATGATGGATGATGCTAGAAGATACCCCAGGGTCTGGACTCGAGGCCTTGTACGAATGCACTTTTTGATAAGATAGATCTGATCGATTTGGATATCACGAATCATGACTCTGCAAGAGTCTGATTGTAAATACAATTTTTTTTCTCATTTTTTTTTTCTCAAGCTTTATACCTCCACTTTTCTGAAGCGTAGTTGCATTGTAAAATGCTTGTATGTCTCTTGACGGGACAAAAAGTAGCTTGTGTCTTGCAAGCTTTGATCTTCCTATGTGAGGTGATCAGGAAGTCTTTCCAATCGACAAAATGGACGAGTCACTAGCTGGAAGGTGTTCTCATTCCATGTTCTCATCGTAGACGTGAGGAGATGGGAAGTACTCATTGTGATGAAAAGGATGCAACGTACTCGCCCGGACCTCTGCGCGTCGAAATAAGTTTCTTAGAAAGAACAGAAAATACTTCTAACCGATGATCTCTCTTGTGCTAGGTAGGGATTCGCAGATGAACCCCTTATCTATTGACGCAGCTCTTTAAAGATCACTTGTTCTTGGTACCTGTGACATATATTGTGCTCCCCTTCCACGACTTTGTTCCCGTTTCGGAACGGGGGTTTATTTCCGATAATAAGTAGTAGCTACAATCCACGGACCTCACACGGTGATGCATGGACATCAGTCGAGACTCAGATACGAACCTGCGAATCTATCGGCTCTGGACATTTTACAATTGCGTTCGTCCTCCGGAAAGCAAGGAGGGAGAGAGTGAGTGAAGAGCGTCCAAGCTTGGTGGAGTGTCACGTGACCCGGGACAGACATGCCAACGAGTCGTCGCGATAGATGGGCCTAGGCATATGTTCTTCGAACACGATGCAGGCTTAACTCTTTAGTTGATCATATGGTGCTGGCTATCAGACAGCGCATGGCTTTTGAGATTGCTGCCAAGCGGGGGGTGGACGGTGACTTGTTGGCCATGTATGAGTTGGAGGCGGTGAGAAGTGATCCCAGCTGGTACGTGGAGTGTTTGGGACTGAGCAGAGCTGCCCAGTATGAGATGGAGAGTACAGCATGCGATGCTGTCATGTCACAACTTAATAGGCATCTCGATGATCTCGGCATTGAGCCGTACTGCACGGCTCCAATGTTGTCTGGCGCCAAGTGGGACGACTTCATCAATGTCGCTCGCACATTCACTGCGAGGGCAGACGGGAGGGCAGCAGTCTTCCACCCGAGGCTTTAGGAGTGAGAGTCATTGTAGAATACAGAAGAAAGTGATTTCTCAATCAATCGAATAGGGAGATAAATGACACTGCTGTTGTGTGGTTGTTGTTGTTGTCGTTAGAACGGAGTAACTACGGAAAGGCGGAGCGAAAAAGGGAAGGCTTGGCGGACCGGACCGGGCGACGGCCTGACAGCCTGACAGCCTGAGGATCGTGACCCACGTATGACGTTGATGGCTGGGCCCCGACCGTTGGTTGCTCTCTATCCAACTCTCATTCCCTTCCATACTTATTCGCCCTCCTCTGTTCCTGATCCCTTTTCTCCAACCAGCCCGTCTCCAAAGCTGCCTGCTGCAATCTAGCTTGAACCACATCCAATACTTCCATCTATTCCATTAGACATCGCCCACGATGAGCGTCGGATCCTTCTCCTCTCCCGTCAACTTCACACTTCCTTCCTCCAGCTCGGGGTCTTCGATTAGGAAACCCATCAAGACAGTCTCCAGGCCTTGCTTCGGATGTGATTGCGGTGACGAAGAATGCGACTGCTGTATTTGCACTGTGATGTGGTATGTTACTTTTACCCAGAGGATCACGACTGAAATAGACAACTAACCGACATACATAGAACTAGCGTATACGCTTTTTTCCGCTATTGCACAAGCACTATATTGCTGCGCCACGAATACCCCTAGCACAGCGCCCAACCTCCTTCCAACGAATAACAACACAACTGTCTGTCCGGCGGGGTGTTTTCGGGTGGGTGGATCGGTGACAGATTCTAACTCTGATGACATGATGCTTTTTTCCTGTCTTGATATCCCTTCATTGATTGCTCAACATAGCACATAACTGTTTTCGTTTCCGAATCAAAGTCTTCTTTTTCTCCATGGCTCCAGTCTCGTTCTCTTCTGTAATAGAGCCACGGCCCAGCAGTTCTCATGTTCACTAACAAGACAGAACTACGAGAAAGAGCATCAGGTCGAGCCACCACCTTATCGGGCGTCGAAGTAAGTCTCAACAAATACTCTTGCCATTTTCTGGGTACGATAGATTCGTGTGGAGGTCTGTGATGGGCAAGATGCAGAAGGAGGTGGGTTCAGCTCCGATCTCTTGACATCCATCTCATTTGACAGGGCCAGACTTCTGGGGCCTGTGCGGGAGCTCCAATCATGTTCATGAGTTCATCAACAATCGCAAGGTCTGTCCCTTTCGAACTTCCCGACGCTGGTGAGCTCAGCACTGCCACAGCACGATGGTCGGCATTTCACGGCAGGAATCGTTCACAGCCACAAATTCTGGGGCCTAGAGATGGCAACACTCCAGGTCTTGATTGCAATCGGCTGGAAGGTCAGACGTAATCTCATGGCTTTTTGCGCCTCAAAGTTAAGCCACACATAAGCGCATGTGGGTCAAATATGGCGAGCTACGCGAAGCTAACGGCAGACTAACCAGGCCAGCGTCTCGACTACTGCACCTCACCAGGTATAAGTCCAGTCAAGGCACTATCACCCCTTGCTAGCTTTGTATTTCAAGGGCAACCGGTCCGTATCACGATGTAAGTAGTTTGGGGAGAGACATGTACCGACAGGGGTACAGCCTCACACGCTACACTTGCGTTACCCTCACAGTTGAAGTCAGCGCTCAGGATGGTTGAAGCCGAGCGAAGGTGCTATATAGGCGACAACATGGCTATACTTTCGATCAGTATCATCATCTCTTGCCAATCTTCGAGCCCCAGCATTCAGCAATGTCGACTTGGCTCCCTTTTGTTGTTACCCACGTGAGGAGTTATTTCAGGGATAAGAGCCCTGTCCAGGATGAACAAGAGAGTCCTCGCTTGCCATCAGAGACCCAGATTGATTTGGCCGGCAACACCTCTCGGGAGTCATTTGACGAACAACAAGAAGATTTCTCAGCCGCGGCTCCGACACGCAGGGGACATTCAAGCCCGACCAATGATCAAACATGGCAGAGTTGGGTGAAGCAAAAAACAGGTCGTTCTTACGGAGCGCCTGAAACACCAAAAGAGCCGTATGGCTTTTCCTATCAGAACCAGGAGCCCTATGGACTGCCATCCCCGAATGGTAGCATCAGTGAGGAGGGAGAAACCCTAGTGCCCTCGCAGTCAGAGTACGACTCTGAAGCAGAGGAAGCCGATGTGATTCAAGTGAAGCATCTCGATCAGGACGATATTATCAAGAAAATGATCGAAGCACTAGGCAAAAAATGTGATGATCAGCCAGGATATGTGTACACGTTCTATGATCCAGAATCTGAACCGAGCAATTCGTCTGTGAAGGTCGGCCATACATCGAATCCCAAAGTACGAGAAGACCAACACAAAAGATGTTGCAAGCGCACAAACTGGGAACTGAAATATGCCGACTCTTTGAGAGGGTACAAATGTGTGGAGAGACTGGTCTTGGTTGAGCTACACAACCGGCGATCTTACGATGTCTGCAACTGTGGGATAAGACACAGAGAGTACTTCGATGTTGACGAAGCTGATGCGTCTGGACTCATTGAATCTTGGCAAACCTGGCTGCGAACGTATGAGCCCTATACCCGTGGAGGGGTATTGAAGACTGTCTGGAAAGACCGACTGGACTTGTTCAAAAGCCAGTCTTCTAAGTTTTTCTTGTGCAAAACGTGCAAGGCCAACCGCACTGCCACATCAGACCCGAAGGCAAAAGATTGTTGCATTCGAGCAGGATGGAAAGCATGGACTAATCCAGCGCGGGCCACGTACAGATACCAAGCCTTCCTTGCTCTAATCAAAGACACTCGCACGTCTCACTATTTGACAAGGCCCGCCAGGTTCCTTTTGATAATCATATGGGCGAGGCTTCTCATTTCCGCCATATTTTATGGCGGTTTACTCATCTCAGCATCGTCGGACGCAATGTCCGTGGTGCATGCAGCATTTTTGTCGCTTGGAGTAGTCTTTGACCTTGTCGTCTCTGCTATCTTGTTCCTTTGGGTATCATTTGCACCGAACCGCGAGATAGCCCGTATTGAAGACACTGAAGCATCCGATTCCCCTCGCAAAGAGCGCAAAGCCGGAGCGGATTCAGTCAAGGAGTCATGCACTACTCCGACCAAGTCTACTAGGAAGAAAGCTGCGGAGAAAACACCGCCGTCAACTCCATGGAGAATTGATACAAAGACACCCAAGTCTTCTTCAGGCCCTCGCCAAGATAGGGAACTTAGAGCAAGGTCACGTCAAGAGCCGTCTGCTACTCCGACCAAGTCTCCTAAAACCAAACGTGTTGGCAGAAGATCGAGAAAGGTATCGGATAGTCTTCCGACGATTGGGAATGAGACACAAGCCACCAATCTCAGCAGTGACATAACACCTCCGCACCACTCGGGAACGACTTGGCCTATAGATACCTCGACTCCCCCTGCACTTGGCAAGATGCTTGAGCGCTCATTCGACTGCAATCAAGTCAGGTAGGGGTAAATGTATGAGAAGCGCCATATTCGATCTTTTTGTGAATGCCGTTCCATGGACACTAACTCACTATACCTACAAGCTTGCTTGTGTAGGTTCCGCTTGATGATCTATGTCTTCTACTGTTTTCTGTTTTGAGGTGGATTGATCTGCAGCTGTTTGTGATGACTTTTCCGCGGTTGGTCTTGGCATGACTCTTTCACGGCTTGTCTCGGCCCACTCATTCTCATGTTCGATGAGAGGGTCGAGACTCTTGCCTTTCTTTATTAGCGTTCTTAATGATCCGCAAGTGGAATAAGCTCAGGTATAAGTCGCTGTGACTCACGTTGATCCATCTCTAAGTACGAGCTCCATGGCTTCAACCACCAGAAACGTCCAGTCTTCAGCCAACACCCTTCAGTATACGTACTGCAAAAGCAAGCACCATGACCGTCGCACCCGCAACTGTATTCTCCAGCCTAGACCTGATCGGCAACACGCCGGTGGTCCGCCTCCGCAAAGTCGTCCCCGACAACCATGCCGACGTCTACCTCAAGGTCGAAACCGGCAATCCCACCGGTTCGCACAAAGACCGAATGGCGCGATCAATGATTGAGGAAGCCGAGCGACGCGGAGACCTCCGACCCGGAATGACCGTGGTCGAAGCCACCGGCGGGAGCACCGGGTCCGCGCTCGCCTTCATCTGCGCCGTCAAGGGCTACAAGTTCCTGGTGGTCTCGTCCGACGCCTTCGCCACCGAAAAGATCCGGACGATGCGTGCCCTGGGGGCGGAGGTCAAGCTCATCCACAGTCCCTCAGGCCAGATTACGCCCGATCTGGTCCCGTCCATGATGCGACGCGCACAGGAGATCGTCGACACCGGCGACAACTACTTCTACACGAATCAGGCCACCAACCACGACGCGCTGATCGGCTACGAGGGCATCGGCAGGGAATTACTGCGGCAGTTTCCCGACGGGATCGATGCCTTCTGCGGCGCTGTGGGTGGTGCGGGCATGGCGATGGCTGTCTCCAGGGTCTTGAAGGCTCAATGGCCCCAGACGCGCGTGGTAGTGCTCGAGCCGGCGTCTTCCCCTGTCATCACTGAAGGTCGCGCGGGCACGCACCAGGTCGATGGGATTGGGCTCGGGTACATGCCCGCACACTTGGATCGGGAGCTCTATGATGAGGCGCGCGGCATACCGGAGGAAGACGCCGTGCCATGTGTCGGCGTCTTGCCAGAGTAGAGGGTTTGTTGGTTGGAACGTCGACGGGGTTGAATGTTGTCGCTGCCATTGCACTGGCGAAAGAGCTGGGGCCGGGCAAGACGGTTGTCACGGTCGCTTGTGATACTGGGTTTAAGTACATGAGTGGCAGTCTTTTCGCCGACGATTAGGCTTCGAACGGCCTCAGTTATACTTGTATTGAAAGATTGCCTCGCAGTTCCGAAGATTTGATTATGAGTGAAAATACGGGCATGGGCCAGGAGTTGGAGGAATTAGCGGTGTCATCGTGGTTTATTGGGCTGTTCGTTTACTTTTCTCTTTCTTAGCTTGCTACCTTTTGCCTTGGTAATTATTGAAGTCATTTTGAGAAGGTCTCGTATAGCTCTGAGTGCAATTCATATACATTGAGGTTTTTGAATGCAATGGTGAAACACATTCAAGTGAAGCCGGAAATAGAATGGCCGAGCTCCAAGTCGCGGTCCGCTTACAAAGCACACAAGGCAGCAAAAACTTGCCACGGGGAAATTTGTCAGCGGCATCGGAAGACCCGGGTTCTTCATCCGATCTTCTGTGGTTGTGCAACCTTTTCTTTCAGCATATCAGACCCCTATAGATCGTTACAACCTCGATAGACTGCTTTAGCATTGATACCTCCATCTAAATGTTTCCCTCGCCGTCCTCGGCAGAGAAGTCTGACGAGGAGATCCGGAGACCTAGGAAGCGTATTGCGAGGGCGTGCGACTCGTGCTTCAAAAGAAAGGTCTGCCTCGCCACCTGGACTGTACTTCTTCTTTCTGGTCTCTGACATTCCTGTAGATCAAATGTGATGGCGCGCAGCCGCAATGTAACTGGTGTAGTCATCATGACATTCCGTGCACGTTCGAGAGGGTGACTGTGAGGAAGCGGAAGATCGCCAAACCTGTAAGGGGGTATGCATGGCCACCGAATCCACAAGAAACCCATTTGTCTGACCCGTGGGAATCTAATCGACCGTAGGAATGCTAGTCCAGGGGAGTCATCAGATTTAGCCGAGCGGATTGAGCGGATAGAGAAGCTCTTGGGTAGCAAGTTGATGAATGAACCCGGTTCGTCTAAATTGAGCACTGCCTCTTCCGCTTCGTTGACTGATATCAAGCAGCCCTGGCCGGAAGAGACGACAGTTTTCGGATTCGTGCACCAAGCAGTGTTCCAGATGTATCCTCCGAGGCTTCTCCCGCACCTTACAAGCAGAACTCGGGCTCGTCTTCGGTGGCTTTGCACTTTGCAGGGCGCGAGCTCGGGGTGTTCAACTTGTTCACCGGTATTCCCTTGTTGCTACCAGAGGGAAGGCAATGGGTTCAAGCGAGGACGGGCCAGAATGTTTCATTCAGCAGGCTAGTCAGTTCTATTAGGACTCCGTGGGAACGACAGAGGGCATTCAACTACGATGCTCTGATGATGAACTCCACCACAGAGAACGCATTTGAGCTTCCAGAACGGCACATCGTCGAGAGCTACTATAACATGTTCTGCTCGTCACTGATGCGGCTGATCTTCCCGGTTTTGGATCCGGTCCTGTACAGGGAAACCATCAACGCAGCATACGAGCAGCCACATGGCCGGCTCTCATATGAAAGGGCAAGCGTTCGAGCTTCTATCTTTGCGTTCGTGGCTTTTGCAAGTCTCATACCACCCCCTGAGAATGAACTACAAAGAGGGTTGGCCCCGGTGGATAACGAGGCTTATATTGTCAAGGCGCAGTATTTCGTGCCTCAGATCTTGCAAGAAACAAGTTCTCTGGAAGGACTGCAAGTGATTACTATGCTGGTAAGTCTACGCCTTTCGAGTTGTACATCCTGCCTTACCTATCAGCAAAAGCATTTGATGCTATCAATGTGTCTCTCGCTGGTCATTGCTGCTCATACAGGGGATGGTGATTGCATATCGTTTGCTAACCCTACATAGGCAGTGTACGAGCTTGTGACCGGAAACCTACAATCCGCGAACTACTACGGCGGGCTAGCCGCTCGCATGATCTTCATACTTGGAGGTCACACGGCGTTCTGCTACTCGCCCGACTATCTGGCGTCGCTACCCGACGAGACCAGCGTGCGCACCCAGCAGCACATCCGGCGCATCTTCTGGCTCTGTTACACGTTCGAGAAGGACGTCTCCCTGCGCACGGGGCAGCCGCAGACCTTCAGCGACGATAACTGCGACCTGACCTTACCCCCCAACTACATGGACACCCTACACGCGCACGGCGTGGACTGCATGCAGCCCATCCGCAAGACGGACGAGGACCCGCTCTACCCGGTGGACATCCGGCTCAGCATCATCAAGTCGCGGGCGTACAGCGCGCTGTACTCGTTCCGGGCGCTCAAGAAGACGGACGCGGAGCTCCTGAAGGAGATTCGCGAGCTCGACGACGACCTCGAGCGCTGGCGGCTCTCGATCCCGCAGCAGTGGCGCCCCACGCTCTCCTTCTCCCAGGAGACCCCGGACCCGGACGCCAACATGCACAAGGTGATGCTGCGGCTGAACTACCACCTGTGCATGACCATCATCCACCAGGCCAGCAGCCGCTGCCAGTCCTGGACGAAGGACCAGTTCGGGATCATGGACGGCGTGAATTCCAGCCTGGCCCTCTCGGTCGAAGCGAGCCGCTCCACCTTGCTGTATCTCCAGGCGTCTGAGCACGTTCTGGTGGCGGGCATATTCTGGTTAGTTCGATACCTTCCCCTCCCCAATACAGCCGATCCACCCAACCTCTCCCTCCCTCCTTCGCCTGTTCCTGTTCAATCAGCACACAGCGATGAAAAAGCATTTCCTAACACCCCCTAAACAGGACCCTCATCTTCTACCCTATGTCCGCCCTCCTCGCGATCTTCTGCAACATCCTCCAGAACCCCACCGACCCGCAGGCCACCAAGGACCTGGGTCTCCTCAAGACGGCCAAGGGCATGATGGAGCGGATCTTTCTGCGCCAGCCCGCCTCGGTCAACGAGATCGTGCACATCAAGATGGTCGCCGACTTCGTGACGGAGCTGTATCGACTGGCTAGCTGCGCGATCGAGAAGGCCTGGACTGAGCGGGCTGCTGCGTAGTCTCTCTTTTCTTTTCTTTTTTTTTTCTTTTCTTCTTTGCTTGATAACTCTTGATTTTCTTGTTAGAGGGGTCTGGCGTGAGGCGCTGGGTTGCGCGGGTCGGGATTGTCTTTGTTGATTTCAAGAGGGTCGTTGCATTGGGTCTACTGTCTAGATGGTACTTGTATAGACCTGGGATAGATAGAGGACGGAGAGACTTGGAAGATCTGGGTGATTTCAGCCCTATAAAGAGAGATGTGGGAAGGGTACAGTACAGCCAGGCGCAAGAGAGCATAGATCATTCATGCTTTGATTAGGGCACTGACATGAGTGAATATCCAAACTACGCTGCTATACATATAGAAATAGTGACAAGAAACCGACTAAAGACTACAAAAGGAGACAAGATTTTGGATGCAAGAATTTGATATTCATTTGAGCCATTCATCATATGCTGTAGCAAGGGATCCTGGAAACTGGGGCAAGTCAGCAATGCGATTCAAAAAGACTTGAATGACAATAATGGCTGAATTGAAGACATAGACAAGCTTTGAGAGCTTGTTTTCAGAAGAATGCGAATGAAGGATGCGTAATTGTAATCAAAAAGTACACAAGTACTCTCAGATGGGGTTGAAACATAAATAAACGCAAATCATCATAGTAGAAATGAGGATGTGGGCGGGTGTTCTGATAGAGCTTACCATTAGTACAGTAGACAGAAATCGAGAGGCCGAAAGAGTTCATTGAATTGCATTGCTGAGGTAGGCCATCATGAAGCCTTGACCAAGGAGGTATCATGAAAGATCACGGCGGGAGAAAAAATGAGTAGGAATTTAAAGGCGCGGGATTAGTGCGACACGTGATCGCACGAGGAACAATGACGGCCCGGGATTGATGTGGATAGCTCCGCGCAGCGCGAGGTGCATGTCGCGCTCGGCCGGCACGACCTGAAGCTCTCGGTGTAGATTCGATGACTTTGACCAATAGCCATGAGTTATGATCGTTTTGCCAAGTTTGCCTCTTATTGGAGCTGATTTGGGACTGAATCGTGCTCTTGTAGTACACCTGAGCAGCTGGACTCGGTAGCACTAAGCTGCGAGACATAGAATGCTGAAAAAAAGCAATCTTGTAGCAGATGCTCAACTGTTTATCTTCTCGTCCAACAGATCCCAGATCAGTTTTGCGTCCTCGACGGCTTGCTCGTCCGTGGCCAGGCTTTGTTTGCTATCCTTGTCGGCCTGCGCTGACGCTTGCGCAGCTTGGCCGTCAGCCTCGAGCCGCTCCAGAACTCCAGTGATTTCTGCCTTGAGCTTGTCCATTTCTTCAATCTCCTGCTTTGTTCGGTTCAATTGTTCTTCCATCATCATGATCAGAGACTCGCGAGCCTGGTGCGGCCGGTAAAGGTTCAGGAGGTGGTGGGCGTTGATGAACAGATTGCGCAGGTCTTCCACCTTGGCCTCGAACTGCTCCGGAGCGACCGAGAGGATGCCGACGAACTCTAGGAAGTTCAACAGTAGGGACTTGCTGATCTTGAGTAGATAATATGCGTGATTCAACGGTCGCGTCGGTTCGGAAGGTTTTTGTTCATCGGTCTCAGCAGGCGGGGTGGAGGGGTAGAGCTGTGTGATTCCCTGTTCTTGGAGCGATGGTAGACCTGTTGATAACTAGACGAGAGTTTGAGTAGCAGGCCTATTATCTGCGGGGGGTACGAGGACGAACGCTTTGAAGCTCCCCGAAAACGCTGTAATGTCCGGACGTCGGGATTGCTGGTGGTACGAGAAATCGTAGCTCAGACGGAAGGTCCAATTCGCGGAGTTCAGCTGGCGTCCATTTCTTCTTCCGCGGCTTGCCATCCTCGCCTTTGGAAGCTTCTTTCTTGATATGTTCCAGTCTCTTGATGTTGTCGGGGGTGAAGTGTTTCCATAATGGCGGGGGCGGAGCGAAGGCCGTCGTAAGCGTCCGGGGTTGCCCTGCTTCGGCCATTATAGCTGTGAAGTATTCGATTGCAGGTACGGTGGTCGACAGTTCAGTTGATTCGGCGATTGCGTCTGGACTCAGATGAAGCGGAAGAGTCAAGTTGGATTGAGGCGGCGGGAATGCGGAGACTGGGCGGAGGTGGTCCGTGCTCAGCAGGCGGCCAGCGCGGCCACTTTCCATCTCCGCTTCGCTGATCTTCCTCTTTGATTGATTCAAATTCATTAACACCCACCCTCTTCGGCGTTGACGATTTGCCGGCCTTGCAAGGCCTTTTTCCTATCTGATAGACTGCTCGAAATATGCCTCGCAATGGCTTTGCTGCTGGTACAGCATCCCCTCTTACTCACCAGAGCGAAATGACCGGCACGATGTCTCGTCTTTATCAGCGATCGTACCCCGTGCTGGACACCATCGCGCTGGCGTGTATTGTCGGTTTTTGGGTATTGGTAGGCACACGCTTCGCCCCGGTGACTATCTTGTTGAAAGCTAACTTTATTGCGCATGTGTAGATACAACTATTTGTTACCCCCTTCCACCGCATGTTCTCCTTGGACAACAAGGCAATCCAATATCCCTTCGCCGTCGTCGAGAGAGTTCCAGTCGGTAAGGTCTTCCATACTCCCGAATGATAGATACCCTTGTGGCTCACTATTGGCCTCCAGTCTGGTCCATTGTATACGCCGGTGTCATTCCTTTCCTGATCCTCCTCGTTTGGGCTGCGACGTTTCGACCCTCCCCTCACAAAGTTCAAGTCACCCTGCTGGGCTTCTTGATCGCTGTCATGTTGACATCACTCATCACCGATATAATCAAGAACTCTGTTGGTCGACCGCGGCCGGATTTGATTTCGCGCTGCCTTCCCAAGAAGGGAACCCCGGCAGAGTCGTTGGTCGCATGGACTGTGTGCACGCAGTCAAGTGAACATATCCTTCAAGAAGGGTGGAGGAGTTTCCCCAGCGGACACAGCAGCTTCTCATTTGCTGGATTGGGCTATTTGACACTGTAAGCTTTTACGCTCCATTATAATGAAAGGCTGCTAACCACTGTCGGATCATAGGTTCCTGTGCGGCCAGATGCGCATTTTCCGACCCCGAACCGACCTATGCCGTTGTCTGGTGGCATTCGTACCGCTATTGTGCGCGCTTATGATTGCAATCTCCCGCTTGGATGACTACCGTCATGACGTCTACGATGTTACGTGCGGCTCAATCCTTGGCTTCTTTGTGAGCCAATTCTCGTACCGCCGCTATTTCCCACCCCTGCGCTCAGTCACATGCGACGAGCCTTACGGAAGGGAAGAGATCTCAGGCTCTGACGGCTTTTCCAAAATTGCGGATGATGAAGAGCAGCAGGTAGGATCAGCCTCGCGCCAATGGGAGGCTCGGGAGGAGTCCTATGCACTTGCCGAGGCGACGTCGCCTCGTGGTCGGTAGTCATACTCTTTCTACTTGTTTTTTTGTTGTATTTTGTGATACCCTAGAGCTATGTAGGGGCGGTACATGGTTTTTATTTGCTTTTTGCTACTCTGATCCTGTCTACGAATGATTTGTATCTTGCATGTTTGGATAAATCCTATTCCTGGTATTATACATTTTGGAATTGTCTCTTCTTTACTTGCCCACACTATAACTTGGATATATTCCTGTATCTCACATTCGTCCATTCTCTCACATCATGGAAATCCATGACTTTGTTGGGACCCCCGAATCTGCCCAGCGTGTCATTCCAATCTCTGTTAGAGGCGATCTCTGGACTCCACCGAATCAGCTCGTGGACTTTCGCCGGGACCTTATCTTCCATAGCGTCGACGATCAAGCTTCCGATGGATGGCAGATATTTGTAACCTATTGTCATGATGATAGTCAGCACTTGCCCGCTTTCCCGGGATTTGCAATTCAGAGAACCTACCTCTGCCTGAAGCGCCGCAACCCAGAATAAGCGACTTGTGTTGTGGGTGACGATCAATGATAAACTCGCGATTGGCAGTATCGGCACACCAGCAGATGCGCGCAAAGCTGAACGGACGATTTGCAAGTTGAGGCACCGTTTCCGCAAGAAGCGCCCGTACTCGCTTTTCGGATTCCAGAGGCACTTGTGTCATCTCGAAGGGAAGGCTCTGCAATTTGCCCTCCGGGGATTGGATCATGTTGGTGTAGCCAGGATGCTCGTCGCAGATCTTTATCTCTCCCTTCTCCTCATCCGGCTCGAAGAAGAATCCTTTCTCGATGTTGAAGATAACGGGCATGTTCTTGTAGAGCGGACGCTCCTCAGGCGTCAGCGCGATATGAACAAGCGTCCAAGCGGTCGGACGCAGTTGATCCTTAAAGTCCAGGAATTGCCCTGCGTTTGCACCCGCGCAGAGGATCGTTTGGTCAGCCCGCCAGATCTTGCCGTCGGCCGTGACGGCGCCCTTGACGTCGTTGTTCTCGAAGATCAGCGTGATCACCTTGCCGGCCGGGTTTCCAGTCACGAATCTCACACCCAGTCTCTGGGCTTCTCTCGCAGCAGCCACGAGGGCATTGCGGGCATGAGCCCAGCCGGCACCGGAACGGAGGAAAAATCCCTTCCAGCCGGGGAAACCGCCCTTGAGCACCTCAGGTGCGAGGCTCTGGAACTGCTCTGGTTGAGTCATTTCGACGAGGTTCGGATCTGCCTCGGGCCTGACCTTGACACCCAGGCGGCTCAGTCCAGCTGGCGTGCAAGCCGACATCAGCAGGCCCGTGTCGTGGTAGTATGGCTTGAAGAGGGGGTCATTCAGCCACCCTTGGAAGGCTTGCTCGCCGAGCATCTCGTTCACCTCAATCTCATCCTTTCTATTGCTATATTGCCCGGAAGAAATGACCTTATTGACATCGTTTCCAGCCGAGATGGCAGACGGGACGGGGTAGGGGTCTAGGACTGTGACATTCTTGTACCCTCTGCGAGCGAGATGAAGGGCGGTGGAACAGCCCCAGGTGCCTGCACCGACAATCAAAATGGAGGAGTCTTTCGTGACCATCGTGGCGGTGTGGTGGCCTCGGATGCGGTATGTGACGGGATCAGAAGGTGAATGTGGCGAGGTTTATATGGAGAAGAAAAGCTGCCTCCTGCGTTGTTGGCCTCACAGGTAGGGATGGATTTGATAAGACCAGGCTGGTCTACAGTCAGACTGACTCTTATAAGGACACAAGATGCCAAGTCGCTGGATCATGAGATGTTGCCATTTTCTGGGTGATCGATAGCCAGGAAGGTCCACGCGATGCTTATCGATAAGAGCGGACATGCCTCCAGGTCTCCGACACAGCATAATTTACCCAAGGTTCCCCGCATTGGACTGTGCAGCGATACGATAAAAGCTTCCCTGGATTCTGTCCGGCTGCAGCTCCGATGGGCGGGGCCGCTCCTAATCGCCGACCTCGGCCCAACGCGACAGGCATGGGCTGGCCCAGAGTACGACAGAGTATCAATGCGACCAAAACAAAGGCTTATTCTTGCCCGGAGGAATGGTGTCAATTGTCAAGTGCATGAGGTAAAATGATTCCCTGGGGCTAGACCAACATTTGCTATCATATCAGCTTGATCGCCACAGGCGTTGATATGTGTAAAGACCATTGCATCCTGCAAGATATACCCGGGATTATCGGTGCCGCTCGCGGTCATTCGTCCGCTTGGACCTTACCTACTTGTCAAGTTTTGTCGCGTGGCTTGAGGATTACTTTCAGGTCCAATAGCGCTTCTCAATTTGCTTACCCCGTTTTCGACTCCGCATTATGGTCCATCCCGTTGAGATCGGCCTCAGCCGCCTTCTTCTATCAGGACAAGCCTCTAATCTACTGATTTCCCTACCGTCTGGTTGCATCTTTTAGTGCATGGTTCAATGGCTTATCTATTCCTTCAGTATGGAATTCTACCGGTTAGTCGCTCAAGGCGCGATGTCTGTCGCCGCTGGCTACAAAAGCCGGCATGGGAATGCCAGATGATTCAGTCTCCTCCGGAGAATAATCTTCGTCCGTTTTCTGCCCTCATCTGCTCTTCCAGGCGATAAACACTTCACACTTCGCCTGGCATACGTGCTCTCATGCCACAGATTCAGTCAGAGACAATGCCTAGCGCAGATGTCGAGAACTATGCTGCGGAGCCAGTCCCCTCTGGCGATGGCATCTCCAAGAAGCCCTTGAATAGCGCCGAGGCCTTGGAGATCGCCATCGGCGAGAGTAGTACCGTTGAATACACCATTGACTCCGACAACTCCCCATACCTGGAAGTACGGGCCAATGTGCCAAACACCGACGACCCCACACTGCCCGTCAACACGTTTCGAATGTGGTTCCTTGGCATTGTTTTCACTCTAGTAAGTCCTGCCCTTCGCCGAGATCTAGCTTGCATACTAACTGCCATCCAAGATCGGCACTGGTGTGAACCAGTTCTTCTCCATGCGATATCCGAGCGTGACCATCACCTCGCTCGTGGCGCAGCTTATCAGTTATCCGGTGGGCTGTGCCTTCGCGAAGGTTCTACCCATCATGAAGTACAGAATTGGGCGCTGGGAACTGGACATCAACCCGGACCATCATTTCAATATCAAAGAGCATGCGGTGATTACAATCATGTCGAATCTCAGTTTCAATCAATCTTGGGTAAGAAATGTTTGGCTTTAGGCAGTCTATACTTGGGGGTTGCTGACAATAGCACTCAAACTAGGCCAGTGCGATCATTCAAGCACAGAAAGTGTACCTTAACATGTCGACCCCAGTCGGCTACCAGATCTTACTCTCCCTGACCATGCAATTGTTCGGGCTGGGCCTCGCTGGCCTGACCTACCGCTATATCGTTGAGCCACCGCAGATGGTATGTACTGCTGGGTGATCCGAGTAAACAACAGATTTGGCTAATACTATCATCAGATCTGGCCTTCAACACTTGCCAATGTCGCACTTTTCCAAACACTGCACAGTGGGGCTAATCCTATCGCCGACGGCTGGAAGATCTCTCGATACAGGTTCTTTCTGTATGTCTGCCTCGGAAGCTTCTGCTGGTATTGGTTCCCGGGGTATATCTTCACAGGCTTGAGTACTTTCGCTTTTATCTGCTGGGCGGCTCCTAGTACGTACGCCATCTCTCCCCAAAAGGATAAAACCCCACTAACACTAGGGTAGACAACAAAGTATTGAACAACCTGTTTGGAATGACAACTGGTCTTGGCTATCTACCCACCACGTTCGACTGGAGCCAGATCGCATACAACACATCGCCGCTGACCATCCCGTTCTGGGCCCAGGCCAACGTATTTGCGGGGTGGTTCTGTCTGTTCGCCGTGGTAGCGCCCATTCTCTACTACACCAACACCTGGTATACCGCCTACCTGCCTCTGACGAGCTCTGACGCGTATGACAACACTGGCAACCTCTATAACTCAAGCCGTATTCTGGACGAGACCGGCACGTTCGACGAGGAGAAGTACAAAGCGTACAGCCCGATCTTCCTGCCCGTCACCTTCTCTCTCAGCTACGGAGTGGGCTTTGCTGTCCTGAGCTGCCTGATCACGCACGTCCTGCTACACCATACAAAAGACATCATCAGCACGTTCAAAGGCCAGAGCAAGAAAGACATCCACGCGAGACTGCTGTCCCGGTATCCCGATGTGCCCTGGTGGTGGTATGCGGTGCTCACTGTGCGTATTGTAACATCACTTATGCGTGTCGGTTGACTAACGTGTCCAGGTTGTCATCGTGGGTCTTTCCATCATGACCCAGTATGTTTGGCACACGGGACTCCCCTTCTGGGGTCTCTTCATCACGCTGGCTCTGGCGGTGATCTACGTGATTCCCGTCGGGACGGTGTATGCGATTGCAAATCTGAACAGTAACAACCTGACGGGGTTGGGTGAGATTATCTGCGGATACCTTCTTCAGGGGAAGCCCCTTGTGCTGTTAATTTTCAAGGTGCGTATCACTCTACCAAATACTACTGTATCATGCTAATAGATGCCAGTTCTACGCATACACCGGCTTGAGCCAAGCAATGTACTACGCAGCAGACATGAAGGTACGTCGCACGCACCCGCCTCTTCTGGCAATTATCTAAGAGACATCTCGTATAGCTGGGGCTGTACATGAAAATCCCCCGCCGGACCCTCTTCGTCGCGCAGCTCATCGCCTGCATCCTCGGCACTCTAACCCAAAGTACGCATCCACCCCGGCAACCCATCCTCACCTCTCGTGGACTAACCCAAGGACAGACGGCGTCCTCCTCTGGATGCTAGGCCACGTCAAAGACGTCTGCTCCGAAGACCAACCCGACAACTTCACCTGCCCCCAGGGCCGAGTCAACTACAACAGCGCCGTCTTCTGGGGAGGTAAGCTCCCTCCGAACCCCGAACCATCAACCCCCCTTCTTCCCCCCACGCCCTCCCAGATAACCACCAATACTAACAGAAGTGCAATGAAAAGCCATCGGCCCCGCGCGCCTCTACAACATCGGAGCCATGTACTCCGGCCTCCTGCACTTCTTCTGGCTGGGCGCCCTCCTCCCGATCCTAACCTTCTTCGCGCGCAAGAAGTATCCCAACTCGAAACTCCTGAAAGCCATCCACTGGCCGATCTTCTTCGCGGGGACGGGGAATCTGCCTCCTGCTGTACGCGCCCCCAACCCTCATTCCCTCGTCACTATCCTCGTCACTCTCCCATCACGAAACAACACAATACTGAATTGAATATAGACCGGAATAAACTACTCCACCGCCTTCGTGGTGAGTTTCATCTTCAACAAGGTCTGTGCCTTCCCACCCTCGCCCAAAGCCACCACCAGGGCCCCAACGCAACACCCACTAACAAAGTCCACGGTGCCAGCTCATCAAAACCCGCCGCCCCCACTGGTGGGCCAAATACAACTACGTGCTTTCGGCGGCGCTGGACTCGGGCGTCGCCGTCGCCGCCATCGTCATCTTCTTCGCCCTAACCTTACCGGGAGTCACGTTCAGCTGGTGGGGTAACAATGTTAGTGGCGGGACGGTCGACGGCAAGGGGACGCCGTGGTTGGAGCTGCGCGGGAATCAGACGACGTTTGGGCCGAAGGTTTGGGGGTGATTTATATCCTGTATCTACTGCTGGGGCTTGGATTGGGTAGGTTTTGGGGATATTGGCTTATAACCAGGATGTTTTGAAAAAGGGGGGGCGGAAGGTCTTGGGGTATTGGTTTTTGACCAATACTCTAGAGGATATAGGTATGAAATGAATCTGGCTTTAATCTATCATTCAGAGTTTGAAAGTGACGTTGACGTTGGGACAGGTAGGGTTGGTGGAACTAGAGTACCTAGTATTGATTAGGGTAGTGAGATTAGTCCTAGACCGGGCACATATTTGCGGCAGATAAACTTATATACTAGTGACCGAAAGCGATGCGCCCGCAAGTGCAAGCCCACAAAAGATCCGTCAACGCCTTCCACGAACACCCTTGAAGCAAAACCGGGAAAACGATCAAAACCCCGCTAAGTGAACATACATGCCCAATTCTCCAGCATAATGCAAACCATTCTCCCCCAGCTACTCGATACTCATATTCATGAGCCCGTCGTTCGTCTCGTTCATCCCCTGCAAGCCCACGCGTTTGGGGTTCCCCGAGTGGCCGCTGGTCGTGGGGCGGGCCCCGTGCTCGCTGACGCTGGGCCGGTCGGCGAACAACGACCCCAGGTTCGAGCGGGGCGCCCCCCAGATGTTGGGGCTGGTGTCCTTCACGGCGGGCGAGTTCGGCATGATCGGGCTACTCTGGGCGCTCATGCTGGGCGACACGGCGCGGCGTTTGAACAGGTTGGGGTCGAAGTCGTCGTCGCGCCGGCGCTTGCGCTTGATCTGCTCCCCGAGAAAGCCGGACTGCGTGGGGTGCGACGAGGAGGCTTCGCTGCGCGACCCGGGCCGTTCGTGCGGCTTGGCGAATTCGTGGTGGTTGTGGTTCTGGGTGGTCGTCGTGGAGGGGGTGAAGTCCATGGTTAGGTCATCTTCGGAGACCGAGAAGGCCCCGTGCTGGCGGGGCGGGGGCGGCGGAGTGCGGTACCGTTCGTCGAACGAGTTCCAGAAGTTGATCCCGCCCGAGTTCCGATGGGCCTGGTCACTGAACTTGGGCTCGTCGGGGCTGGTTGCGGTGGCCCCGGCAGTGCCAGGCCGGTCCTCGGGGGGGTGTGGGGTGGTGGATGGCATGAAGGATTCGAGGGATGGAAGTGCCCCCAATGGTGATTTGGGCGGTACCTCGGGCTCGCTCTCCCGGACTTGTCGAATCACTTCCGCTTCGCGCTTGGCTTCGCTGTCGATCGGAGCGCCTTCTTCCATCAACGCTGCTCTGATGCGGGCGAAAGTCTTGGTTTTTGGCTGGAATATACCATTAGTAGCTGGTATCTCCACATAAGATGCCGAATCACCTACCAGTAGACTGCCTCGGCGAGTCACAGCACGACGTATCACCCCCAGAGGCCCGCCCTCGGGGTTTGACGCATTAGGGCTCTGTCCCCGCATGGCGCGATGCTCTCCTTCATCACTGACGTCCGACAAACGCAAGTCCCGCGTCCCCAAGCTCAGACTTCCTCGGCGCGACGAGACGCTGCCTCGGGCTGCGAAGTAACCGCCGTTTGGATTCTCGATGCTCTTCATCACCGGAGGGGACAACGGCCCGGGACTTTGCTTAGAGCTGCCACTGCTGGAACTGTGCCGGCTGCGTCCTTTCCGGAAACGAGCACGCTGAAAGCTCATAAGGCTAGCCGCCGCCTGCGAATAGCCGCCCATCCATTCACTCCCGGGACTAGACACATTGCCCACCGCGAAAGGACTCACTCCACCTCCAAACTTCTTCGCTTGCGGTGTGTTGGTGATCATGAAGTCGTCCCGATCGCCGATCATGGGCTCGTCATCCTCCTCGCTACTGCTCGTGTCCGATTCCATCATGTTGATGCTCGAGACGGAGCTCGAGATCGCAGTTCGGTCGCCGGGGTTCGAAGTTGAGAACGGATGAACGGATGCCGACCCCAACGACCCGCGGCGTTGTGGAATATTTACTCCGCGCCCACCGACCGTAGGCGAAGAGTCTGGCGATGCTTCGGCAAGTGTGGAATGGTGAAGGTTGGTACAGGCACGGGAAAAGTCGAGGCCTCGTGAGCGACGGGGCAGCACCGAGCCCGGCGAGCTATAGATTTGGGAGGAATCGAGCTTTGGAGAAAGCGGGGCACGGTTGGACGCGGACAAGGAGCTGGAGCCGGGTGTTTTGGAGGGAAGGTTCAAGGGGAAATTGTGCATAAACGGTCGATGAGGGGTCTCCGGGGTGGATGAAAGCGAAGAATCATCCTTACTCGGCGGTCGGGAATCGAGGGGATGGTGGGGGGTCGCGGAAACCGGCTTTGCAGCGTCGGAGAGAGAGCGTGAGGCCGGCGATGGGCGTAGAGGGGGTCCTAGCGACCTGCTCCTGTCGACCGCATGGTCGGTGTCGATGCCTGATTTAGTGTTTTCGGTCCGCTGAGACAGTTGTTCGCTCAGCCGACTCGCAAAAGGTATGGCCAGGCTGTGCGACAAGCTCGAGGGGGCTTGCGATGATGACATAGTAGCGATGAGATCAGTTTCCAAACACGTGTCAAATGCTGCAGCTGGAATTATTCGACGAGAGAAATCATGGTGACAATCGATCTGGTTTGGTCTGGTCTGGTCTGGTCCGATCTGGTGGCGGGTATTCTTCGAGAATCACCGCAAGGTCCGCTCGTACTCGGGCAGATCGACGTAATGCCGCTGAAAGGGGCGAGGGGTTGTCGAGTCTTTTTGGTTATGTTGTCGGAGGATGTAAAGCTTTAAGATTATAGATTCATATATGCGAATGAGAAGTACAAGGGGGTACGGATAAGGAAGATAGATTAACGGGCGGCAGGCGAGACAAGGCGATCGGAATTGGACTCGGAGACTGGTGAATGAGTGAGTGAATTGGAATGCTGGGCGCGTTCTGGTTTCGGATCGGCGCGCTGACGTTCAACTTGCCCCAATCCGGCCAATCACTCCCAGTCTGCCCCGCCTCATCCAACGTAGCTGCTGATTGGCGCGGCTCTAATGCCTCAGCCGGACCCTGAACATCCCATCATGGATTATCTACTAACTCTAACTACGAGGTATATATACTATATACTATATACACTGAAATTATCCATCCTCAAAACACCTGTCAATCAAAAGAAAACCCCACAAGACTATCCTACAAAGTAACTCCTCCAGGATCATGCCCATTATATCAAGTATGGGAGGACAACTCCCATCACGCATCATGCCAAGCTCATCGCATTGCTAATCGGTGCCACATACCACTCCCAGTCGTTGCAACCTTGAATGTCATCCGAGGCATCTACAGGCGAGCCTTTGACCATATCGCTGTCTCGTGCCTGCCAGACCTTGACAATGACCGCTCGAGTCCGGGCAACATTGGAAACGCTGGACTCCGCCATCGCGGCTAACGCCCGTAAGACCAAGGGTCGTCCGTGCACCACTGTCTCACCACGGTTGGCACTCCAAACCTCGTCTTGGCCTGGATCCAATTCAACTGCAGCCACGAACACAGGCCAGGTCATGCTCACCAGCGAGCCCGAGTCGAGTAGATCCGATACGAGCCGTAAGATCTTCCGAACGTAGCCCACCACCAATGGCGTGGATGGAGACGCCCCATATAAGGCGCAATGTAGATATAACACGGCGGCAAGACGCTTCAGCTCAGCAGCCGATTCCAGGTTGCTGTCGTCGTCATCCTTGACTTCTTGCACAAGGTTCTCGAGCTTGCGCACTAAAGCTGCTGCCCTTTGCGAGAAGGATGCCCGGGCTGCATGGGTGGTCAAACTTCGTCTTGTGCGGCTCATTTCAGTGATCGAAGACAGAATAGAAACCAACTCAGGACTACATCCCATCCAAAGATCGATGTTCCGTTCGTTTTCGTGCCAGTAATCCGTCCCAAAACTCACTTCCTCCCCGCATGCAGTGCGGCCCATGACGTCCTGGAAAGCGAAAAATAGCTCCGCAAAGGCAGACACAGGGTCGAGGGCATCACGGGATTTCGCCAGGGAAGAGTTCTGTCGCTGTCTGCGAAGACGAATCAGATCTTTCGCTCCCTTTAGATGAATAGTCCAGCGTTGATCGCAGTTGTCGACGATCTCATAGAGACACAACATCATCATAATGGCTAGCACCTCAGGGTCTTCGGAGCATATTACGGGACCTTCCGTTGCAAGCCGGTGACGCAGTCCTCGCAATGCTTGTGCTTTAAGCCGAAGCCCGATGACACTGTACGTAGAATCGAAGCGCGACCAGTGGCAGGCCCCAAGGGCTTGTATCGCGGTAAACATGAACGGAGACGCAGACAGACAGAAAGGCAGAATGATCGACGCAAAGGGCGATGAGAGTCTGGAGCTTGCGGTAGTCCGAGGACACACCTGTTGAAGATAGTAGTCAAAGAGACATCGGTCCTCGGATGCAGACATGGGAGGAAACAACGACAACGAGGGAGTCAGTCGGACAGGCTCCGGATGGATGAATGAGGCTTCCAGCATGCTCATTGAAAGCGGCGAATCGAGGCTGGTTTCACTGACATAGCGTGGAAAGTGATGATAGCTCTTGTCGCGAACGACCAGGGCGTTCAACTCGTCGCATCCAACGTCGACTTCGTATGGCTGATCAAATGTCGCGACCCCGCTATTGACAAAGCCCCACGATTCTATAAGCGGGACAGGACACCACTCCTGATCGTCGATGAAGATAGAGGGCGATGCCCCGGGCGACGGTTTTGGGGAAGGCCCACCGGTAGCGCGGGCCTTACTCCAGACGCCGGCTCGGCCAAAGGCAAGGCCACGGCTCACAAATTCGGATTCCCACTTGAGCACTAGTTGAGTTGTACAGACCAAGCCTTTCTCCAAGCACCGAGTGCATGTTGGCTTCTTCGTGTCGCAGCGAACTCGACTCGCGCGGCATTCTTTACAGCCGCCACGACTTCGGGTCTTGACCGGACCCACGCGGTCTGCAGCCTTCTTGCGCGGCATCCGACCGGTGATCCTTTTACATGGCCGGATCGTTAGATTCTGAGGGTCTCAAAGAGCCAAGAAACGGCTGATTGACCCGAGCAAGTTTCGCCAGGCAGTAGGACAAGCAATTTTGATGCCGCTTGCTGTGGCAATACCGAGGACAGCAGATGTCTTCAGGAAAAGTTTTGGAGGGGCAAACAGCTGTGCTGCGACGGGCCAATCGAATCTGCGGGTAGAACTGAAATGATTGGCCTGGCTAAATCACCGGATAAGAGCTTTTGTTGGTGTAATTTGACCTTTAATCAGCGAGGTGAGGGGAAGACAAGACGAGGCTTATCGAAATTCTAGTCCGAGTCATCGCCGGGTCGATAAGAGCGGAGATCCACGGAAGTTACCTTACCCCGTTCCGTTGGCTGCCTGAAACCACAGGCATGAATCAAGTGCAATGAAGCTGAGGGTCAGCAGGGGTTTGATGATTGTCTGTGGTTTGCTTTGGAAGGACACATATACAGAAGCCACATTGACCTGGCACGAACTGTAACCACAGAGATTATTGCTTAGATTGATAGACACACATAGTCTTTTGATGGTTGGTATCGACAGCCGCGATGCTGACTCTCAGTGGCCACGTGCGACCCTCCGGCGGTTATCGCGCTAGACCTCCGTGTTGACATCGGGGAGCTGTCCATGATCTAATCATCAGGCAGTTGCATTCATCCCACCTGCACGCTGGTGAGCATATTGTTTCTTGTTCACCCCTCAATCTACTAGCTCCCTGCAATTTAGCTTCACATTTCATATAATAATTGCCTAGCCCCCATGGCTTCCACTGTTGACATCGCATCCTCTTTCATCGAGGGTGCCCCGCCTGGAGAGGTAGGTCAATACCTAGTCCACGAGAGTTCAATCCAAAGGCTATGGTGAACCTGCTCAAGCTAACCTCGAAATCAAATAGCTTGCAGATGTTGTTGCAGGTACGCCCAGTCCTTGCTGCATCCCGTCCTTACTCTCGTCACGTCCCCCGTCGTCGCGCCGCATCTCACTCCCCACGGCAACCAGCCCAGAACTGAACGAGAACAGATGTCAAGTCCCTGACCTCCGACGGCCCCGATATCATTCCCGCTCTGGCCCCGGCCTTCGAGCGCTACAATGAGACACAGTTGGCGACTGTGAAGCTTCCAGGCGCCAGTCAGGAGGTGCGGCTGCGTCGGTGATACCCCTGAATGGAGTACGATCTGACAGCGTGCTCACAGGTCTTGATCTCCGAATACAACAAGCTGGAAGGAAACCGATACTTTGATGTGGAGAGCCAGACGTCTTTCGAAGTGGACCATGTCACCCAGGTTGGTTACTGCATCGTGCGTGGTGGGGTGGCTTGGCGGCTGAACTTGTGGTATCATTGTAGGAAGCCTCCGCTGCGCAATCATATGTTCTCGAGTCGCAGAACGCCGACTTGATGTGAGTTCGAGCTGCATCTTCCATCTTGTTATCTGGAGTGCAGCGTTAACCCGTCGCGAAACAGCAAATCACTCCTCAAATCTCTCGGCGCTCACGCCCTCGAACACTACCGGAATTTCTCGTACGGAGTCTACCCCATTGAGGACGATAGCGCCGTCGCTATCGTCCTCGTCGCCAACCGCTACTCCCCTAACAACTTCTGGTGAGATTTACTCATACTGCCCGACCGCCAACACCCGCGTTCTAACCGGATATACCAGGAACGGTCGCTTCCGCTCCATCTACACTGTTCCCGTCTCGTCGGAGTCGACCACGATCTTGGGTAAGATCCAGGTGGATGTGCATTACTATGAGGACGGAAACGTGGCGCTCAATACGACCAAGCCGATCAGCCTGTCCGTGACGTCTTTGGATGCGGGAGCCATCGTCTCGCGCATTGCCGGAGCCGAGCGGGACTACCAAGAAGAACTGAACCGGGCTTTCGTACAGATGGCCGAAGGATCGTTCAAAGGACTGCGCAGACAGTTGCCCATTACACGGCAGAAGGTCGAGTGGGAGAAGGTTGGCGGATACCGCCTGGGACAGGACATTTCTGGCGGAAAGGGACGGTAGTTCCAGTGTGACCTTTTTAACCAGCGTTCTTGTGTGTAGCGGGTAACTAATTTTGTTGGTTCATCAATGGGGCCAGTAAATATTCGGTGGAATGCGATCATGCGAGGAATGTAGATAAGCGGGATTCGCGATCCCGATATCGCCATTGATTAGCCTTGCAGACGCCGTGAGTAGCTAAATCCGCTAACGCGTATCTGATATGGGTGAACAATGCAGATTGCCCGTTTTCTTTCATCACTTCTTTGTGAACCTCTGTAAATAAGTTCGCCACCCACTCTCTCCTTCCATCCATCCCATCATTTATTAAAATAATAATCTTAATCATAATTTCACCCCTGCACCACCAGCCCACCCACCCAAATGCTCGACCGCCTCTCGCGCTTCTACCGCCTCAACACGGGCTACGAAAAGACCCTCCGTCTCATCCAGGCATTATGCCTCGTGGCACTAGAGATAGGCTCTCTGGACAGCATCACGACCAAGCGAGTGTCAGCCGCTAAGTCCCAACTAGCATTGAGTTCGTTCTCCCACCCTCTCTTCCCAACCTTTATCTCCTCACAAAACCCAGAATCGAATTGAAGAATCACAACAAATACTAACCTGGGCCCTTAGTCCGCCGCTGCATCCGCTTCTGGAATTTCCTGGACTGCTTCAACCGCGTCTCCTCGCTCCTGGGGCAGGACGCCCCAAATTCCCGCAAGAAGGGCCACGCTGCCGCTGCTGCTGCATCGCCCACAGGCTTCCTGTGGTTGCTCGAGGTCGCCAAGTGGAGTTGCTTCGGGGTGTATTTCCTGCTCGAGGATTTGACGTTGGTGAGCTGCCCTTTAACCCCCCGGTTATGTATTTCTTTCTCTTGCTGGGCTTCGCCCCTCTGTACCCTGATTGGAGCTCGTGTCATGGAGGGAGGTTCTCCTTTGTTATCTCGGGAGCTGCTTGACGCCCAGATTTCCATGTCCTACGCACTATCCATCACCTCACCGCAGCCCCCCCTCCGAGATGATCCCCTCCAAAGTTGAAAATGGATAAACTAACACGATCGAAAAGCTCCACGCCGCGGAGATCTACCCCGTCCCGTGGGCGAAAACGGTAACTGTCGAGGCGTTTAAATTCTGGTACTATGCGCTGGCGCTGTCGCTGTTTGGGGCGGTCTGGGAGTGGTATTCCGGGGGTGGTGCTGGGTCTGTGGGGAAGGGGGTGAAGAAGGTTGGGGGAAAGCGGGGTGGTGCTGGTGCTGCTGGTAAGGCCAAAGGGAGGGCTGGGGCTGGAGCTGCTGCGAGTCGAGTTGATACGTCCACGCTGCTCAAGAGGGTTGTTGTTGATGGGTGCGATCTGCTGATTCCGGGGACTTATCTTGGGTGGATGGGGGTTGGGCCGTTGGGAGTTGGGGTGGGGATGGTGGTTAGTACGGTTGTGTCGTTGCGGGAGATTTGGAGGAGTGTTTAGGTTGGGTGTTAGGTTGTTCTAGGTAGGGGTGGTGATGTGAGGGTTTAGGTTGTGGAGAGGGGGTAAGGGGATGGAGGTTATTGTACTGTATATAGCATTTTGATCGACGTATATGCTGTTGCATCTAGAAGGGTCAGTTGGTATAGATCACTGCGTTCTCTTGGTTTGAATGTCATGGTTTGTCGCCATTATCATGCTCTTTAGAGGAGAGCTGCACTTACTAGATGTCGAGCTGACAATCGCCTACTTCTACTACTCCAGGCTTGATGATAACATCGAAACATCATCCATATCTATTCCCCAATCTATCCCACTCTATCTATCTCTATCACCCCCAAACCACCCATCCCATCCCTTCTCTAATTCTAGCCCCCCCCCCATCCCTTCCCCAACTCTAAACAGATCCGCCCTCCCTCTCCCTCACCATCTCCTCAATATGCGGATTCAACCAATACTCCCTCAACACCGCGGCATCCATCTTCTTCGCCCCATCAATAACGCCCCGACACCGCGCCCCAGCCCCACATGTGCATTGGAACGGCTGATCCATCTCCCACTCTGACTGGGGGTAGAAGAACGTCAAGGGGTCCCCGGCCTGCAGGTCGCGGTCCGCCACGACGCGCACCTCCATGCGGTGCATGTCGAAGTCCACCGTCGGCGCGCACGAGTGGTTGCAGTAGACGAGGTCGGAGTTGAGCTCGATGTGCGCGTTCCGCGCCGTCTGCACGGAGGTGTACGCTTTCCGGGCCGGGGTGGTGCCCGTGATCTTGCAGAAGAGGGAGCCCGCTGGTAGGGAGACGAGGGAGTAGGCGCCGCTGGCGAAGGGGATGGGGCTGCGGTGGACGTGAATTAGGGTTGGGTGTGTGGGTGGGGGTGGAGGGGGTTGTTCCGTTGCGGTGGTTGTTGTTGTGGTGATGGTGGACATGGTTGGGTTGGGTTGGGTTGGTTTTTAAGTGGAAATGGAGGGTGAGTGAGGTGGGTGTAGTAGCCGAGGAATTCTATGCAAGGATAATGGGAAATGTTCGCTGAGAGTGGTCATTGTGACGGCTCTTGGAGCAACAAGGTCTACATTATATGGGCGCGGGGTAGTGGGGAAGGGAAAGGAAAGGGTGGCAGACATCAGCATGTTTGGGGGGGGGAAAGGAATGGGAATCCGCGGGAACGACCGAGGTTCAATTCCACGGCCTTACGTCCGGGGTCTGGTCTGGTCATGGGTCGGTCGATGACTCCATCACGTAATAGCGGCAGGTGGAATTGGATTTACCTAGGCAATTCTGAAAGAAAGCTGGAGACGGCGTCACCGTCAGATGTCTAAGAACCTCTTAGTCTGTTTGCGATAGATAGAATGGAACACTAGTTCAACCGGACGGTCATTTCCTGGCCATTCAGCCACCGCTCCAGATTGTCCGCGACCTCCTGGTACCAGCCATGGATCTGCTCATCCGCGTACCCCGTGTGCGGCGTCAGTAGGACCTCACTGCGGCCATCGGTGCCCCAAGCCGTGGTGCGCCAGGGACTATCCGCCGGCAGCGGTTCGGGCTCGAAGACGTCCAGCGCGGCGCCCGCGATCGCGCCGCTGTTCAGCGTCTCCAGCAACGCCGCCTCGTCCACCAACGGACCTCGGGACGTGTTGACCAGCAGCGCCGTCTGCTTCATCGCCGCCAGCTCATCCCGACCCACAATGCCCCGACTACGCTCCGACAGCACGCTATGCACGCTCACCACGTCGGCCGCCCGGAAGAAGGCCAGCTTGTCGGACACCGCCCGAAAGCTCCCCGCCGGTAGGCCCATCGCCTTGGCCTGCTCATCCGCCTTTTCCTGCGTCAGGTTCGTCGACCACGCAATCACCTCGAGCCCAAACCCCTGCACCGCGATTCTGCCCACCTGAGCCCCCAATTTCCCCAACCCCAACAGTCCCAGTGTCTTCCCGGCCAGCGTCATCCCCAGCGACCCCTGCCACTCGCCGCGCTTGATCGCTGCATCGTCGCGCGCGACGTGGCGCGCCGCGTTCAGGATCAGCGCCCAGGTGTGCTGCACGGTGGAGTTCAGCCCCGCGGGCCGGGTCTGCGTGCCGCCGACGGGGATCCCCCGCTCGGCGCAGTACTGGCTGTCGATCGCGAGGTTGCGCGTGCCGGTCGTGAGGAGCAGTTTCAGGTTCGGGAGCGCGGAGAGCGTGTCCTTGGAGAAGGGGGTGCGTTCGCGCTGGGAGATGATGATGTCGAACGGTCGGAGGCGCTCGATGAGTTGTTGCTGCTGGTCGGCGAGGCGAGGGTTCAGCGTGTCGGGGAAGTAGCTGAACTCGACGCGGGAGGTGAGGTGCTCGAAGTGACGCGGGCTGATGTTTTGGTAGTCGTCGAGGACTGCGACTTTGGGTGCCATTTTGATGATGCGCGTAGGTAACTTCACGGAAAAGGGACGGGATAGAATGCTTGGTTGCATTGGTGTTAATGGAGGGAGATGCACAATCGTGTTTGGGGCGAGGGACATTTCCACCCGGGGGAGGAAATACCCGGCTCACCCCGCGGTCTCGTCATTTATTCCCCGCATTTGCATTTGGTGTATAGTGCGCAGACTACCTTACTATATGCACTTCACAGCAACTCACTTCACAGCCTGGAAAGGCTTTTGGGACCAATTATTATCGAAATTGTGCATAAATGAATTTCACATGAGGTATACCAAGGCGAGGGGTCTTATACAAGATCGCAAGCTTAAGCTGTAAATTCGCACCTCCGAGAAGCTCTATCTCACTATTCATAAAAACAGTACAGCGGAGTATCTTATCCAATTATCTTATTGGATATCCATATAAGAATCTAAGGCAAGATGCCTCATTATAGCTTTACATGTAATCAGCAAATACATTACAAACATACGGCACCAATACTTGTAAAACCAGCCTCGGTTATAGTCATGTCCGTAGAAGCTACTTTCGCTGTCAACGCGATTCGGGCATTCTACCACCCTACCGTTTGAGTATGCTTCAACAGAGCCGGCTCTTAAACACAAAGACATTACACGCTAGGAGATAGCAGAATGATTTGGTCAGATCTCACCGCTTCCTGCTTTGAGTGTTGCTTCAAAAGTATCAACGTCGTGCAGACCTCTTTAAACCTGGAAACTGTACCAGAGGAAGGATAACCCGTGGCTGTGGCAGTATAACAGAGTCTCACCGCCTACTGTTCTTAGTATTACTTCAAAAGATAGTATTAGTGTCGTACAGACTCTTGGAACTGGAAACTGTACTAAACGCGTGTTGGAAGGATGACTTGACCGCCAGAATCACCGCCTGCGCAGCAGAACGCTCGAGACCTCGCAACGCTGATGCCCCATTTTCACAGTGAACAGCCCCAGAAAAGTCCATTGGAAAACTGTTCAATTTAGGCGGTGGCAGAAAGGCCGTTAAAGCGGCAGCCACGCAGCGAGCAATCGCTCCTTTGGCCGTACTACCATGTAGTTCCAGGGCTGGATGCAGCAGAACGTTCGCGACCCTGCAACACTGATGTCAAGAAAAAAATGCCAGGACAGCTGCGCTATGAGCTTGCTATCATTGCAGTCGATGAAGACTTCGAACTCATAAAAACATCAGCTACATTCATTTCCGAGTTCTAATCTTAATATCTGGCACTGAATGTATAGAAGCCTCTGGATATCAACAGTGTGCTTACAAAATTCCTGCCTTTCTTAGAGCAGAGTATATCCCAGCGCTTTATCTCGACTTCGATCTCACTTCTTCTTAGTGAAAAATTGCTACACCGTCTCTGCCCTCAATCTTTCATTTGAGGACCCGCTCTATCAAAGATACTAACTAAACCGTGGACTATCACTGCCACTGCTCACAGATTTCAGGCGCTTGACGCGGGGACGCTCTTCACCCAGGCTTGGGTACAGCAGCGCGTAGTCACTTCTGCGCCGTGTGAGGCCAGAGGCGGCACTGTCGCTACTGGCCGAGCTCTGGTCGTCACTCAGAGAGGGCATACGAGCCATCGTACCAGGACCCTCGCTAGGATCCTCGTTCGGCTTCTCATCCACTGACATCGGACTTGACAAGTTGCGCGAATCGCCCTCCAGCTCCCGTCTGGCCATCTCCATGAAGTACTCCCTCCACTCTTTCGCAAAGTCCCTAGCGTTCCGCACCGCCGCCACAGCCTTCCGGAACTGTCCCACTCCACGATCCAAGCGACTCCGATAGAGGTCCGTCAGCTGATAATCCGCCTCTCTGGATCCATCCTCGGCCTCGATCATATGCACCGCGTAGATCCTGACCGACGATTCGGACACCACCACGACAATGGAATACGTGACCTCGTCCAGCCACACGTCCTCCGCGCGCGCGGTGTGGAAGCGCAGCTTGTGCACCGCGCGCGCCCCCAGGGCCCCGTAGTGCATCGCCTGCAGCTCCGCGGCGGCGTCATGGTCCTCGTCGTCGATCTGCAGCTGCACGAAGAAGTTGGGCACCACGCCGTACGCGTCCGTCGCCGGCAGGATGTAGCTCTTCAGGTCGTTGGCGAGGCGGCCGCCCTCGTCGAGGGCGTAGAAGTCGCCGCAGTCGAAGTAGCTCGGCTGCGCCAGGAACATCCCCTCCACCAGCGGGTCCAGGCCGGTGATCGGCTCGCTCTCATAGGTGAGGACCGTCTCGGACGCCGCGCCCAGCAGGATGTCGAGCGCGTCGTTGAACTTGGCGCGCTGCTTCTCGAAATTCCGGCACGCTTTGAGCCAGACCTTCTGGTCATTGGGGTCCAGTCGTTTCACGGATTCGCGAGGTTTCCGGAGTCGTTCCCGCAGGGTGACGATGTTGCGCGGGAGATTTTGGCTGGATGAGCGAACCGCGATGCCGTGCAGCTTGAGGAAGTTGCGGCAGTTGCCGTCGTAGAAGGAGGCCGAGTTGCAGGCTTCTGCCGAGGCGGACCAGCCGAACTAATTTCATCGTTCCGTTAGTATAAGGTATTGTGTTTCAGGAAGGTTGTGAACGAGAACTCAGCATACACTTTCAATTTCACATAAATCTGGCCCACCACCTTTGGCAAACTCCTTCAGACTGCGTAACTTGTGTGGTAACTGCAGTCTTCTGCGACTCGCCTTGGTTTGCTTCGCCTTTCTCTGTTTCTCTTCTTGCTCCCGCTCTTCAGCAATGGCCTTCTCGCGTTTGCGGAACTCTATGATGGCCCGGTGGCTCAGGTAGATGTAGGGAAGATCGGCCCAGTACTTGGGGTCGATTTCGTACATCTCGTCGAAGCTGTCCGAGTGCGCAGCCGGCGTGGAACTGCCTGTGCTCTGTTCGATAATGCAAGGCATCCGGTCTCTGCCCGCGGTGCCGAAGTGCGCTTCGCCTATGATATTCAGTATGAAGCTCCCTATGTTGAAGAATGTGCGCAAGATGCTGTATGGTTGTAGCATGGAGATGAGTGGTATCAATTGTTGTTTCACTAAAGATTGGGATCGCTTCTATGAATTGTTGTTTTGTTGAAGATTGAGAGATCGCTTTACATGATTGATTTTCTAATGCTTTTGTTTGAACAGAAGACATAATCTCAAGCGAATGCCCCTTGTGTACTTGCATTATGGCATGATTCTGTCTGCATTATAAGGAGGGTGAACAAAGAGCAGTTGTATCAGATTGTGTGCAGCGGAGGAGGACAAAGACACTGTTGCTTTGTGAAAGAACTCACCCTTCAACGGAGCCCTCAGGGGTATAACAATGCTACTTTCATCCCTAGAGAAGCACAATCGCGACTGCTCCTTTCATGGAGTGGTTGTAATTAGATCCAAATCAGACAAAGCATGATACCCACTGCACCTCCAACGCAGCATCCGCGATACCTCAAAGCCCATGACCACCCAAAATGACTCTACTCGGAATCACCCTACGCAACAAAGAACGCTCATACCTAATCCACAGCAACCTTCACTCTCACTTATCATCATCACCATGTCCACCATATTCCCAGCATACTATCCAGAAAATCCTCATGCCGACCGAGCAACTCGTAAGCCCTTCACCTAGAGCTACCCTGACATTGCAAAACCAGCGATAGCAACAACACTGACTAACCACCACGCCAGAACATCACCGTCGCAGATCGCTTCAAACTCCTCAACTACCTAGGAGGAGGCGGCTACGGCGAAGTCTTCCTCGGTACGCTCATCCTATCCCATCCCATCCCAACCTCAACCCCCGCTTACCTTCACACTAACACCCTTCAGCCCAAGACCTCCAAACCAAAACAACAGTGGCCCTCAAACTCGAACATCTCAGCACGCGCGACACCCTCGAGCAAGAACACACGATCTACACGGCGATCAAAGGCCCCGGCATCCCGAAAGTCTACTTCTACCACCCGGGCATCGACGACTACCGCTTACTAGCCATCGAACTCCTCGGCCCCACCCTCGAAGATCTCTTCAATTACTGCCACCGCGAGTTCTCCCTCAAGACCGTGCTGATGATCGCGGACCAGCTGCTGCTGCGCATGCAGCACATCCACGCCGCGGGGTACATCCACCAGGACATCAAGCCCGAGAACCTGCTGATGGGGCGCGGCCGGAAGGGCAACACGCTGTACATCAACGACTTCGGGCTGGCGCGGAAGAAGTTCGTGAGTCGGCGGAACGTCAAGTGGTATCGCGGGAAGTTGGAGAAGGATGTCGTCGGCACGGTGTTTTATGCGAGTCGCGCGGCGCATTCGAGGCATTGTATGTTCTTCCCTCCTTTGTTGGTAGGTTTTGAGGTTGATGTGAGAGGAGAGGGGGGTTGACGGTTTTGGGTTTTGATTGCTGGGTCGGGGCTAACGTGAGCGATGGCGGCAGATCAAACCTACCGCGACGATATGGAATGTGTCGGGTACACACTCGTCGAGTTCCTGAAGGGCGAACTCCCCTGGGATTATCTGGGCCATTCGAAGCATCGACCTATCGGGGAAGCGAAGAGTCGGATCACGGTACAGGAGCTGTGTCGCGGCTTGCCGGAGGAGTTTGAGTGGTATTTTCACCATGTGAATGGGTTGCGGTATAATGAGTTGCCTGACTATGAGTTGTTACGGGGCTGGTTTCGGAAGTTGTTTGCGCGGCGGCGGTTTGAGTGGGATAATGTGTTCGATTGGACGGAGAAGAGGTTTTATGAGTTGAGGGCGGAGCACGAAGGTAAGGAGGAAGAGGATGATGATGATGACGACGATTATGTAGATTGATTCATGGGTTTTATTGTATGAAGTGAAATTGTATGTAGTGGTGTATCATGTCTCGTTTAGCATGCATTATTATGGCCGGAACATGATAGCTGGCCTTTTAAAGAAACAAGAAACAAGAAACTTGGAAAGTTGTTGGGTTCGACGATTCAGGGGGAAGAATGTGCAAGGGTACTGGGGATACGAGTTCCAGCAAGTCATCAAGCGCCATGCGAGATAAGATTTGACTGACATGTAAGGAGTAAACAACCTTCATTCGCATGCGCTAGCACAGTCCTGGCCGGCAGGCAGGTCGCGGTCCTGACTTGAAGAATGTTGAATCTGAGTGAGGACCGATGTGCAAACGAACCAGTCGAAATGTCAACATGGATACACCGGGGTCCAACATCTGACAGATCACTGACATAAAATAGAGTAGATAATCGAGTTTACAGGGGAATGTCCTCGCCCATCCCTAGTCTGGCATGCATGAGATGCATCATATGCGGGACCTTGCAGCATATCATGCAAGGCTCCCGACTGCTGGGATTTCCCCTTTTTCCATGTCGATCGTAAATCGTATATCCTACCTGCAGAGCTCACCCCGACACGACTAAACAAAGATATTTCTTCCTCAATACAGGCACAACATGAACAGCTCGATGTCTAGCGGTATAGGCCCGGCGCCATCGAATGATACCTGCCTCTCGGGGCAGCAAGCGGCCTGGCTCGCCTCTTCACCCACCTGCAATGATGGCTTTTACTGTGCGATGCCCTACAACCTGATTCAGTTTGGTGGCAAACCAAAGCTCACGATTCGTGTACAGGCCAATCGAGCGAGGGCGACCTCCCACCAGAGCGCTGTAACCCGACGTTCGAGTGCCACCTCAGAAGACTCCAAGAAGGGTGGAATTTCTGCGACAAGCCACAGGGCACGCTCGAGCCCGTGATATGCCCCGAGGGCAATTATTGCGCGCCCGGGGGAGCGCCGCCCGTGCCCTGTCCGCAAGGCTCCTTCTGCCCTGTGGGGACTGCCAACCCCATCAAGTGCAGGGCCCTCTCCCTTTGTCCGGAAGGAAGCTCACATCAGCGTGATCTGGTGGGTATACTCTTGTGTATTCTGCTGGACATCGTGGTGGTTCTGGTCTGGATGCGGCGCTTCTCTCTGTCATCCGACTTGACGAGACTATGGTCGTGGTCGAGGCTTTCAAAATGGAATGGGCGCGAAGATAAAGTAGGTAAAGTTGAGGAGCCGCAGGAGGAAAGGGGAGAAGAGGAACAAGGTGTGTCGAGACTGTTGAGCTTTCCCTTTCTGTCAGTGGACGATGCTGCAGCGCAGCCGCTGGAAATTACCTTTGCGGATTTGAGCTTCAGAATCCGAGGCCGACCGACCGATATTCTAGCTGGTCTGCATGGATCATGCAAAGCTGGCTCGATTCTGGGGGTCATGGGCCCCTCTGGCTCAGGGAAATGTAGGTCGCGCATAGGTGTTGGGTGTGGTCGCTCGTGGGTGTTGTTGAGGCTAAGTGTTTCTTCGTAGCGAGTTTTGTCAACATTTTGGGCGGAAAGAATAAGGCTAGCACTGGCGAGATCTGTCTTAACGGTTATAAAATGAAGCCGGCAGAGTATGTGCAGATACCATGGCCCTTATCTTCTGTCCCTTGGGACTGATTGCCGTTTGACAGGCTGCGAGCGCTGATTGGATTTGTCCCTCAAGATGATCTTGTTCTTCCTGAGCTGACCGTGCGAGAGAACCTTCTTCACTCGGCACGCGTCATGCTGGGCGGGCAGCTGGGCGACCATGAAATTCAAGACTATGTTGAATCGTTGATTGCCTGTCTCGGACTTGCAAAGGTGCAGGATCAGATGGTGGGTAATGTTGCACAACGAGGATTGTCTGGGGGAGAATGCAAACGGGTGAGTATCGGCCTTGAACTCGCCGCCGCTCCCAAGGTGTTGATCCTCGACGAACCGACCTCAGGCCTTGACGCGACCGCGGCGCTGTCCTTGATGAGGTTGCTACGTTCAATCTCACGTTGCGGAATCATGGTAATCTGTGTCATTCATCAGCCCAGGGCTGAGATCTTTGCTCTTCTGGATACCCTCATGCTTCTGAATTCAGGGAGACAGGTCTATTTTGGCGAAGCCGCCACCGCTAAAGCCTACTTCATAGGCCTTGGCTATGAGTTTCCTTCCTTCTGCAATCCAGCGGATATCATCATGGATATCCTCCCTAGTCACGCGTGGGAGGATACAGATCTGCCAGCCACGGAAGGGAAATCTTGCATGCCAGTAACAGGCATTTCTGACGCTGACGCGGGCGGAGCATCCGACACTCCACAACAAGTCCCTGATATTCTCCTCTCCATTCGGCAGCGAAAGGCCTCGTGGGCGCGACAAGTCTGGCTCTCGTTCTGCCGCGGAACAGTGCAACAGACCCGACAGACTGCAAGTTTCTGCTTGGAGATTGTATCGGGCTCCCTCATCGGGGTCATGATCGGCTTGACGGTCTTCGAATATCACGGCCACATCTTCCAAGGGATCTATCACCCTCCGTTTGAGTTGCTCTCCAGCGCCGTGAACTACCGCATGGTTGCCGAGCAGGGGTTGCTCTCGTGTTTGGGCATAGGTGAGTGCTCGCTGCTGCCTCCGAAGATCGAATTGAACGAGATCCGCTTACACTTGTCTCCGCACGTAGCCTGTGCAGCCGGTCCTCCAGGCGTCAAGCTGCTAGGTGAAGAGAGTATGTTCAGCCAGGTTTCCTTCATACTGCACCTGCTGACAAAACTTCCAGAGTTGATCTTCCGCCGCGAACAGCAATCCGGCCATTCCCGGAGCGCCTATTTCCTGGGCAAGAACCTCTCCGTGCTTCTGCGCATGTTCCTGTCGTCCTTGCACTACACTACCATCTATATGATACTAGCGACACCGACGATCTCCTTCGGATTTCAGCTGGCGATTGACTTTCTATACTTTTACTGTGCGTAGTCTCCCACTTCCTCTCTGTTGCTCCCTTGAATGGATAGCTGACCGAGGACAACAGGCATGTACGGTCTCGGCTGCATCGTGGCCGCCATAACACAACGTGAAGACGGTCCCTTGGTCTGCATGTTAAGCTGCCTTGTCATCTCTGCCCTCGGAGGCTGTGCGCCCCGACTGGCCTTGGTGAAGACGTGGCATCTAGGGTGGTTCTGGTATCTTTGGCCTGCGGTGAGTCATCATTTGACTGAGTGGTCGTGTGTGTGTGCAGCTTCTGATCGCTGTATCTAGACATGGTTTTCCGAGGCGTTCTACAACGAGAACACTTCCCCGTTCGCCTATCTGTATCAACTGGACGGCGCGTCGGATTTTATAGGTTACAAGAATAACCGGATTGGATTTGATATCGGGTAAGAATCACTGCCCATTCACATAATGATTGTTATCACAGGACTGACACGCTCGTAGACTGCTTCTGTTGATTGGGACGCTGTACCGGGTGATATCTTATGGGCTTTTTGTGTCTCTTGGCTGGAGATAGAGCTATCTTCCAATACACTGGCTGTGGAGCATCCATAGCTTGCGTTGCTACAGCTCCTTGCGGGAAAGAAAAAAGCAGAACAGTGGAATATCTTACAAACTATCCAGCACCAAGGTCTGGCGCCATTGAGATAGACATGTAATATAAGAGAAGTGGAGCAATACAGACATATATACCATAAACAGCACCGAAATCAAACCAAACACCCAAGTGCCAGCGTATCACGAGGTCCAGAAAAGAAACTCATCCAAGAGATCCACGGCATTATCTCGGGACCCTTTGACCTCTTTGGGATCAGCTCCGCCCCTATATAATCATAGCATGGTTTCTACCAAGTAGCCCAGCAGGCCGATGGGGCGGTGGAAGGCGACTCCACACTGCGCTCCGGCAGCACTGCAGTTCGAATTCCGGAGGAGGCGAACATCCTGCATCAGACCTAGTCGTCGGTGGCAGGACGGTTCTACCCTCTCCAGTGCTATGGGAGAAGGACTGGTTAGAAAGTCCTGAGTGTAAAAAGGGTTTTCGTAGTACTGGAAGGAGCCCCCTGGAGGAGCTCAACAATCCCGGGCTGTATCTGGGCAGTGTGAGTTTTTATGGTGGTTTTGCCTTTTAGGGTGCTTGAGGGCATACACAGCTACGCGGTTGGTGTGGCACCCACCCTCTTCCCTGCTAACTACTCTAAGTGCCGATAATGCGGGGCCCCGCTTTTGTACAACTATGTCAAATGCCCTGACGGAAGTCTGTACTACCGCCGAAGTCTTTGAGAGGATTCTTCTCCGACTGGATCTCGAATTCTTTTGACTATGTTGATGATGGCTGCCGGAACATGACCGGCTCGCTCCCACGGCATCACCCACCCGCCGGGACCTGACGCAACCCGACCAGAAGGCGTCGTCCACCCGGAGAGAAGTCATCTGGGCGGCGCATACTCTCATCATCATCATCATGATTGCACTCCATAACCATCGCAAGCGAGCGTCTTCATTCAGAGTGCATTGCGAAGCATTTGTGCGATCTTGAGGGAAATCCCCGCCGATCGGCCCCGGCCCGGCGTACTTTTATGCAGTCTGGGGGCGCAGTCTACAGATAATCACAGTGTTGAGATTGGTTCAACCAGTCCGATGGATTAGCATGACACTCTCGCTTTCGCGGACTACGGCTCGTCCAGTGCAGGGCATCATACCAGAGGTTCCTTATCTTGAAGAAGGGTGGATCGAACGAGGGTGGAATAAGTTGGCGGAAACACCCCGATGATTCCGAGACGATGAACGGCATATGCTTCTTGAGCATAATAGTTACGTCGATTCCTACTGGGTGAAGAAGGGGAAAGATACTCCAACATCTTCTCGCTTAGGATGATTTATAAAGCAGACCGAAGGGCTGCGATGAATTCCAGTAACAAGGTTTTGCTCTCTATGTAGAAGTGTTTTGGCAGAACTTTGACTATTTCAGGACAAACAGGCTTTTTTTGTGAGCATTTACATTGATCTAATATAGAATTTCTCGTAAAATATCATTTTTCTGGTCTTTTCTTCTTACGTTAGAAAAGGAGAAAAAGAGTAAGCAACATGTGCGCTAGAAGCTACGCGCTATGGGAGCACTGACATCCCTTACAGGCCTCCCCCTCATCCTCCTCCTCCTTCTTCACCTCCTTCTCCTCATCCTCCTTCTTCTCCTCGCCTTCAGGCCCAAAGCGCCCCAGGCTTAGCAATCTCACACACTCCAATAAGTCCAATTGAAAACCGACCAATCGAAGACCGGCCTTCGTATCGGACTCACCCTCACCCTTCCCCTGCGACACGTCACGTTGAGGACCTCCCGCGCGCACAGAGCGAATGAACTCCAGGAAAACTGTCGGGGGCATCCTCACGAAGGGCTGCACGTGCGGCGGGAACTCGTGAAACTCGTTGCGGCCTTGGTACACGAAGCGCCGGGCCGGCCCGTTGCCGTCCGCAGTCAAAGATTCGATGTACAGTCGAAAGTGAGACCCGGCGCAGATCATCCCACCGATCGGCTGGTCGCGACACTCGAGGTGCTCGTCCTGGCGCTTGCTCTTCCACTGCTCTTGGAGCAGCTGGAGGGCCGGCGCCCAGTCATCGGCCTCGAATCGGGGGTCTTGGGTCCGGAGCACCACGAGGTTGAGATGGTCGCCGCTCATGGTTTGGATCTCGACTTCCCCGTGCGGGGTGGTCTGGGTGATTGTTGGTTCGACGCGGGTCATCTTGGGATGTTGTCGTGTAAGAAACGCTGTTGCAACGCTTGGTAAGTAAAGGTTTGGGTGAGTGGGTGTTCGTGGTGGTGGAGATGATGATTTCAATTGAGGTCGGGGTTCATGGTCCTATTTATAGATCTGTGCTTGGGGTGGAATGATTTCTTCTTTCTGTGCTCCAGTGTTTGTATCTGTGGGTTGAAAGGAATCATATAAAGAGCCCTAGAGTCAAATGCCTGCTTATGGGAGAGTTGCTATAGAATGTAATCAAAGAAGCAATGGTTCGTATAAAGAATGGCATGGATGTGTATTCGTTAATCTTTACAGACGCTTTCGGACTTGGGACCAATTTGAAAGGAGTAGCTTGCCTTTGGAGGGCTTCTCGGCCAAAGGCCAAGTGCGCTTTCCTTTCATACCCCCTCGACTTCCCGGTGTCGGGACTTGAGATTGCCGGAGAATGACAATGCGCTTTACTGTGTGTATATCAGCGAAAAGGATCATTGTGAAACTAGCCAGTCTTTTTATAGCTACCAGCCGGCAAGCAAGTAAAGCACTTGACCGGTCTAATTAAGTTACTAGCTACCGAGCAAGTAAGGCAGTCGTCTGGCATTGGTATCCACAGGACTGAATTACAGCAGCCAACAAGGTCTGCATTGCTGACCGGTGCTACAGTTGGGGAATCATGATCCCGAGATTGAGAGATGTATTCAAATATGTGCTATAAGATATACAATGTCTTTTGGACATCTGTAACTTATAGCGTGAGGCTACAGTATGGGTCACTCAAGATCTACTCAGTGAGGTCATGTACAATTGTCAGTGGAGTCTTGATTAATAATTTTAGATCTGCCGGTTTTATTCCATTCTGTGAGTCTTATTTGCTAAAGGGTCTCAGATCATTCCGGTAAGCCCACATATTCATGGACTTCACAGCTCAGACCTGAGAATGACAAGATGGGGGAGACAGGCAGCAATAATTCCCTCTTTCCGCCGGCGCCCCTCCCTACACTCTTAAGCAACTATAAGCCAACAGCTATAGCAAAGATCTTCATCCTAGCTCTTTGAAATCTCGCTTCCATCGGTTCTCAATCTAAACTTTCCTCAGCTCAACGCGAGTGCTACCTTGAGGCAGCTCCGCTTTCACACGACCCCATTCATCAACAGTAGTCTGAACCGGAAAAGACGCCACATAGGTCAGTGGCCGTGTGTGAGCACCGCCGACGGTCTGGCAGGAGGTATCGCAGACGGTCCGGCAGGAGGCAGCGCAGACGGCTTTGCAGATTCTAGGTAGCTCGCCCGTTAGCCCTCACGCATACTTCAGTTCGTATGAATCTCGCCTCGTCATAAGCTTAATACTTACGGAGGGGAATCGAGTAAAAGCCAGGAGGCCGTCCACAGCATAAGCAAAGACGCTATTAACGGCAAAAAGACGATCAGCGCCAGCTCCCGAGCAGCGCTGTTGTCGTGACACATGATGGATAGAAGATTCTCGTTAGGAATAAGGAATCTAGAGACGGACAAAAAGTGCTGTTTATTGATCCCAAATATTGATAGGTCTTTGTAGTGCGTGGTGGGAAGGAAAGACGATAGTGTGTTGGAAAAGACCCTTTCCTAGATCAGATGCAGCTCCAGTCATTCCAGATGACGATAGACTAACATTAGTTAGGTTGTCTTATGACTAAACCGTCTTTTGAGTCATTGGATTACAGCAACAGGCAGGGCGGATCCTGCACAGTCGCCTGACTTACGAGGTAGTTTCACACTGAAATATCATGTCACCGAGGTCAAGAGATGTATTACCTCTATACTATACAAGATTATGCAATGTTATGGACACAACACACAACACACAACCACACAGACACAGATATGGATACACACACACAGTAGCAGGCAGATTTGGAGATAGGCTGGTTGGAGAGAAGGGACCAGGAACTGAGGAGGGCGGATCATTTTCTTGATTGCGATTCTGCGAAGCATATAATGTGCTGCCCAGTGAGCCCTGGCATGGGTCACGGGTCCACGGTGTGAGTGGCGCCTTCCGCTTTGAGCAAGCGGTGGTGGCGTCGTTATTCCTCTCCTCCCTCCTCCCTCGATTCTTCCCCTCCTCTCTCTCTACCGTGTGAGTTTCAATCAGTTCTTCTAGTTTACATGAATATACTCCTATTCATCTCACGTTAGTTTCTCGAGGATAGTCTCATCAGCGCTTCACTGTGGACTCGGGAGTCGACCTCCTGGGCGGGTTTAGTCAACCATCTGCTTGAAGACCATTGCAGTTACCCTGGCGCGATAATCGGGACGGCGATGAAATTCTTCTGTTCGGCAAGGATAATTATACTCTTTGGCATGGCAGGCCTCAGGCTAGGGAGCCGAATCTTTACTCTACTAGCAATTTATACTTGGGTTTACAACGGTGTTCATATCCACCTCTCCAGTTTAGGACACATTCGTATCTCGTCTTCACCCCGAAGCTGCTGATGTACGGATTTAGTACAGTTTGGTAGGAACACCTTAGCAATAATACGTAGACTGAAATGATATCACATTATTGAAGACGAAAAGAAGTTCCATTATCCAATAAGTCTCCTGATGTTTGAAACTTCATAAAGAGAACTCGACCTGAAGCCAGCCCCATCGCAAGCTTATTCGCCTTGCTCGCTGAGCACCATGGCCGAGCGTCGGGAGGTAGCCACAACATTCGCATTCCGTTCAGGTCTACCCAATTCTTCCCGTTCCCGTTCAAAAGCATGTATCCATCTTTCTCTTGTGACAAGGGTGTCTGTTGATCCCTCAAAGACTCAAACCGGAGACATCCAAGGTTGGTACTGAGACTCAATCCGTCCTGCGAGAATTCAAGTCCAGTGGTCTCTCTGTCAGTTCGCAATGTCTCCTGCAGGTTTCCTGTTGCCATGTTCCAGAGGCATAATGTTCCATCCACAGAGCTTGATGCCAAAAAGCATCCATCACGCGAGAAAGCCACGGATCCAACCGAGTGCGGATGGCCCTCCAGACTCTGCCGCATGATACCTGTTGCGGTGTCCCAGACCCGTACAGTAGTATCCTTTGAACCAGACACCAATGTCCGACCGTCGGATGAGAAGGCTACCGAGGTAACAAAGTCCGAATGGCTCTCCAGTCTCCGCTGTAGCATGCCTGTTGTAGTGTCCAAAAGGATCATAGTCGCATCACTGCAGCCAGATACGAGCTGCCGGCCATCTGGCGAGAAGGCTATCGGTGTCATCAGACATGGAATTCCTTCAATAGCACTGTGCAATAACCCAGTCGTTATGCTCCAGATTTGAATGCTTCCATTGTCACATCCACTCGCTAACAACAGACCATCAGTTGAGAATATCAATGATCTTATATAAGCCGGGTGGTCCTCAAAGGTACGCTGCAATATACCTGTTCTGACGTCCCAGAGTCGGACAGTCGAATCCTCCGAGCCGGATGCTAAAAGACGGCTGTTAGGCGAGAAGACAATAGCTCGTATCACGCCCAGGTGGCCTTTGAGCGTGTATCTCGGCGTTCCTATGTTTGTGTCCCAAAGTCGTACGGTCTTGTCGTTCGAGTAAGATGCCACTAGCTGGCTGTCTGGCGAGAAAACCACAGAGAAAACTGCATTTTGTGGCTTTGGAGCGTCTGCGTCGGTGCGCCTGATGCTAAGTCCCAGAGGCGGATAGTCATATCACTCGAGCAAGACGCTACCGATCGGCCGTCGGGCGAGAATACCACGGAGTTAACCCATAGAGAATGACTATCAAATGTCTGCAGTAGTGTTCCCTTTACCCTGTCCCAGACTCGCACGGCAGAATCTCGACAGCCTGCTGCTAGCAGCCGATCGTCTGGCGAAAAAGCGATCGAATTAATATCTCGGTTCCAAATCGAATGAGCTTCGAGTGTTTGCTGGAGTACACCGGTTTCCGCATTCCAAAGGCGTAAAGTGAAGTCCTCGGATCCAGATGCCAGTATTAGGCCGTCAGAAGAGAAGGCCACGCAATTAATGCTACCTGAATGACCCTTCAGAGTATGTTGCACTACGCCAGTCGCTATGCTCCAGAGCCGCACCGTTTTATCTTGGGAGCTGGATGCTATTAGTTGACTGTCAGGCGAGAAAGCTACCGAGCTGACCCAATCCAAATGGCCTTCGAGCGTCTGCAGCAGCATGCCTGTTGCCGTATCCCAGAGTCGTACTGTCTTATCGTATGAGCCAGATGCCAGTAACTGACCATTAGGTGAAAATGCTACCGAGCTAACTTCAGCGGAGTGGCCCTCGAGTGTTTGCCGTAGCGTACCTGTTGCCGTCTCCCAGACACGCACAGTATCATCAGAAGATCCAGAGACCAGCAGCAGACCATCGTTTGGCGAGAAGTCCACCGATGTGACCCCACTGGAATGACCCATCAGAGTCTGCTGCAACATCCCCGTCGCTGTTTCCCAAAGACACACAGACCAATCATCAGACCCAGATGCTATCAGCCGACCGTCAGGTGAGAAGCTCACAGAGCTCACTTTTCTCTTATGGCCCTCAATAATTCGCAATTCTGGACTCCATCCTTCCTCAACCCGTGGTAACTGGGTTATCCAATCCGGTAGTTCTGATTCATACCGCCTTCGAATCATAGACCTTTCAGGTGCGAATACCAGTCCTGAGAAATAAATTTGAAGTGGTGCCTCATCGGCTATCTGGCAGAATTTCAGAACAAAACGCTTCGCATCATAAACGAAATCGGACAAGACGGCAGCATCATCGCTCTATATATATCAGCTCATATTTGATAGGCTCACCCCAATATTACTTACTACTGTCACAATCCGATGAAGGAGGTCCAGCATAATCACAACCTCTGAGATTAGGCCTAGTAAAGCCATTGATTCCACCCATTGCAGAAAAAGCTCCTGGAGGAAGATCTGTACTTCCCCTGTCATAGATGATATGTCATTGCTTTTCTCAATATGGTGTATCCAGTAGCGACAAGAGTATCGTAGCTCAGGTGGTAGACACTGGAGGATATGTGCAGGGTCGATATCTACCCTTAGCATTCCAGGGCATTGCAGATTACAAATGTCTCTGCGTAGGTGACATCGCATAGTTCGGAGACAATGCTTTGTAATATCTTGATGCTTTCTTGACTCGTCCACGTGAAACTTGGAGCCAGACTGGACCAAGAAATCTCGAAATGATAGATGTAGAATCCTGATAGCTAGATCTTGGTTATCGGGAACACTCAGAACTGATCGAAAGAACTTCAATCGATGCCTGATTCTTTCCACTTCCCAGCCAATAAAAGCAGATAACGCCTTCGTGGAAAGTGGAGTAGCAAGTAGGATGATAATACCGACTATTTTATGAAACTCCTCTAGAAGCTGCTGCTGCTCCAGCTCGTCATTCTCTTGCTCGTTCAGTAATTGGGTCAAGATTGGATCGTATGTCTTATCCATTTTCGAAACATATTTCCCTTTGTTCTTGAGGAGTTCTGCCAGGCGTGATTGAGGATCCCATGATGAATTCTCAATATACAAGCATACAGTCGCAGCCGCAATGAAGAGTGGAACAGAAAGCATGACTATATCATGGATCACATCGTCTCCTGGCCAGCCATCAGGAATGCTTCTGTCCTTTCGGATTTTCGTAAAACGATGTCGCAGAAATAAGCGTATATCACGCTCCGTTACTGCCTCGGGAATATCGTGAAGGGCTAAATCCTGATATTCGTGACGTGCGATCTCTGAGAAGCCCAGGCTCATTGGTAACTCGGGCCTGCTTGTCAAGAAAACTCGCAGGCGAACCATTTTTGATTTTTTCAAAAGAGGAAGTAAGCCAATTATAGTGCGTATATCCCGGTCATGTTCGCATTCATCCAGAGCATCGATGACCATTACTATAAATTGTGGCTGTCGACTTAACTGATCGAGGCTGAGAAGTGGTTGAAGGAGAAGTTTGTCAAACTGCTCCCTGATTGATTTCGTTGCTATGTCGGGATCGTTATGAATCGCCTTCTGCACCTCGTCTTTCAACTCTGGAACTTTCAAAAAGAGTTGCCTTGCTAATGTCGGAAAGAATTTTCTCGCATTACCTCGATCTCCTTCGCCTCTCTTGAAGAAGAAACTAGCGCCGAGATGATTACTGTCCTTGAGGGACATTGCCACCGTCCGCGAGATCGTGGATTTTCCAGTCCCTGCCATTCCTTTCAACCAGAAAATGGACCTTCCATGGGAGGACAACAAAGCCCAATCCAGGATCTGCTGAAGGAGTTCGGTCCTGGTGCCATGGAGACAGTGGGCTTCGTTTCTATTAGAGAACGACTCGAAGCTGGCCTCTGTTGCGCTTTTTAACTTTGTAAGAACCATGTCCTCGTTAAGATGGTAGGAAGTCTGGGCAACGCCGACCATAAGAGAACTATGTAATTTCAGTCAACAGAAAGAGTCATTGAAGGCGATAGATATAACGCACGTTTGATCTACTTGTAGGCACAAGAGGAACGAAGACTTATATCTTTCAAGGCTCTGTGTCATATTGTTCACTTCGGTGCGCTTTAGGGGCCATTTCAATGCTCTTAATCCAAATTTCCTCATCAGATTACCTGCGCTCCTTGGATCAATTTTGGCTTCTAACGATCGGAGGTCAGAAAGGCATTCTGTAATCGTTTTCGCTAGGTGTGAGGAGGTAGGTAAGGCCTTTCCATCCCGACTGTGGAGATATACTAGAAGATCATGAAGAGTTCCTTGAAGACTTTTAATTGCCTCTTGTAGAGAAAATATTTCGTTCCGCGCATTCTTGACTTCTTGAACATAGCCCGCACAAATCCTCACGAGGCTTCCCGTTAATTGAATAACGGCGATAACACTCGCCGCCGATGATAATCCATCCATTTGGAATGAAACAGCAGGAAACACCAATCCGGGCGTGAACGGATGGAGACAGTACGGTGAGAATGTAAATTCGGGTGTCCAGGTTGGAAATCCACAGGAGATAGTAGAGTAGAAATTAGATGCGGGGTAGGAGGGGTGGTTCAGGCCATAGGAGCTTTGCCGAAAACAGCAGCCTTGGTCAGGATTACTGTACCTGCGGCCATGCGACGGTTTGCAAGTATACGGATAGGTCTCGTTGGGCTTGCTGCCCCTCTGCATTACTTTCCTGTCCTGGTCTGAGGGGAGACTTGGGACAGTCAGATTCCTTTTCGGTGGAGATTGTGGTTTCTTACTACCTTCATGATATGTTGCACCCGTATACATGCATGCTCGTTCAGGAAGCAGGAAACTTGATAGCTCTTGATTAACGGATGCAATGAACCTTTCAGTTGACAGTCAGAATCGTGTAAATAAGCTCATACGTATAGGAGCTCGCCCATCAACCGTCCGAAAGAATGTCCTTCTACATGCAAACAGCCACTCAGCATTCGTTTCGCCTAAGGGGGCGCCATTGTCTAATTTATAACTCGATTGATTTATTCGGTTTTTCCGCGATTTGAGGTATCTCACAAAAGTCCGTTCCGACGAAGCACCTGCATAGCTAGCTGCTTAGATGGACTCAATTGAGCTGATAGAACTTGATATAGACCGAATTAGGCTTTCCGCAGTCACCGGTCTCACTTCAAATCGCCTCCACCCTCGTCGACACAGGCCCCTCCTTCTCGTCCCTCTTTATCGAAAAGCGATCCTCCAACTCCACCGCAGCAGCCTCCTGCGTCAGAGCCTTCTCAATATTAACCTCCGGCGACACCTCCCACCGGCTGCCGGGCACCAACAACGGCGCGTTGGTGAACAGATCATCCATCACCTCCAGCGAGAGACCTTTTGTTTCCGGCAAGAACATGTAGAAGAACAGCGCATTGCCAAAATCACACACGATGAACAGCAGGTAATAGCGCCAGCCGATGCGCTCCAGCGCAATAGGCGTGACCTGGGCGATCATCGTGTTGAATGCGAACGAGACCATGGTCGCCAGCGAGATGCCCTTGGCGCGGGTGGCGGTGTTGAAGATCTCAGCGGGAATGATCCACGACATGGTCCCTGAGGCGCAGAAACAAAAGTTGAAGACCCAGGTGCTGGCAACGATGAAGGCCCAGTGCGCGGCCGTGTTGGTGGAGTCAGGAGGGTACTGCGACAGGAGCGAAGCGCCGATGATAAAGGCAACCCCACAGGCGATGTTGCCTCCGATCTGCAATGGGCGACGGCCCACGCGATCGATGAGGAAGAAGAAGATGAACTGCGCCAGCTCGCCGATGATCGAGTTGATGCCTTGATAGAGAAGGGTTTTTGAGGTCGAGATTCCGATTTGCGCGAAGATGGCTGGGGAGAAGTATTGATGGCGGAGACGCCGGTCCTGAGAGATGGTTAGACGAGATGCTTGAAGGATGAGTGGGATAGAGGCTCACATTTGGCTGGATGCTTGACAGGCACACGCAAGAATGATGCGACGCGTGTTGGAACGGTTAGCAAACAATTCCTTATAGGACTTGGCGGCGTGCTGATGTTCCTCCTCTATTTGCCGCTGAATCAACTCATACTCGGCCCGGACATATGGATCGTCAATGTTACCGTTGGCGTGCAGGCGAGCCAGGTTGTGCAATCCTTCTTCGTGACGATCGTGGTCAATAAGCCAGCGAGGTGACTCGGGGAAGAAGTAGATGCATGAAGCTAGGCCAATAGCAGGAACCAGCTGAAGTGCTAGACTGTCCGGAAGTGTTTTGTTAGGCAATTCCTAGTCTATTGAGGTAGTGTCGCTTACGGAAGTCGCCACTGAACGCTATCGCCAGTATTGGCCCAAGACTTTTCACAACCGTATCCGATCCAAGACGCGGATAATGCACCGATGCCCAGCATGGTTTGCTGAAGTGACCCCAAAATACCTCGGATGCTGGCATGTGCAATCTCTGCCTGGAACATAGGGACAGTTTCGACAAGAATACCTATCCCAAAACCAGCAAAGATGCGTGAGAACAGCAACATGCCAACATTGACGGCTGCTGTTTGGAGGATGCCTCCGATACAGAACAGCACAGATCCCAATACGAGGGTTGCGCGACGACCGAGTGGGTCGGTATAGCCCGCTCCGAGGGCTCCAAAGAATGCACCTGTACAGGATTAACTGCAAGCACATTAGGAGTGGAGGTTTGTGGCTTACCAGCCGTGAACAAGGACACAACTGTTCCGGAGATCACGCTCCCATTATGCGTTAAGAACTTATCGACAAAGGAGTCTGACGCAACGACGGAGGCGATGACACCCAGATCATAACCGTAAAGGAAGGATCCGAAGGCAGCAAAAAGAGCAACCACAAATTGGTAGACCTTCGGTTTCATTTTGTTAATGACCCTGGATTTGATAAAGCTTCGTAAACACTGTGGAGGCCGTGGAGATTGTGGAGAATCCGGGGTATCCCCATCATTATATCCCTCTATCAGCGGGGAAGCCACAGCCATGTCGAGGAAGTTGGGCGCCGCCTCAGCTTGCAGTGATTTTGAGCCATCCGGCAATATTCGCTACGGAGGATTGGTGGGGTTCAAACATGCATCTGGTTATCCCAGCGACTAATCTTTGGACTCATGATGGCTAAGTTACCGGCAGCTTGGATGCCAACCTTGACTCTCGCATGGCTTGTCCTGCTTCGGGCATATTTCCTGCGGAGGCGCGCGTCGCCCAGACCCTGATTTGCGGGCTGCAGTCAAAGCATTTGCGGGGTCGAAATCGATTCGATTTATCCGACCTTCGAGGATCAGAACATGTCGGATAATAATGAGGTATCTTTCGTTCGCAGATTCGAGGGACAGGTGGGATAGTACGGGTTCATAAAGGTTGATGCAGCCTCCGCTCTCGAGTATAGATGCGCGCAGACGAGTCCTGGTATGCATACCAATCATGCAATGTGGAATACACCCCCTTCTGTCAGGCTTCTTGAACTTGAAGCTCTGAGATAATGGTTCTCACTCTCCTAGTAGATGTGATGCTGTAGGGAGCTGCTTGTCAGGACAATCGATGCTTGCTGCTTGATTCATTGTCGCATGTAGGAAAATTTGCAACTGAGGTGAGGAAAATACATGGACGAGAGGCTCCAAAAGTAAGACATGTGCCAGCGTGGACTGAGACCCTTCAAGCTGGTTCAAACCAGCATTGATATTATGATGTGAGGAGACTTGAAACCAAGGCATATCGTCGCTGGGTAAGACTTTCGGGTGAAGATTGTCCGACGGGGCGGGGCCGAAATTGACTTGCCAATTCTAGCAATCAAAGCCATCTGGAGGGTCTGGTCTGTTCCAACTTCCTCCACTCATCATGGATCCCCGCAACATTCCCCACAATCCACAAGCAGACACGGCACACACTCCCCAAAGCTCAAGTCTCGTCGTTTGAATCACCTCTCCGGATTTCCCGACAATCCTTTCCGCTTTATCATCGGTAATACCTCGGGATATGGTCTGACGTTGTTCGACTCACCGAAGTTGCGGGGAAGTGTGGGGGAAGAAGCTATGTCGCCATGCCCACGGCGCACAAGGGCTCCTTCACACCCACACAGCACGATTTCAAGGTTGCACTCCATTCTGCAGATCTCAATCTTTTTCTGGTATGACCCTGGCTCTCCTAAAGCGGGTGAGCTCGGGAGAGAATGGTGCTCGCCCATGACTACAAATACAGGAAAGAACCTACCTAGTCCCACAGTGGAGAGAGTTCCTGCGACTCCGACCTGACAGGACAATCGACCAGGCAGACCTGGTCAATCTGGTTACCATGTTGCTCAAGAATACGATTCTGACCACGGCCTTGGTGGGGAGCCAGTTGGGAGAGGCGTTGGTAGCACACTCCAGCTCGCCACATGCTTCTCCCACCTTGACTGCATCTTTCGAGACTCCAGCCTACCGGTACAGCTCTTTCAGTTATACTCAGCTCACATCGAACCGTTATGCAACACCACTGCCTTCTCCTATCTCCTTTGCTACATCATTCGCTCCACCGTTCAGTGAAGCATCGACCCTCCTGCCCGCAGGTGTCATTTACACTACCTACAGCCTCGAGCCCACCACAACGACTGGTTCTGGGTCGGAAACTGAGTATGACCAGGAAGCATACAATGAGCTCTGGGCTTCGTTATCCTACTCTTCAGGGCCTCCCTTTACAACGACAGTCTCTCCTACCCCGGTTCCAACCAGTGAGTTGGTATTTCCACCTGCTCTGACTCCGTACCTGGCGAACCCGGAAAAGAAGCTTCCCGAAAACTTCATCTGGGGCGTGGCAGGCAGTGCATGGCAGATTGAAGGAGGCCTTCAGCTGGGAGGCCGAGGACCGAGTATTCTAGACACCATCGGAGCACTCCAATCGAACGACAGTGCTAGCGATGCCAATGTGGCCACCATGAACTATTATCTGTACAAACAAGACATTGCGCGACTGGCTGCGCTGGGTGTTCCCTACTACTCCTTTTCCATCTCCTGGAGCCGCATTGTCCCATTTGGAGTGGCTGGATCGCCTGTGAATACCGAGGGCTTGGCTCATTACGACGACGTGATCAACACCTGTCTGGAGTACGGGGTCATCCCTATCGTGACCCTGGTCCATGCCGACTATCCACCATCTGTGGTTGCGGACATGGGCAATTTGACCTCGCACTATCTATACTATGCCAAACAAGTGATGACTCGGTACGCCGATCGGGTACCATACTGGGTCACCTTTAACGAGCCCAACATCTCCGTGGGCAGCGTCGCAAAGTCCTACAGCATTCTCAAGGACATCCTCCTCGCACACGCTGCCGCTTACCACTGGTACAAGGAGACCCTGGGCGGCACGGCTCAAATCACCCTGAAGTTTGCCAACAATCTCGCCCTGCCTCTCGACCCCACAAACAGCACCCACACCACCAGCGCCCAGCGCTATCAGGCCTTCATCCTCGGTATCATGGGCAACCCGCTCCTCCTCGGCGAGCAGATCCCGTCCGAGGTGCTCAGCACACCAAACATCACCATCGACGCGCTGACAGACGAGGAGCTCGCCACGGTGAAGGATACCGTCGACTTCATCTCCATCGACCCATACACCGCGCAGTTTGCCTCTCCGGCGTCCGAGGGCATCGAGGCCTGCGCCGCCAACTCCAGTAACCCGCTCTGGCCGTCCTGCGCCACGCTTACCAACGTCCAGGCCAACGGCTGGCTCATGGGCGAGGCGTCCAACGACTACGCCTACATCGCCCCGCAGTATGTGCGCCAGCAGCTCGGCTATCTCTGGAACACCTTCCGGCCGAAGGGGATCCTGATATCGGAGTACGGCTTCAACCCGTTCGCCGACGCTAACCGCTCGCTCAACGCGCAGCGCTACGATCTCGAGCGCACGCTGTACTATCACTTCTTCCTGCGCGAGGTCATCACGGCCATCCACGAGGATGGCATCAATGTCATCGGTGCGCTGGCGTGGAGTGTCCTCGACAACGACGAGTTCGGCAGCTACGCCAACATGTACGGCCTGCAGACGGTCAACCGCACCGACGGCCGGTTCGAGCGCCAGTACAAGCGGAGCTTCTTCGACTACGTGGACTTCTTCTACCAGCATATTGCATCTTGATGAGCGATGAGTGGGACCAGGCTATCGTGACCTAAACGCAATCGACCACGATGCCCGGCGAGGTGGTTCTTCAGCCAAGGAGGTGCCTTGCTAGCAAGGCATCAATCCATTGATCCCTTTCCCTGAAGATATATAGCGGAAAAGAAACCAAGTCAGAAACAAAAACAGAGAAAATAAAACACATCGCAAACTCATATAGTATCACTCTCGCACGAAACATTGAGTTTAGTAATTATAGACTCGATGGCTCCCAGGCTCTGCCATGCTTCAGTATATCTCTCTCTTAATATCTACAGAAACAGAAATTAATTAGCCCAAAACACCAACCATCCACATCTCCCTCTCCCAAGGCCCAGCCCAAACCCATCTCACGAACAAGCCCGCCTCACCCTCGCCTCAAACAACACATGCCCCCCCTGCTGCCGCTGCAGCTCCTCCTCCCCATAAACCCCACAAACCTCAAACCCACCCCTCTCCAGCAAATCCACCCACTGCGCCCTCGTCCGCTCCAACGCCCCATAGTTACACAACATGATAAAATCCGTCTGCACGGCCATCAACCCCGCGCGCGTCTCGGGCACCACCCCCTCATTGACGAGCAGCACCGAGTCCTCCGCCATCGCGTCGCGCAGCCTCCCCAGAATCTGCAGCGCCTGTCGATCGGGCCAGTCGTGCAGAACCGTGCGCAGGAAGTACGCCCGCGCGTGGCGGGTGGGCTGCTCATCGAAGAAGTTGTGCGGTTGGAGGGTGATGCACCCCGGGAACGTGGTGAATACGGAGGCGGGGATGGAGGAGATGACGGCGGGGAGGTCTTGGAGGATTAGTTTTGGTTGCGTCCGGCGAGAGGGGTGGTCGGGCGAGAAGGGGTTGGATGTTGCTAGTGGTGGTGGTTGTTGTTGTTGTTGGATGGAGAGATGCTGGCACAAGGCTAGGAGGTCTCTGCCCTGGGAGCCGCCGACGTCGACTAGTGTTGCGCGGTTGGGGTCTTCTTCTTCGCTGCTGCTGGTGGTGGTGGTGGCAGGGAAGAGTTTCGATTCGATCGGGTATAGCTCGAACCACTGCTTTGTCGAGCTGCTGCGCCGGAAGTCCAGGGACATGACTGCGTTGAAGGCCTGCTGAAGGTGCGGGTTGGTGCCGAGGTGCTCGAAGAAGGTCTGCGTGGTGCGGTGCGTGTGTTGGAAGGGCCCGTTCGTGGCGTCGTCGGGGCTTTTCCAGGCGGTTTCGGCGAAGTAAGCGGGGAGTTGGGACATTGTTACTAGGGTGTGTGTTCTGTTGAACTTGCATTAGAAGGGTGATTTGAGGGTTAGAGGCAGGGAATTTGGGCGGACGTACGCGTGAATCACGATGGCGGAGAGAGGCGATTGTGAGGTGTATGCTGCAGCCAGAGGTGTGGTTCTGTAGGTTGATAGGGCGAATTCTTCGAAAATGTTGATGGCGGCAAGGAAGCGCATGATGCGGGCTTGGAGGTGGCGTTAGTTTGAGGATGAGGCTAGATGCTAATCTTGGAGGGTGATAACGTACAGACGAGGAGCTCGTCGCCTCCAGTGGACTTGGCTAGCTGGGCTGTGGTGGCCGTGCCTCCTTGTTGTGCGATGGCGTCGAAGAGTCCCAGGTCTACGGCTAGCCGTAATACCATTGCTTGGTGACTCTGTGGTGTGTCAGTCTCGATTCTCATGAATGAATGAATGGGTCACAAACGCACCCCGAAGACAGTCCGAATTGTGAAGTCGATCGGAGTCTCGACTTTGCGATG